TTTGCATCTAAGCCTTCAGCAAGGCCAGCATAGTACTCAAAACATCCAGCAACATCATCCTAGAAACATTAAAACACTTGTGAAGAAATTTACACATGATTAATACCAAATGAAAGAATTCCAGTGTCAATCAATGGCATACTATGTCCCACGCTGCTTCATCTAATGGTTTTCCACAATCTATTGCTTCAAGTTTCGCTAGTTCAGCTTTTTTCTCCGTTATCTGCATGCAAACAAAGATAGTTGAGAACTCAAGATGCAGAAGGCAGGACCACTAGACTTCTCGGTAATTATAAAAGAAGGGTATAGTTTGTGTAATATTTATCACCATAAAAGTTATCTCTTACTTCTCTCTTATTATTACTCCATTCAACACAGCCATAAGAACTCATTAATTGTTACCATAATTTGTCGCATTTTTCTCCCAATAACTTATACAGAAAATTGCAAGAAAATTATGCTTAATTATGCAATGCAAAACAAAAAACTATATGAGAGGATACAAATTCGCTAACTATCACCACCAATCAATAAACAGAAGACTGCAAAAGAACTACTGAATCTAGGTTAACATTCTCAACTCTTTGAAATAAACAACTTATTCTAGATCAGTTGAAAAGGTATCCATCTATCTCGGATGTAGGGCACAAATCGGCATAAAAGAATCATATCTAATAATACCTTAGCAGCAATAGCACGTAAATACTTAGCACGGACAGCCCCAGAAGTGAAGGCCCAATCTCTGCCTTTGTTCCTGGTAAATGCTTTCTGAGCTGCTTCTACTGCTATCTCCACATCTTCTGCAGTAGCTGCTGGTATGTCACCTGAACCATTTTCGCAAAACTCACACATCAAAAGTTCAATCAACCGCCTAAAATGATCAGCAAAATAACACAAATCCACAAAGCAGATCCGAGCAAAAATTTATAAAGAACGAAAAGCCAAAAAAAAAAAAAAAAAAACAAAAAAAAAAAAAAAAAAAAAAAAAAGGAAAACTGACCGATGCTCTCCTCCGTAGAAGGGTTGATAATAGGGATGCGTTTCTTGAGAACAGGTTCTCTCCATTCTCCGCCGATGAATAACTGCCGATTTGGTATAGGAAAAGCCATGCTCGCGCGGTTCACTTGTTTTCCAGTATTGTGCGATGTAAAGTAGTGAGAAATGAGAACTGATAGGTACCCGTAGGCTTTATAGTGTCTAGATCAATTACTGTGGTTGACCTGTTTATTATTTATCGGCTTCATTTGACCTTTACAATGCCAGAATTATATTCTCTTTGTTCCGTTAATTAGGGGATAAATGAGTTCGGCCGGTAGTTCAGCTCGAAAAAATTTTAAAAAATTAGTTCAGTTAAAAGTTAATGGAATCTTATCGAACATTTATATATATATATCTATATTTATATTTTACTAATTTTTTCAATATATTACTTTTATATTTTAACCTTAAAGATATTTTTATATTTTAACCTTAAAAAGAATATTATATTGTTACTCTATTACTCAAGAGATTTTCAAAATATATATATATAGTAGTATAGATTTTTTAAATAATTTAATTAAAATAAAACATAAATAATTAATATTAAACTGCTAAAGTAATACAAATATTAGATGGCAATTAGTTTTTTTTGAAAAATTATTCACTCAAATCGTTTTAAAAAAAAGCACAGAAGAATTGCATAATTGTTGCACATAGAGATATATATAATTTTTTTAATATTTAATTAAAATACATAAATAAATTATTTAAACTAAAGTAATACAAATATAGATGGCAATATTTTTTTGAAAAATTATTCACTCAAATCGGTTAAAAAAAAGCACAAAATTGCATAATTTGCACATAGAGCAGTTATATGACTAGCTCTTACAATAATAATGATGAGGGAAAACATCCTCTCCTCACATATTTAAAATCTGACCGATAAATATCATAATTATAATTTTATCTCTCTTGTTTAGTAATTATATTGATAAGCTTTTTATGTTTAAAACTCCGTAGGAGAGGCTGAAATTTTAATTAGTGGTACAATAAATGAAAATAATAACACAGTACAGGCAGAAGATAAAAGTTTAATGGAGTATACCTATATTAATATAATTATATATACTAAATTGTAAAAAATCATAAATTAAACTATAAAAAATCAGTGGACAACATCCGCACGTTAGATATAAAATAATAATAATAATAATAATATGATGATATGATTAAATAATAATGTTATATTAAATATTAAGGACAAATATTAGAAAGTAATTAATACCTGAAATGATATTTTTTTTTATTTATGAAATGGCCAAATTTCACAGACTAATTAGTATATTCATAAAAAAATTTGATGAAATTGCAAAGACTGAATAATTATTTACTCAAATTAATATTTGTCACCTTTTTCTTTCTTCTTCCTCCATGTCGAGTAAGAGATTCAACTACTTTCAAATATTAATGAAGAGATTCAATTACTTTGAAATATTAATGAAGAGATTCGTCCTTATATCTAATTATTTCAATTCCTAAAATCAATAGCCATTGGATTTGCTTTCTTCTCATATCATTTTTTATTAAAGCTGTCATTAGGGTCAAAACATCATTTAAAATTCAGCCAATAAAATATAACAAGAGGAGGAAATAGTCTATAGCCACCGCTATCTCCACTGCAGAGAATGGAAGACCAAAAATAAAAAAAATAAAAATTCTACGCCAGCCTGAAGAAATTGGTTGCATTAAGTTATTCGACTGTCAATGGCTACAAATTGCAACTTTATAAATTGGGTAAAAAGAAAGTTGTATGCATAAAGACGTTATATAAAACTAAATTCGAAACCCATTCCATAGTAATTAATAATATACAAAAGTAATAAAATCTATTCCATAATATACAAAGCAAAACAGACCATAAAAACCACAAAAGAAAATTTTCTATATCACATGAAAATCAACGGTTCATATCACATGAGTCTGTAAAATAAAAGAATGGAAAAAAGAGAAACAGAATCACGACGAAACAGAAGAAGGAAATGAAAAGAAAGGGCTAATGTTTCTGTTTAGTTTTGTTATACTTGTCTTTGATCCAGTGGAAGCCTGTGATGGTCCCTTCTTTAACCTTCTTGATGCCCGTTGAAGCAACTGCTTTGGTCTTTCCTAGACCTTCTCCTACCTTCTGCTTGTATTTGGCGGTTGAATTTGTGGCTCCGCTGCTCTTCTTCGTCTGGTAGTTGTAAACTGGATCTGGACCATCGTCCCACTGATCCGCCCATGACGTGCCGTATGAGCCGTTTCCGTTCATCTTTTCTAACACAGAATGTCTTTTTAGTTTTTACAAAAGAAGGAGACGATTTCTTGAAAGAGAGAAGCAAAAAGAGAGAGATTTAGCAATGGAGGTTATCGGAAATCTGTTGTGGAATAAGGTGGGATTGATAAGGATCTGTTAAGTAATTTATATTGGGTTTGGGAACCTGGTCCAACCATGAAAATGTAGGCTTTGAATGCGACTAATCAATTTTCACACGTGTGGCCGTTTCACAATTATAAAATTGGTTGACAGAAATACCCTTTTTTTTAGACAATTAAATACTGAAGGTGAAAGTATTACTTTATTCTTTTTTAAAAATAAAAAAATTTCGGTTCTTAATATCTAATCCATTTTTGTTAATAATTTAAAGTTTTCAAGATTTAAATTTTCTTACGACGAGACAATTTTATTTAATCCCATCAAATTAATTCTAATTTAATAGAATTAAATCATTCTAAAAAGTTATATTTCTCATTCATAGTTCTTTTTAGAAAGGTACAAGTAGAAATACATTAATTGAATAATTAAGTGACAATATTACTCCTTCACTCTTGTAAAAGTAGATTCACTTTTCTTTTTTTTATTTGTTTCAAATTATAATTTATTTTCCCTTTAAAATAATAATTTTTATAATTTTTTATTCCACCTCATTTTTATCAATATTATTACTAATAATCAAATACTAAAATATACAACCAATTAAGACATGATCCTTTCATATTTTTCAGATTAGGAAAAAAAAAAAGCAAACACATATTAAGGAAAAATAAATAAAAATTATAAGTTAATCATATTAATTATATTATTTAAATTTGTATAAAAATTAAATGAGGTCTATATTTATAAGATGTTAACAATAATAATAATTATATTGTATAGTTATAATTATTGATTTAACATAATTAGAGATATCTTACCTAAGAAGATAAATTAAGCTAATATGACAATATCATGTGAAATCATAAACATTTCGAGAGAACAAGGAATTCGGATTTGTGCACGTAAGGACAATAAGGTAAATTCGTGAAGAAGCATGCGCGTACTCTTCCAGAAGCATCGAAAATTTATTAGTCAACCCCTTGACCCTAGCCAACAAGCCATCTTTTTTTTTATCATTTAATTTCTGATTTTTTAGACCCCACAACATATTACAAGCCTAGAAGCTTCATTGGCTCACCGCTCTACGCGTGCCAGCGAAAATTACTCAGGGCTATACGACGACGCATGTGCAATCCTTTTGTAAAATAATAAAAGTGCCGTCTTTTAGCTGCTTCCTTCCTGGTAGGGGAAAGTCAAAGTTTGACATTCCCTTGCACTGTTCCACGGATCAGAGCCACAACTTCTTGACTCACCATTTTTTCTTTCCTTTTCTATCTTTCCTCCTTTCTTTTACTTCTATTAAATAAACATTTCTTGTTCAAACTAAAATGAAAATAGAGATTTAATTTTCTTTTGCAGATAAGAAACTTCTTGTTTCATAACATGACACCTCATTTTTCAAAATAACCTATCTAACATAGACTTTTCTGTCTTCATTCTAGAAGGGTTTATCATTTAAAAGAAATAATGTAGTTCATCCAATGCATTAATTTCTTTGTCCAACTGAACCTAAAAATAAAGGGCACGATTATGACCTTATCAAAGAAGTCATAGATATGGCAGCTCCACTTACTGATCATATGTATCGGAGCTGCGCAAGTACTTATCGTAGAGCCATTTGGATATAATGAGAGGATTTCCATTGCTCTTCACTGGAAATATGTTCCGACTTTTCTGCCAGTCATTTGTCAGTTTTATCCATTCTCTCCTCCAATCCTGCAATTGGAAACCTTGTCCAGTCTCTAAACTATTTATTAAGTATTTGAAATATATAGCCGCTCTGGGGCCGTAATAATCTAGCAGGAGACCGCTCCAGTACTTGTTCCCTACAACAAAGCCAACAAATTAAGAACACGAAATGTACTTCAATACTTGTACAGATGAAGTGACTGAATAGAACAATTTTACTTTCATGAGACAATTTAGAACTCCTTCAGGATTATTGCAGATGCTTGTTCAAACAGCAATGCATAGACAAGCCTACAAATTTAACTGCAAGGTATATGTTCTATAGGTAAAATTCGGAGTATGGTTGATCTGCTTACCATAGTCACGAAGAAGACTTGCTTCATCCTCTGTGTTGTCAAACCACATAGTTATTTGGGTCCTTGCATTCCATTCAAACTGAATTTAATGTTAACATAAATTAGAAATATGTATGGTTGAGATATAATTGGGTTGTTAGCTTGCTGGGCTCCTTACTTGTCTTTCTTGTTCGTTGTCTCGGGCAAGTTGCTTTGCACTTTCTAACCAGGGACCTAGAAGAAACCCCTCATGACATGCTAAGAGAGTATCCATATCTTCAACAAGATCCAGAAACTTCTGGCTCAGGGAAGCAACCATATTGGCATCATTTGACTGGTAGGATTCTATTACTTTCAGGAACAGCTCATTTGCATATTTTGCCAAAGCTTGTCTTGTCAGGTCAACCAAGTCATAGCTGAGGATACAATAAGAGATAACCAGAAAAAATCAGAAGAGTGGCTAATGGGTAACAATTTGAGAATTTGAGGAGTTGCTAACATACGCCGCACAAGTTTTTAAAACCTCAAAATGCCAACCTGAAAGTGTTGCTTCCTGATAGTTCCTCCCCGCTTGTGATGAAAAGTTCTAGTGCACGTAAAACTTGAGAAGTTGAATACCATAGGTGGGGGTGATCATATGAATCAGAATTTTCATTCATGACTGCTCTTCTTGCTACATGTTTGCTGCTGTGCTGCTGCTGCTTCTGCCGTGCTAAGATAAAGAATGGATCAACATCGGGGAATGCTACGATTACATCCCTGTTTTTATCCTGGTCCCACATTATCAAATGTTATATGAACTCAAAGAATATAGAGTTTATCACACCAACTGAGACTTTGAAAATAGGCCAAGTACAGATTCACACAAGTAAAAGCTGAGAGACTGGATGGGTAGCTTCTACTCACATCACTGTTGGACATGGAATTTCTGGACCTACCACAACTTCATATAAATAGAGCAATATATTATTAAATGTAAATATAACATACAAATATCCTAAAAAAAGTAAGAGAAGAACATTGTAAAAGGGTGCCTAGAAACACGGCAGTTTTTGTATTATGGCTTTCAAAAGGATTAGATGTGAGAGACTGGATGGGTAGCTTCTACTCACATCACTATTGGACATGGAATTTCTGGACCTACCAGAACTTCATATAAATAGGGCAATATACTATTAAATGTAAATATAACATATAAATATCCTAAAAACAGTAATAGAAGAATATTGTAAAAGGGTGCCTAGAAACACGGCAGTTTTTGCATTATGGCTTCCAAAAGGATTAGATGTAAGCAACCTTCTCCTAACGTTAAATAAAGATGCTTTTGTGGTTTGTAAGTTATGAGCTCTCAGTCACTGTATGAAATACTCAAAGGGGAAAGAAAAGCAATGTAATAGGAATGCAAGGTCAAGCTTTTGCATTTTGTGGAAGTCAAAGAAAAGTATAATGACTGCATGCTGGTTAACAAAAGGCCCAAATTTACTTCACAACATAAATCAACAAGTTGAGGCACTTACATAAGCACCATCAGTGCAATTGTAAACTGTGTGATAGAGTATATTCCATGCATCTTGTACTAACATAACTGATCGACCATAACGCCTTGTTGAATATAGATCAACCCATGCCTGTGAAAAGGAAGAGTTAGTGACAGTTTCAAGGAGTGACCTTTCTCAGCAACTGATCCATTATAACCCACATTTTCTGGAAATAACAAAAAGAAAAAGAAGAAAGCAAAGAAGTCTGAAAAACCCTACAACTTCAGAATATACAAAAACATTTGAAAAGCAGAAACATAGCTTTCAGCAGTTTTACATGTGTTTCGCAATTGACCAAGCATTTAAAAGAAGATATGTAGAAAGTAAAGTGAAAAAATTTCCAATTTTTAATAAGCTTAGAGATTCATCAAAAATTTGGAAGTGTATTTAGGAAGCATAAGTTGAAAAGAGACCACATCAGACAAAAAACACAGGATCAATGGCAACCTCCAAGAGACAGAGAAAGCACTTTTCTCGAAAAGGATTCTCTTTAGGTACCTCTGATGGCATTTATATACTTAAGATGCACATGTGACAACATCTGAAAAGTCTTAGGCAGCAAGAAAAAGCTTAACATTACCTTGACATCAACTTTATTATGTTGAAATGCCATTTCAGACATGAGATCATAAACAACAGGGTTCTGTTCTATACCTTCCATTGACATTCCAACACCAACCTACAAAGAAGGATTTTATCGAATAGTAATTCAACAAATTGGTAAATAATAAGTGAAAATGACTATTCATAATGGTTAAGTGGCCAAATATTTTGGAGCATATAGAGAGAGATCCATTTTGCTGAAGCATTAGTATGTATGCTAATTATTAGTGTTGACATTTGACCAGTGTAGAGGCACCAAAGGTACCAATAAAGACCATGTGTCTAGATGTTCTAAATACGATAAATGAGCTTCTTTATATCTTCACTCTTTGATATGAAGTAAACTATAATTCATAAAAAGCAGAACTTTTAGATTAGTTACAGGAGAAAAGCTGTGCCAGTCAGCAGCTTATACGTAAACAACATGAGCATGATTATTATTGGAGCTTTTCAAGCAAATCTCCAATTTAAATCTGTTTTTTACTGTTGAGGTTCAACACTCATTCTACATTTCTGTGTGTATTTAAAATTTTCCACTTATACATTTTTATCAAAAACAATTTTCACTTCTTGCATGAACAGTTTGCAGTCATAATATTATGCAGCAGTGTTATGTAACATGGTCAGAGAACCATATCAAACTTAAATTTGAATGGAATTAGATCAAGCAAAGTTAGTGATTAAGCTTACCATTGTTGAGTTTTGACTTATTCGAGCTTCAACTGGTCCAGAAGCTATTGAATCTAAAATTCCATACATCTCTACATTTCCTGCAAAGTTGTGTAGCATACACCTGTAAAACAAAGCACCAGCCGGAAAAAAAAAAAAAAAGTAAAAACGGGAGAAAAATGCCAAAAAGGTAAAGTGGAGGGGAAATTTTTTGTTGTCTATTTTTACGATATTTTAATAGAAAGCTTGAAGCATCTCCATTTTTTATGATAACAGCTCTCTCCCTCTCGAACCAAGAATCAACATTATATATGCATTCAAGTATACTGAAAAAATTAGAGTTACTTCTTGATAATCCTCAGGCCACTTTTAATTTTAACGTAAATGGATTAACTGTAGGATGCATGTGGCCTGCAAGAGATTGGTTATAAATCATGTTCTTTGTTGATAAATAGCTTGCTCCGTATAGTTTCCTCCCTCAATCCGTAATGTGCATATGCATGTCTTACTGTTTATATGGTAAGTAAATATGAGAAATGTTTAACTTCATGAGTATCAAGTTCATGAATATAATAAGTGTCAGTGAGAACTTGTTACAAACTGATATCCTTTACAAAATCAGCAAAGGATTCCAAAAAGAAGGAAAAAGAAAAATAAAAACAATTTGAACATTTAAAAAGGAAAGAAGAACAATAACTCACCAGATGTAAGGAATGCCATAAAACTGCTCTGATGTAATCCATATGGGTTTTACTTCAGCAAACAGATCAAGGACCACCAGCCTCCCCACAGGAACAGAATGTAGAAGTGCCTGTAAAAGGGCAAAGTTTAGTTCAGTCTACAAGCAACCAATTGAAGAAATCAATTGAACTCTGGTGAATCTCAAGATTGGATCAGGGAGAATTTATAAACAGCAAAAAATATTTTGAACTTGCTTTAGAAAAAAAAGAGTGAATTGCTGCATAGGATATTTTGAAAATAGGCTTTGCCTACTAGAGATTACAGGAAAAAAGAATTCAAAATAGCTGCATTGCAAGCTAGTGATCATGTCCTTTTACATCTCAAAGAAAATTGTTGATTACATTGTTGAGCTTCCAACAATCTCAAATCAGTTTGTTGAGTGAGACAATCATAAAATGAAAAAGGAAAAGATCATAAGCTTGGATATTCATTGGTAAAATGATGATGTGGCAATTCAAAATGAAACAGGGAGCACTTTCCCCAAGTCTCTTCAAGAAGCAACCCAACATTATTAGTCAAAAGATCATCTAATAAGGTTGCTACATTATATACTCTATATGATCAGATCACATTTATCAAAAAAATACGTGAAAAATGTGATTAGCATTTGATGAACATCTTGCTTTTTACCCTTTATGTTTTGCACTTCTCCCTCCTTCCTCACTCTTCTATGGTTTACCAATTTTAGATTAAAAAGATGAAGAGCATTCTAGAATTCAGATCACATTTATCAAAAAAATACGTGAAAAATGTGATTAGCATTTGATGAACATCTTGCTTTTTACCCTTTATGTTTTGTACTTCTCCCTCCTTCCTCACTCTTCTATGGTTTACCAATTTTAGATTAAAAAGATGAAGAGCATTCTAGAATTTACGTTTCTTATCAGATGCAAGAACTTAGCGTCAGCTGAATCTTTATCATCATTTAGTTTGAAGGTGATTCTAACAAGAAAGGAGCACAAGGACAAAATGGTTGTTTTTAAGACATACTACAATAACACATAAGCTATGCAACACAGAAGTCATAGAGCACCTAGAGTTGCAAAATAATCATATTGGAACCATGACCTTCATTTGTGGAGGTCTCCAGAAAGGATCATATGAGAACAGCCACCCCTGCAGAACAAAGGCCAATAAAATAGAATGCCAGTTGAAACAAAGTTTACATAGATTAAAAAGAAATTTTTGGAAGATGAATTACTAGGTTAAATAGTAAACACATTATTCTTTTACCTGCATCAACCAGACAGCTTCATTATCGCCACTTTGCATTCCCTTAAAGACTGCTGCACCTAATGCAGAGATGTACTCTGGATCATCAATGGGTGGAGTATTCTCATCAAAAGTGTCACTGAAAAATGGTCAGCAAGTCATCAGACAGAAATTTTATTGAATAAAACCTCTACTAGAAAATGAAATTAAAAAATAAGATGTTGGCTTCGCTAATTCGATGTATTAAACTCATATAAAGCTTAAAATGATTAGTTTACAGGACACAAGTTGTGTGTTGCAGAACATTGTAGTAAGAAAGCAAGAAAAAAATCATACCAATTATATATGTGGCCTGTCCTTCCATATTCTGACAAAAAAAGTAATCCAAATGATCAAATCACAGTACTTTATAACACTTGCAAATTTGTTTAGGCTGTGGAAGTATAATTTTAACTAACATTGGGATCAGAGAACCATACCTTTCAACTGTTGCTCAATGAATGCCTTTCCAATCTCAATGAATAACGGATCTGTTGCATCAAGAAGATAGGTGCAACACCATCTAAGGTCACTTTTAACTGTAAACCTGAAGCAGGACATAAGACATATAAGTTCATCAAATTATGATTATCAGAGTTATGCGACAAGTCCCTTAATCAGCTCAAGAAATTCCACGTCCTAAATAATAATGGTTTGGTAAGAAAATCTTTTCCTACCATTCCAGTCTAAATCCATAATTCAGATTATCATTGCTTGGACAAACGCCACTTGAAACCAGGTTTGACAATTTTAAAAATAATATTTGCAATGCTTACACATACCAACAACTAAGCCTCAATCCCAAACTAGCTGGGGTTAGCTATATGAATCCTTTGTTCCATTTCGCTTGGTTCATAACAAGTCTACACTAACAAATTTCCCAAAATATGCTGTTATTGCATTTCATGACCCAAGGAATAAAGCAACGTCTGTATTAAATGATGACATGGCAATACATACCAATTTCCCAAGCGTGTTATCTTTGCTGATGGAAATATATTTCTTAATGCTGCAGGAACATTTCCAGAGAAGGCAGGAAGGACTGAAAAACAGATCCACAAGCATACAAGAATCATTTGATGAAAGTCAAAAGGTGAAGCAAATATTATTAGATAATGAAATTTTTCTGCATTGCTTCTTCCTTTTTAGATAAGCAGCAGTCTTCTTTGTGGCAATAAGAAATCCTTTAAAAGAGAAATTCTAATGTCTAGTGCTCACATAAACCACAAAGAAGTGTAAGAGCAATTTTAATAAAAAAGAAAATTCTTAAGAAAGGAACCAAAAATGCATCAAACATCACAACCACAAAGAAACAATTTCACATTTAACCAAAAGATAATCCCTAAGATATAACAGCAAAGGCTAGATGACAGTGGGTACCTGGATTCATCCCAAGCTCATACATCCTTGTAAGAATTTTTTTCTGCAGAATTAGTTGTTGATCTAACCAACTTTGTGGCAGTGGTCCACCCCATCTGTATCATCACCACAAGTTATCAAAATGAAAGCTTCTATTTCTATGTATTACAGGAATGCCCATGCAAAGAATTTTGTTGTCCAAAGCATCTCATCAACTAGCACATTCATGTGATAAATGCCTAAGATGAGCTAGAAGGAATACTATACCAACATAAGTACGAAAGTTCACAAGGCCCAAAGCCGCACAACAAAAGTATCACTCCCCCATTCCATAAAAGCTCCCAAGAAGGCCTACAAGGTTACCTGTGCAAGTTTCCCATACGTGACCATGCGAGAAATGCAGGACCTCCAAAGAAATCATCCAGATCTACCTTGCTTACATTAAATTTCTGCTAAAGTGAATGGAAGATCATTAGAAGAAAAATCAAAAGATGTAAACCTATGACTCTTAAGCCATAGGTAAAAAATGATAACTCCATGCTATCTTGAATTATTGTGAGAACAAAGAATATGGTACAAGGAAATAATGCCATTGTCTCATGCCTACGGGCTATCATATTATAAAATTAACAAAATGCATTATCAAGGAAAATATCACATGATTAATACTAACTTATCAAACAAAAGCACTTGGAAGATAAAACTTTTCAGCAAATAATTCTGTGAATATAATATTTTTTTCCCAAATTAGGCACCTCGCAGGCAGTTGCATGCAACTATTTAGTTTAATGAGGACAAACTTGTTTACAAAAAACAATATAAGAGGAGAACAGATTTGACGTAGAAGCATACTCTTTCATCCATTGCTTTTGTAGTGACGTAGGCAAAGGTAAACATTGATAGATATTAAATAAGCGACAAAAAGTTTAACTTCGTTATTATCCTTCCAGGTAAAACCATATATAAAAATACTAAAGAGTGATATTATAGTTCCCCCAATCCAGTTAGGGTAAAATTCAAACAATACAAGTGAACTGCAATTCGATAACTATATCAAAGTTTACATTGTCTTCCCCTCATACCGTCCTTGCTTTCTTGTCTCCCATCTACGACTTCATATGCTCAACATTCCGTAATAAAGTAAATATTAAGAGTTTTGTGTGAGAATGAAAGTTCAAAACTGTAAGCTAAAGCTGACAATATGGAGTTTGACAAGAGGATAGTTACCTTAAAAACTTTTTGCCAAATAGCCTCTTGCCCAGTAAATGCTAATGGCAAGTTGATACCTTGGAAAGCCATCCAATCAATTTCCTTTTCCCATCTTTTCCAGTCCCACCATGCAAAAGTATCTTACAAGGGCATATATGTACATTAAATTGATTTAGCATTTCTCAGACTATAACTTAAAACTCGAAAGCGTGAAGTCGAAAATAATAGAAGCACTAGCAAGGTACAAACTTACAACTAGAAGTAACAGCATTCTGGTAATAATTCCAAGGAATGGGTCTCTGAACTAAGACACCAGAATCTTGAACACGGGGAAGAGAACCTAACTTAGGTATTGAATTTAGTTGAGCACCACCAGTTTTGTCCCAAGATATATGTGAACCACACCAATACTTCAAGTACCAATGCAAACCAGCTAACACTTCCACTCCAGTGACTCCAGAAACTCTAGTGATTTATACAACCCAAAATAAAAGAACATGGATAATTTACAGCATTTAATAAAATAAGCATAAAAGAAAGAATCTTTTTCACTTACAAAATTTCTGGAGTCCCAGGTCTAGTATAAAAAGGATTATTTTTTATAATAAAGCAAGACTGCCCACCACAGTGCTCCTAATAAAGGGAAAAAATAAACACACTGTAGTAAATTCTAAGTAAGTTAATCAAACAAAATTAAAAAATTGACAGGTGAAATCAAAATACCTTGGAGATTATTCGAAACTCGAATCCCGAAGAATGAGAAGGAAGCAATCTTTGAAGAACGCCACGAGCTGAGGCTAATTGGACTGAAGGAGGAGCTCGCTCGCGTTCCTGGATTTCCAAAAGGCGCGAAATGTAATCGACGCCGATCGTCGATGACTGAACTAAGGAAAGGATAGAGAACGCGAAGAAGATAAAAATGGCGGGAAGCAGAGAGGCCATGGAGAGAGAGAGTGAGAAACCTTAGTCCTTAGGTGATGAGGAGAGATGGCAGGGTTTATAGAGAAGTAGATTGGTGGCATTTTGGAGAGTAGTGGTAGTGATGAGGTCAAGAGATTCTGTTTAAGTGCATGAGACAAAAATTTGATGGCCGGCGAGAGAGGAGGAGAAGAAGAAGGCGGAGAAATGGGGTGGGCGTTTTCATTGGCTTGTTTTTTTCTGAAATTGAAATTTGAGATCGATGTCGTTTTGGCTAACTAAACTACAGTACTGTGGACTTATGTGTTCGCTTTGTCATCAGTGTCGTTTGAGAACTTCAGTCTCCATACTACTTGCCTCGTAAAGGACAGTGTCAATGTCGTCGTTTAGGAAAAATACGTGACAGCTTTTGATCAGCTTCGTTGATACATTCGTTTTGTCGTTTGGCGAATTGCGGGTAGCTACTCGCACAAAAATGAACCACCTGGGCTTAGGCCTATTTCTCTCGCAACGGCATGCGACTACTGAATCGGCCCACAAATGGACCCTGAAATAAGCTAAAATATCAGTTTGATCCTTCTTTAACATTTCTTTCTCAAATCAACATGCATTATAGTTTCTAAGTTTTGGTGGTTGAAATGGTTCGCACGCATTGTATGAAGTTTGGGTGTGACATGTTTAAAACCAATGTAGGATAGATTTAATCTTAAAAAGACAATTGAAATATGAAGTTTCGTATTTGATTCTTTAAATAGAAGAGAGGCTATCAATATTTCAAATTTAGATTAATTTAAATTAATAACAGAATTGTAACAAAATAATCTTTGAAATATTTTGTTGATGTTCTTAGATCAGAATTCATAAATTAGAGTAAATTATCATTTTATCCTTTTATCTTGCTAATACAAAAGGATGGAGTGGAACAAAATTTTTATGCTGTTTTCGACATAAAGAGAGAAAAAGGAAAAAATTTTGGTTTCAATATAGTCTCTCTGTCTCAAAATATAAGTTGTTTTCGAGTGTTTATTTTATTCTAACATATAAATCGTTTGAAGTCTTTCGAGAAGTAATAAATGATGTTTTTTCAATATTACCTTTATTTACATTAAATATAATTATTACCCTTACGGATATCTCTTAATTTGAAAGGATAATTTGGTCAAATTACTTTTGATTTTGTTATAATTTAATAGAATTAATTATTTCTTTAATATCTGTGTAAGACGAGTCCAATACTAGAAAAGATAATTATATAGAGACAGATAGGGAGGTACAAGTTGTTCCAATGGCCTATATACTAATAATGGATGTATATATATAGCTATTAGATGGCTATATTTGATTATCTATAATAGTATGGTCCGCCAAACTTAATTATTGAAGTTTTTTTATTTATGATATGCAATGAACTTTGATTTTTGTTTTTTAAGAATGAATGATACGTGTCTTTTTATTATTTAATTATCAAATTGTTTTACATATTAATAATTATAAGAATAGAAGAAGAATTAAATGCCAACAATGTAAAAATGACGTATAGTAGTTTTGGATGGAAGCTTGAAAATTTATTTAATTTTTATAATTAAATAATCAAATATTATATCTTTAAAAAAATCAAATAAAATTACCTTTTAGTTAATTAAATTAAATTTCCTTTCAAAAGAGTTTATCATCAATTAAGATTAAATTAACCTCATAATCAAATAAAATTACTAAAATACAATTAGTATTCAAGATTCTAAGGTTAAACTCTCGACTCCTTTCAAAAAAAAAAACTCTTAATCACATCTATTACCTGATCAAGATCAATAAAAATTTTATGATATCATTTCATAACTTTCCCCAACAAAGTAGTATCAAATACAAGAAAGGAAATTAGGGTTAGGAACATTGATCATACCCATCAAAAGGAAATTAGGGTTAGGAACATTGATCATATCCATCAAAAGGAGCACATGAACTTACTTTATAGGTAGCTAATTAATTTCTTGCACCCTTTTTGCCTAACAATTAGCTGGTGATCTTTTTACCTAAAAGTGCATTATTGAAATGAAATCACCTTATATTCTCATGCATTTGATCCCATTGATGTTAAAAAGTAAAAGTTTTGGCTTAACATTTAAGAAAATAACTATTGAAATTAAATAAAATTTTCAATCTATCATATAAAAACTTTTATGAAGTAAAAGTTTCTTTTTATTTTGATTATTGAAATAATATTAATTGTATATCTCATCAAATCCCAAATTTAAACCCTAATATATGTATTTTTTTAAAAAAAAATTCAATAGAATTGATTTCATTTCTCCCATCAAGATAATCTTTAGATTAGATGACAAACCTACCCACCTACCTAATATAGGCTGTTTAGGTCAAAGGAAAAGTCATTGTCAGCCATAAAAGAACAGAATAAGGGTTCTAAGCCCAAGCAAATTTCATTGATGATGGGTCCAAGGTTGAAGGATTCAATCAATCAATAGTACCTACTCCATTTGAGAATTGGATGCACCTTCAAGATTTGTTAAAAAAAAAAAAAAAAACTAAAAAGAGCAAAGTAACATTTGCAATAAAGAGATTCACAAAATTAGTGAAGCAAAGGTAGTGTGTAGAGAAAAGGACCAACTAGAAGTTGTGGAAAAGAAGAACTGAAGCCACATGCTCTGATTCCCACAGCAACTACCACTGCCCTATTCATCTATTAACCTTTTCCTCCATTTGGTGGTTGCTCCAATTTAGGTATATATGTATATATTCTACAAGTAACATTAACCTATATGATCAAAGAAAAAAAAAAAAAAAAGAAGGAGATATTGAAATCCAAACCTGTTAAGTTAGGTATCTCATGGCGCATTTGATCCCATCGTGATTTGTTATAGAAAGATTTTAAAATGAGGTGTGTTTGGCTGTTAACCCATTTGGTTAAGTAAAATAACTATTTGAGAAATTAAAATAAAACTTTTCAATCTAAATCGATATAAACTTTTATGAAGTAAAAGTTTCCTTTATTTTGATTATTGAACATAATAGTTTAATTGTATATCTCATCAAATCCCAAATTTAAACCCTAATATATGGTATTTTTTTAAAAAAAAATTCAATAGAATTGATTTCCATTTCTCGGGTTACCCATTCTATATGTATCAGAAGATGTATTGTTAGACTTTAGTAGTGGACCAAAGGCCGACCACTCATCGTATATGGCTTCGATAGAATATAGTTGGCCTCTGTTATGTGTGCTCTAAGAAGTGAAATGTATCTATTTGTCCAAGCTCTAAAAGGGAGAGCAGGGAATTTAACGGGGTTATTCTAGAACGAGGGCCAAGCATGGATCTTTCATTTGGATGCAATTTGTGGTGCGGGTCGAAGGGGGTTTGAAGGAATCATTCAGAGTATTCCACATTATAGTCACACTGGAGCTGTCACGTTGGCCACCATTCTGAAAGAATTATGGATTGCAGATGCCTTCCAAACCGTATTTTGTTTAAAAAGGGTCAGTTAAATATAAAAATGATCTAGAGATTTATAAGAGCAAAGTATGTACTATTTTGCCAATAAAGAGATGTGCCACAATATACATTATAACAGTGACGAGACAAAAGGGTAAGTGTGTAGGGTAGTCGCAAAGGGCAGGACACTAGAGAGTTAGTGGAATAAGCAAGAACTGGAAGCCACCATGGACTCTTGAGTTCACTAATGCAATCCATGATCACTCGCCCGGCTAGATGCATTCCGCCTAATTTTAACTCTTTGTTCACTCATTTAGTCGTGGTGCCGATTTGGCTGCAAAGTGTATTTGTTGAGGCGCGAATTTAGGTATACTATAGGTATAGTATAATTCTTTTCGATAGTAGAAACATTTAACTCTATACTGCATGCAAAAAAAGCACAAAAATAATTAGAAGAGATAACATTTAATTAATAGAGTAGACGTGTCTATAGAGAGTATAGAGAGAGAGGTTCTATTATCATTTGTACTGATGATGGTAAGTCGTGGTTTGTGAGTATTCTCGTCATAGGAGTTAAGAATAAGAATTATTTTTGAGCATGGATTAGGAACGAGGTGGAGTATAATTTGTTAAATTCATTTACTGAGTATACTTTTTTGAGTGGTTAGAGATTGTCACTCTTAATGATAATATTTATCCATGATCAATTTATGACTATTAGGATTAACTAAATTATTTAAGTGAGAGAACAAGTTAAAGTTGTAGTAGTTGCTTGACTAAAAGATAGATAAGATTTAATAAGGGTATAGTAAGGCCAGCAATTTAGAGAAAAATTAACTAAGAATGCATAAAATAAAGTGGATTATATCTATGATCGAGACATATATCCTATAAAAGAGAAGATGAACTATCAATTTATGAGAAACAAAAGGCAGAGTAGTAGGAATATTGTTGGTACTTCCTTTTAGCAGATGTCAGAGAGATCACATGTGCTTTTTGCTACAGAGAAGAGAACGATAGAGAAAACAATTTCCTCCTTTAAAATCAACGGAATCTGATGGGGATTCCGTCAGCCTACCGAAATGTTATAATTCTTTACCTTATTATGTTATAGAGAGACTTATCTAAAGGTTTTTGTCTTTACGTCGCAGAAGGTTCCACACTGTTGTTTGGTAGAGCCAATACTGTTCCTTCTTAAGAAGATGGGTAAATATAGCAGATCATAATTGTTGTCCAGCAAGTATGACTGGAAGTCAGAATTTATTGAGTACTTGGCACGTCTTTACAGTTGGACGACATGTAACATCTCCTAAAGTATATACCGGAAGCTGAGGATCAGTCGAATAATTGACGGGATGTCTTTCTTGAGCCGGTCATCGCATATTGCATAGATGTTGGTCTTATGATGCCATGGGGGGCCAAGATGTAGGTTGTTTGTCTTGGTCTCTAAGGAGCTAATGTCGGGGGGGGCTGATTTGGCAGTGCGAGTCCATGACAAGCACAAGAGACTAAGTACCGGTTTAAATAATTATGGTACCGTATAATAAGGTGGCTACTTTCTATTTTTGGTAATTGGTTCTATAGGTGAGGATTTTATTAAGAGAGTACGTGAGGGTTGTTCTGAGAGCCTTTCTATGAGATTCCTTAAAAGACCTGAGACTCTAATATGCAATTCCTCAAATTTAAGGGCATCACACCTGGATAGTCTAGGAGCATAAGACTTTGGATTGACAGGAATCATTACCATCATTGGAGGAGACTAGGCAGAGCAACCGTGGAATGTTGTTATGGCGAGTGCCGAACTTTTAGCTGATGCCGGCCCTAGGGCGTCAGTCAAATCTATTATGAACTATGGGAAATTATCAAAGACTCAATGGATTAAATCCTAAAAGGAACTATCTTTTTTAACTCCAAATATATGCGATATAACTATAGGATCAATTTGTAAGTTTTCATGCTATCTAAGATGTTTAGGTCCTATTATGTGTATGTTTAGGATCCTGAAAAAAAAAAAAAAAAAAAAGTAACATTAACCCATAATAAAGAGAAAGGTCTTTACATTTGTGATATTAAGTGTATTTGAATCCGTCAAGATTAAGAAATAAGAATTATTACGGTTAAACGGTGAATTTATTCATATAATTTTTATATTATTGTCATCTTAAATAATACATGATCAATTATCATATTAAAATTATAAGTAAAAATTAATGAGAGTTCTTGAAAATAAGATAAAATTTAATAAGGGTATAGTAAACAATTTAAAAATTAACTAAAATGCAAAAAATAAAAGTGGATTATATTTTGAGACAAACCAAAAAGAGAAGATGAACTATCATTTTGGAACAAAGGAAGTATAAAATTTATCCTTTTAAGTGTCGAAGCCATGTTGCAGAGAAAAGAAACAATTTCTCCTTTAATCGTATTCCTCCTCCGAAAGTTAATTCTACTTAATTTAAAATTTTAGTTTTGTCTTTAATCAAGGTTCCACACTGTTTAGGAATACTTCAAGAATAAAAACAATCAATTTTCACAAAAAGAAGCAGATTATTACCTAATTAAGACTTAAACACTCCTAAAGCATATAGAAGCTAGATTAATATTAGGGTTCTTCTGCCTCATTCCATATTGATATTGTTCTTATATGATGGGGCCAATGGAGGTTGTTGCCTAAGCAAGTCTGGGCTTATCTCCAGACAAGACAAGACAAGTACCTAAAAATTTTCCGTTAATAATGTACTTTCATTGTAATTTCAAGTGAGGATTTATTAAATACCCACCTTAAATCCTTAAAAACCCTAGATAATCATCTCAAATTAGGGCATCACACATGGATACTAATGAACTTGAGTGCAAGACATACTCATAGAGAAGCAGAAGGGAATTGTCCTCCACTACTCTAACAATCTATATAGGAAACAAGACTCATAAAACCAAAACTATCTTTATCAAAATATGCATATAAAAAATATATCATTTCATTGCACTAGTTACCAACCAACCACAAAAATGGTGACAGGTATGTACCTCGGTTTCCCATCAATGTCGCTCTTAAGATTTAGTTCTGTCCTTTGATGATATCTTCTGTTGTACATAAAAAAAAATGAGTCTCCATCAAATGATTTCAACCCAGAAATTTTTCAAACTCAATTTGGCTCTACGTGTCGGCTCAACATAATTTCTGGTCAAAGGTTATAGATTTCAGATAGATAACAATCGACAATCACCTGTTGAAAAAGGGTATCTGATAATGAAGGTGTCTATATGATTTACCTGCCCTTATCATCCATCCAAAACATGAAAACTGCTTGCTTTAACTATCAACAGAATTGAAAATGGATCACTGTCAGCTAAACATTTCAAATTTCATCATCTGTGACAGAGATAATTTTTTTGTTTTGATGAAAACCGAACCGAAGTGTACAATACTGAATCAGACAGAATCAGTTCGATTTGGTTCAGTTGGTTTCCATTTAGTTCTAACTATTTTAGACAAATTTTTTGAGTTCAGTAAGAACCAAACTAAATTTTAAAAGAAAAAAGTGATTTTTTTTTTCTATTAAAATCAAAATAAAACCAATTATATAAAAATACCATACCGAACTAAACCATCCGCAAAGTACTGATTCAATAGCTCTAATCGATCATCTACATGGTTTATATTGGAGGTTGCATATACAAGTAAGCATGTGGACACTTGGCAACCATCCGCAAAGGACTAATTCAACAGTGGTGGACCAAACCTGCTTAGCTCATAATGAGAAATTGAAGGATGATACTTATTACCTCACCATCTGTTTTTGATGGATAGATGAATCATTTCCCAACTTATATACCTCTATATGTCTCTCAATACAAACATCAGATTTTCTCTGTTCTCTGCAAGAGAGAGAAAGAAGAAGAAGAAGAAGAAATAGTGCAAATATTAAATAAAATAAATGCTTTCTGATTGGGCAATACGTATTCGTACACTTCACCCAGATATCAGAAAGGTCTAAGTGGGCCATTCTTGCTTCACTTTTTAGCTAAACTTGAATTTTTCCTTAATCTAATTGCCTCTTTTGTTCAATAACAAGAGTATTAATAACCTTAATTACAATAACCTAATTCTCTATAAATCAAACTCATCTTCACCATCTTCTTCTCATTCTCTTTTCACTCCCTACTTCTCACATATGCTAGAAACCATGCAATATCAGTTTAACTACCATGAACCAAACCCACCATCTCTCTCTTCCTTGCCAAGCCTCCAATCAGTTTCTTCCCTAACTTCACGTCAACACCACTACTTCCTCTCAACCACCAACTACCACTGCGTCACCACTCTTAAAGGTCACACGGCCTACATATCCTCTCTAACCCTAGCTGGAAAGTTTCTTTTCAGTGGCTCCTCAGACAAAGAAATCAGATCTTGGAAGAGAAACCCTCAAGACTCAGAATTTCAAGATCATGACCAAAACCTATGCATAACTGTAGGAAAAGGAGCAGTGAAGTCTTTAGTAGTTTTATCTGATAAGCTCTTTAGTGCACATCAAGATCACAAAATTAGAGTATGGAAAATCAGTAATCAAGAACCTGATCAACAAAAGTATACCCATGTAGCTACACTACCTACACTTGGTGACAGAGCATCAAAGATTCTGTTACCAAAGAATCACGTTCAAATTAGAAGGCATAAAACATGCACGTGGGTTCATCATGTAGACACAGTATCTGCCCTTGCTTTATCAAAAGATGAATCTCTTCTTTATTCAGTTTCTTGGGATAGAACACTCAAGATATGGAGAACAAGTGACTTCAAATGTTTAGAGTCAATAACGAATGCACATGATGATGCTATAAACGCAGTAGCAATTTCGAACGATGGGGATGTTTATACTGGTTCAGCTGACCGGAAAATCAAGATTTGGAGGAAAAATTCCAGTGAGAAGAAACATTATTTAGTGACAACGTTAGAAAGACACAATTCAGGAGTTAATGCACTAGCACTGAGCACTGATGGTTCTATTTTGTACTCTGGTGCTTGTGACAGATCAATAGTGGTATGGGAAAAGGTTGATTATGATGGCGGTGGCGATGGCGGTGGCCGTGGCGATGGCGATGGCGATGGCGATGGCCGTGGTGATGGCGATGGAATGGTGGTTTTGGGTGCTCTTAGAGGGCATACACAATCTATATTGTGTTTAATAGTTGTGTCTGATTTGGTGTGCAGTGGTTCTGCAGATAAAACTATAAGAGTTTGGAGAGGTGATTATAATAAAAACTACTATTGTTTAGCAGTCCTGGAAGGGCATAAAGGTCCTGTAAAGTGCTTGACTGCAACAATTGACCATCAAGACCTGTCTGACTCATCATATCTTATTTACAGTGGGAGTTTGGACTGTGATATTAAGGTGTGGCAGCTTAATGTCCCTATACTTCTGTAGGAGAAACTTCTCCAATGAGGCCATCTTCGTACATAAAACTATGTTTTGAGAAGATTCTGCATTGTTTTACTTTTCATCTTTGCTTTATTTTTCTGTCCTTCCTTTTTAAGGTTGTTTTTGATTAATCACTGCTGCTCGAGTATAATATTGAGCTCAATGATCCATAAGGAGATTTCACTCTCAAGAGGTTTTTGTTTAATTGTTTGTGATATAGTTCATTCCTTTTTTTTTTTTTTTTTTTTTTTTTTTTTTTTTTTTTGGCAGCGTTAATGTTCCCTAGGTAAAGAGCTAGTTCTTGTACGGAGAAAACGTTCTCCGACAGTGGGAGGGCGCCAATTCTTCGCTATCATTAATGTTCAGACGTTATTTGTTGGTCACGAGAGAGTTCCCTGTGCATTTTTGTGCTTTACTGTTTTTCCATCTTTGCTTATGAAATTTTTCTTCTGTCCTTGTATCACTTCTTTGTTAAAGTGTTGAGTTTTTTGATTAACTCACATCAGGCCTGGTTAGCTCGCTGACGAGTAGATCATATTTGAATCGGCTCATACTTTGATCCATTCCAACGTGTTATGATTCACTCTTCGATAAGGGAGAGAGTTTATTTTGAGTGTTGTTATCTGTTTGTGATAAGTTAATGTTCATGATATTCTCGGCGGTAGTGTCTTTCTATGTGTTTTTTTGTATCTTTTCCTTCGCTTCCTGGTGTTGTATTTTTGTTTTTGGAGCTCAGACTGTTAACGAAGGAGAGTGTGGAGATCACCTGGGTCCATTATAGATAGCGCGGTTCAGATATCGTTGTAGCAATATAGACACCTCAAGGAGCAACCACGTAGCTATTAAAGAAAACGGTATGGCTAATATAAAGCCTTTTTTTTTTTTTTTTTTTTTTTTTGTTTTTTTTTGTTTTGGTCATTCGAAGAATTGGAATCATCCATTTAAACCTTCAGTTCGTGCAATATAGACTACTCAAAGCAACCACCTATTAAAAATTGCTTAAAAGCTTTTATTGCATATAATTAACAAGCTAATTAATAAACTTTTCTTTTATTCAAAAGCATAGGTAATTAAAAAATTATGATTTGCTTAAAAATGGATCACTTCAAAAGTTTTCCAACTTGTCATTTTGTTGAATCTTTTAATAAAAATACTTACAAGTTGTTTTAGTATTAGAAGATAGTGCCATGGAAGCTTCTCTTCAAGAGAAAAAAAAGGGCACTCTCCCTTGTCTTTTCTTTTTAAGCATAAGCTTCCATGGCTCTTTCCAATATTTATTATGTAATCTCACATTACTATAGAGTAAAGAGATGTGTCAAGCAAAATTATTTGAATTAAGAATACTATTAAAATCTAAACAAAATGTATTTAAATTCACATAGTTGGTCTTGTGGGGCTCAGTGTGATAGCACAATAAGGACACAAAGAACTTGTAATTTAATCAAGGACTATTGTGGTTTACACTAATTCATATATACTTTACATAATAGAAATCCAACTTTTAATTAAAAAAAAAAAAAAATGTGCAACTAAAGCAATAAGTATTTGATATTTCAATTACTTTCTCTCATGCAATTGAAAGTTTTGTCCAATGGGATTTTATGGCAAAAAGTAACATATTATCAAAATAATGAGGAAAAATGCTTTCAAAAATTGTTTGCTACTTCTAGAAGAGGACAAAAGGGAATAAATAAAATAAAATATTTTCTTTTTTGTATAATAAAAATATATATAATTTTTAAGCTGCTGCCTCAATGATGGCTTCTGCATTTTATTAATAATAAGAAAATTTTCCTTGATCAATTATCAAGATCTAGAATAATATATGATGTAAAAAAATTTAGAAACCCGTCTTTTATCCAATTATTCTAAAAATTTTCTCATTTAAAATATAAGTTTTTGTTAAAATGCATGCTATTTATTCAACTGAAGGTGCTTTCCAATAGAAGTGTAGTAATAGAAAAAAGAAATGAAATAAGAAAAATCAAATAAACAAAAAGAAAAAGAAAAAATTTTCTTTTAGTCTGCACATGTCTCCATATTCGAATCAGGGATGGTACTTAGAATAGCAATTCCAGATTTTGAACCTCCAACCTTACATGCAAAGTTTGTATGGAGATAATAGTAAAACAACAGACAATCATGTATACTCACGGAAAAAGAGCATCAGAATGCTACCTTTCGACCAAACAAACCATCAGACACGACACGAGATAATATTGAAAATAAATAAATAAATAAACAATCCCAGACAGAGTAAAGAATGCTGCAAAGATTTTTTAAAAAATTATGTCATAAGTTCTTTTCTTCATATATAATCAAGTCACTAATTTAATTTCACAAAGCATCAACGTGTCAGGCTGAGGCTGATTTTAAGGGATTTACCTTAAACAAATTCAGCTTGAGTGATGATTTAATTGAAACTTTAGCAATTTGACCAACTAAACTAATTACAATTGGAGAGGAAGTTAGGTAAAGGTCGTTTTTCTCAGGCCACCATTATTCTAACCTAATCTTTCCTCGAATTCAATCAAAATCTACTCTTTCAGATCAAGCAAAAGAAATCAAGGCATAAGATTCCTTTGACAGAGAATAGACATCTAAAAGACAATACAATTATCATTTCACATCCTACAAGACCCAACCTCTCTAATGGCTATTCCATTACCTCCGCATACAGAAGCTTTGTTTCTCTTCATAACAAGTACTTCATAAACTGATGGTGGAATAACTTTTGAATATGATCTAGAAACTCATCCATAAGTTCAAAAACCACTTGTTCCACAATATCCATGATGAGAAAGGACCAAGTTAGTATCTTCTTATAGAAGAAAAATCAAATGAACATACAAGTATTTTGAATCAACTTTTCCAAGCCCACAGAAAAAAGAAAAATAACATCAATAACTGAAGAGTCAAAAAAGCCACCGCAGTCCATGAATCAAACATTAAGCTTCAACAATACTCCTACCTACTTCACTAAGCATAGAGAGATAATCTGAAAGTACAACTCGTTTTATATACAATTATACATTTTAAAGGATTCAGAGATATGGTAATTACGGCTAAAAAAATTGGGTGTTACAATGGTAATTTTGCTGGAGTACCTGGATCACGTGGATACTTCCTTGGAGTGTGGTAATCTTTTACACATATGATGGCAGTTCGCTGTCCATATGGGCTGTGAGAGTCCACTGCATATAACGAAGAAGTTAACTCTAATGTTACAAGCCAAAATTGACAATTCCTTTACAGTTACAGACAAAATCTCAAATCAAACAATATCTACAAGATAAATAAGGTTTTCTGTATTGTGTGACACAAGCCAATAGCTCATTCTTTTTATATGTTCTGCTCAACTTTCCAGTTCAGAGGTTAGAGTTGAAAATTTTGAACAGGACAAAACAGAATAATGACCTCGACACAATGTCAAAGTTGTTCAGAATTCATGATCTGGTAGTTATAATGGATGCTAATCAATTATGTATTACAGTCAGTTTAATTTGGTCAAAAAACAGCAGCCTTTCACTGTATAAAAAATAAATAAATAAAGAAAAGAAAACATATTAAACAAACACATAGCTTGATACAAACATGAAATTGTATTTAACAAAATGAGATAAGTCATAGGATTTCTATATCAAGCACATGAAGGATAATAATATCAGAATTGATGACACAATCCATACCGGGGCAAAGTTGCAGTCTGGATGCACCCATTAGTTGGATTGCTCTTTCTGCATTTCTAATTTCTTCCTGCCCACATTTTATCACATAAGAAGATTATTGATAGTTGGATAGCTCATGTTCAAGAAGTAACTAGGGAAAGTCAAAAAATTATTATACAAATGGAATGGGAAAGTTTTTCCTGTAATTTACATCTGACAGCTTGTTTGAATTTTAGGTATTCATTTAAGAAAAATGTACTGGGAATTACTAACTTTGTTTAGTAACAGCCCTAGGAAAGTTTAAACGACATCCTGGATAAATTACTCATCAGTAAATAAGCAATTAAGGTTGCAGTCCCAAGTCCAGAAAGCATATACATACCTGAGGATCATGGCCCTTTGCAGCTATAAACAGCCCACCTACTCGAACTAGAGGAAGACAATACTCCGCTAACATTTGGGGAAAAGAAAGAACAAAACACAAACAGTTATTTCCTTCGAAGAACTGCAGAAATAAAAGAAATTAATATAGGAAATTTATCAGAATTACCCAAAACTCTCATTTCTGCTACAGCTCTGGCCACTGCGACATCAAATTGCTCTCTATAGCAATCATTCTGCCCTAGATTCTGTCCTAAAACAAGGATTAAGGAATGAGTAATTCATAAATACCAAATTGTCATATAAAAATTGAGAAAGGAACATACCTCTGCTCTTCCCCTTACAACTTCAACATTTGACAACCCAGTAACACTAACTGCATGCTCCAAGAAAACACAACGCTTGTTCATGGATTCCAAAAGGGTTACTTTCCAATCTACACTTCATTGAAAACAGAAAACGACATATTATAAAGAAAAGTGAATGAAACAAAAATAAATTGGAAAAAAAATGTACAAGAGAATAAGACTAAGCTCACCTGGACAAGCAATTGCTAAAACTAACCCAGGAAGCCCAGGTCCAGTTCCAACATCAACAAGTCTGAGATTTTCAATCGAAGAACTGCAATTCGAAATGTAAGAGTTACGTATAGGAGGTAGCATTGCGAGTGAATCCTCTATATGCCTATTCATGACCTCGTTCGCTTCAGTGACAGCAGTAAGATTCATTTTCTGTAACATTAGCAGAATCAAAAACCGTAAAGAAGAGATAAAGAAAGAAAGAATCAAATGCGTTCTCGTATCTGTATAAGAGAAGGGGGAAACCTGGTTCCAGTCCAGAAGTGCATTAATGTATTGGTGAATTTGGTCTTTTTGGCGGGAATTTAGGGTTTCAAAATAAGAAGGTTTATAATCTGATGTTGTAATTATTGTTTTTGAGCTGATTTTGCGAGGAGGGAAGGCGTTTGATTTTGCGATCCGAAGGTGTTTGACAAAAGTCCCGAAAGAGAAAGAAAACGGCGCATTAGGAGCCCTCCACAGACTAACGATCATGTTCATTTACCCGCGTCTGCGCGCGCTCTAATTCCGTTGCAGTTGCACCGCAGGCCAACAAATAGTTGTTTTGCTGAAACTTCTTAGCCTTTGAGTGAAATGCTTTCTTGGCGGGAGTTCAAATAGAAATAAGAAACTGTAGCTAATTTTTATAAATTTATTTTCTTATGAAAATATTAAATTTCAGCAACACCTTCCAACAACTTTGTAAAAAAAATATATTATTTGGCATAATTTATCAGATTTCGTTGCATGATATTCCGTTATAAATTCAATTATTAATAGATAAACATGGTTTCTTTTATGTCTAAATGGTTCTATTTATCTTATACTATGATTATTTGTTTTAATTTGGTTTGCATAATCAAATTACAGTTTTTATTTACTTATTTATTTATTTTTCACTGCAGTAAAAAAGCCCTCCTTTTATTTTATTTGTTAAAGTATATCTTCGTCCACACCACCTCTCACCATCACCGATGACTATCATATTTATATATTTTCCGCATTTGACAATAATTTTTTAACTGGCTATTAGATTTCTACTTTTAATATTTCTAGTAATTCAACAGTTCATAACTCGGTTAATAAATTTAACAAAAATCATAGTAATTAAGCAACTAAGACAATAATAATTATTTATAATTGTTATTGCGATTATGATAATCATAATTGGCAGTAGCATTATTATTATACTTATAGAAAAATAATACAGTATGTTTCCAAAACCAAGAACATGCGGGGACTGATTTCGTTCGGCTAGGTTCGCATACATTAGGCCCAGCCCATAGGGCCCAACTGACTCTCACATGTGCACTTGCAGCTTCACCTCTGGATTATTTCAAAAGCTTTTTTTTTTTTTTTTTTTTTTTTTTTTTTTTTTTTTTTTTTTTTTTTGGCAGTAGCATTATTATTATTACTTATGAAAAATAATAAGTATGTTTCCCAAAACCAAGAACATGCGGGGAACTGGATTTCCGTTCGCTAGGTTTCGCAATACATTAGGCCGCCATATGGGGGTGGGGCCCACTGACTCTCACATGTGCACTTGCAGGCTTCACCTCTGGATTATTTCAAAAGCTTTTTTTTTTTTTTTTTTTTTTTTTTTTTTTTTTTTTTTTTTTTTTTTTTTTTTTTTTTTTTTTTTTTTATTGAGAGGCCTGATGGGGCAAAATAAACTCTCTTTACACTCGCCAAATTGGTAAAATTACATATGATCAAGAGAACTCGAAACCTCTCGTTCCTTATCTAAATGAAAATACCTACCAGACCACATCTGATTGGTTCAAAAGTCGATTTTTCATGACTCTTGTCTAATTTTTTCCAATGGAGTCAAATCCATATAATGAAATACTTGAACTCGATTGTAGTATATTCACTTTTTATTTTGATCCATAAATTATATTGATTAAGTACTTCAATTTATAAAATCATTCTGTTGAGCATTTCAATTTCTAAAATTATAACAATTAAACACTTATTACATGTTGAAAAAAGTAAAAATTATTATCGTAAAAGTTATACTAATCACACACTAAAATAATATTTTAAATATAAAAATAAAAAATTCATAATTTTTAAAAGCATAATAAGTGCCACTCAAATTGAATATATCATAAAGCTAAAACAGCAAAATTAAGCGTGAATTTATGTATTTTGCCCATAAATTAAAATGGTATATTTTAAAAAAAAAAAAAAAAGAAAAAAAAAAAAAAAAAGAAGGTAATATATACAAATCAAATGACATTATTTAAAAAGGGGACAAGGAATATAAGAGGGTGTGTAGGAGCCAACTAATGAAGGGCTGGGATGTGTCAACCTTGTAATGATGATGATGATAAGCAGATGTTTTGGAACCAAACGAAGTCACAGGACAACAACAAACAACAACAATATAAAAAACACTTTCTACTGTTCTGTCATAGGACCAACACTACACTACTCAGTGGAACTCACAGAACGCAAAGAGAAGAGAACAGAACACTCATGCATATGGTGTGGGTCCCAATTCTCCAGAACCTTACTTAGCTAAACTTACACTAGTTTATATCAATTTGGTTACAAAGAGTATCCATGGGAATATGTATCCAAATGGGATGGAGATTCATAGTAAAAAAAATTGTTTAAACATATCGTGTGATAGCTACAATATATAACATCATTATCATTTTTTTAGAAATGTGTTTTTGCAAATGTGATCATAAATGTCAAATTATAAAATTTTATTTCAAAAAGATAATATACAACATGACAATATAACAGTCGTCTCACAGTGAAACACGTAAAAAAGAAAAATTTGGTTTATACCCGTATCTTAATTTGACAACTCATTGCATTTAGACAAAAAAAAAAAAAATTTGTTTTTTGGTGTAACATTTTCCAGGAGAGAAAATGGGTAAGAAGAAATTCAAGAAAATGAGGTAAAGAAAGGAAATTTAGTGGCAGTAGCAAGCATGGTTAAGGACTAGAAGACATGAAATACTGTGAGCTTTTTGATCTTTTGGGTTTAGACTTTGTTTGATGCTAAAAAGATTTTTGAATCTATAGAAATTTTTATTTATTTACTTTATTCTAGAATTTCAAACTTTTTAATCAAACTATATACTTTTTGTTTCACAGAGAAAAGAATAATGGTATTTTTTTTATTTTTTTAAATTTTATTTCCTCTCATTGCACTATTAATATGAAGGATAAAGTGAAATAAAAAGGCTGATTCATGTGTGAATGACTTTATCAGGGTCAAACATAAAGTGATAGCCTCATGGAGAGCAAAAGGGTTTTAATAGTGATTTTTATGGCCCAATGGTTAGTAGGTAAAAATTATATTCTCTATGCTCAAAACTAGGGTATAGCTTCTTATAACCTTCTCCTTATTGGGTAGGTCAAGACATCTTTTTTTTTTTTTTTTTTTTTTTTTTTTTAATTATTTTTCTAGAATTTCAAACTGTTTTATCAAAAAAAATATACTTTGGTAATTGTTTTTCGAGGAGCACACACAACGCAATAATGGCTATTGAAGTTCTTTAATATATAATATCCTCTCTTAGAAGATTTCGTATATAATATCCTCTCAATTGCGACCCCTATTGAATAAATATGTAGAGTATAACAATAGCTTGCTGCATAAACTAAATAAGTACGTTCTGATTGCATGGAAAGATTAGTGTAATGACTTATACAGTCGCTGTCCAAACTCGAGTATAGTTTGAACATAGCCTCAATGGAGAGCAAAATTAGGGTTTTAATAGTGATTTTTTAATGGCCAATGGTTAGTAGGTAAATAGTAGATCAATTGTCTATTGCTAGAAAGAGAAAACTTAGGGTATAGTCTTGTGTGATAGACTTTACTCCTTATTGGTAAACTGCGTCAAGGAAAATACTTGCTTTTTTCTTTCCTGTGTGGTTGTTTTTGTGCATTTTTTTTTTTCTTCTTGAAATGAGGGTCAAGTCATCTGTGGATGGATGTCTATATTCTGCAAGAGTCGACTATTCAAATAATAATAATATATTGTTTATATTGATCATAAACGAGCATTTTGCCACACTGCTCTTTACACTCGGAGAAATTCATTGCATTGACTCGTGGCTCTGTGATCAGAGAGTTAATCTCAGAAATTTCAGAGTTCAAAATTTTATTTAAATGACTCGATAAAGATAGGTGAAAAATCATTTCTGAATAGAAGAAAAATGCCATAAAATGGTAAAAAGAAACCAGTTTACTGAGGGTAAAACTAATGTTTTTACACCCTAATTAAGTATGACGACAATAATTTCAATAAAACTTTTATAGGAGGTACCTTTTTTAATGACATTATTCGATTAATTTTTGAGAACCCAGTTAATATAAATTGTAGAAATGTAATGAAAAGATATCGAGTTGTGAGAGAGTGAGTCTAACTCTCGGAACAGAGCTTTCATAATCACAAGGAAGAGAGACATCTATAACCGACCAAAAAGCACAAATTAAGATGGTTACTAATATAGAACTTTGCAGCTAGGATTTTGGCACTAAATATGCACAATATAGATGGAGTGCTATACCAAACTCTCAATCGGAAAAAGATTACATTTGAGAGATAAAGTATAATATCCTATGCATTTCTAAGCCGGTGAGAGAAATACCTATAGGGGTCCTTCACAATGAAAAAATAGTGATATTGGAGGATGCGTACACAAATCAAAAATAGCTTGTCCTTAATTATTGGGAATTGTCCTTACGTATAGTAGACGAATATAATGTTGTATAAAATTGTAGCTCAAGTGCCTTCCACACACATAAGGTTGCGTATATATAAAATAAGAAAATTGCTTTTTTTTTTTTTTTTTTTTTTTTTTTTTTTGAAATGAGGTCAAGTCATCTTGTGGAATGCATACCCATCATATCAAATTAATAAAATTATTGATCAATAACCATTCGTGTCCGAAATTCATTGGCTCGATTAATCTGAATTCGAGTCAAATTTTATTTAAATATGATAAAATAAACAATTTAATAGAAGAAAAATGATAATGGTAAAGAAAGTTTATGAGGGTAAACTAAGTTTTACATTAATACAATATTTCAATAAAATATATTTTTAAATGAATATTTTAATTTTGAGAAATTATAAATTTAAATGTTATGGAGTTCTAATTAATCTAATCACTAATAAAAAAAAAAAAACAAAGCACAAATTAGACTAAATAGAACTTGAGAGGATTTGCTAAACACAAGAGATATATACAAATTAATAAAAAAATTATTTGAGAGATAAAGTATATATTATCATATCTAAGCTAATACCTAGGTCCTTCAAATCAATAGATGATTGAGGCGACACAAATCAAAAAATGCTTAAATGGGAATCTTTACGCTTTGTTGTAACTTAGCTCCAAACTTCCAAAAGCTAAAAAAAAGAAAATGCTCACCAACCTAGTTTTTCCCTTTTTTTTTATAATATTAGAAAAATAATAATCAAAATAAACTTTTCTTCTTAATAATTTTCACGAAATTAATAAAAATTTATAATATAAATAAAAAATAATTTAAAATCTAATAAATATTACATAGAATAAACAGCAAAAAACAAATTTATCATCTTTCCCAGATATATATATATAAATTTACCAGATATATATATAAATTTACCAGACTTCTTTTTTGCAGCAAAGTGCCAATTTTGTACTCTCTCACTACTCTTTTTCTTTCTATAATTCCCTCGAAATACCAAAAACTCTCTCCATCGTTTCCCTCACCCTGTCAGTGCTCCTGATATTCCAATTTCTTTTACTATAATAATATATCTAATTAGCTAATTATTTACATATATAAATAAATTAAACCCATATAATAAAACGGGTATGGCCTGCCAAAATTCTTATCTTTACCTAAACCCAATAAAGCTTGCCATTAACATTTCCCTCTACACTCCATATACAGTCACAAACAGCCTTTTACAGTATTCTTAATTAAAAAACAAAGTAAGATAATATAATAATAAAGATTTTAAATTAATCACTGTATGTATAAATAATTAGAAAGTAATTAATTAAAACTCAGTAATCAAATGTTTGTTTAAAATGTCAAAAGTGCCAACTGCCAAGTTGGGATTATGTGATTGGGAGTTGAAAAGGCAAGAACAAAAAAATAAGAGATGCATATGATAATTACTCTTGATGAAAAGATGATGGAAATGGGGTCCCTTCCCTTTTCATACAGAACAAGAGCATAATAATTCTCTTTCTCTCTCTTTTTCTTTCAATGGAGAGAAAGAAAAGAGAAGAGAAGAGAAGAGAAGAGAGACATTCTCTATTCTCTCTTTCTCTTTCTCTCTCTTATTTTTTTTTTCTCTCTGCAAAAAAATGGCACGCAATACCTTGGATTTTTCTTCAACCTTTGAACACTATCACCCAACAGCAATCATCATGCCCTCCTCCTCCACCTCGCGCTTCTCACTCGCTATTCACCACCATCATCATTACCCTCTCACCTCCACTACGACTACTGCTACTAGTACAACTACTACCTTCTCCTTCTCCTTCTTCTTCTTCTTTTCCTTCACTGTCCTAAAACCAAAACAAGAAGACCCACCAAAGCAAGAACAAGAACTGGAAGAAGAAGAAGAGGGTTTAGCAGGCATGAAAGGAAAACCTAATAGCTGGGGTTTCACTTGAAGTAATTGATCAAAGGGGTCTTTATGATCCGATCGACAAACTACTCGGGGAATCAAGCGTCTCGGTCCGATTATTTGCTAGATCAAAGCAAATCCACAACAAGAATAATATTTAATTATTAGAAGAAACTTTCTTTTTGGTTACAAGGTTTTATTTTCATTTTATTTTTTGTTTCTTGCTATATATGGGGTTATGCTATTTTTAGATGATTTTGTTTTGTTAAACTCAAAGAGAAGATGTTAATTATGTTATGTGCTTGTTAATTAATTTTCTCTGTTTGAATAGATCATCGTCATCGTCATCGTCATCATCGTTTTCATATCACATCATCTCTATACTTTATTTAATTAATGTTGATAAATATATTTCTGTAGTCTCTTTGATTGTTGGTCCCATGAACAAGAATTTATTGCTCTTAATCATATACATGAAATTATGAGCTTATTTTCTTTCTCTTCTTGTTGAGACCATGAGCAACCGTATACAGTACCCAGCAGTTTCCGTTCTCATTGACAAAAGCAAACTTTAATACATTTCAAGAACAGGTACATATGAATTAGGGTTTGCTGTTTTCTACATAATATGCACTTGCTACTTAATTATATATATGTGTAGATCTTTCATTCTATATAATATGAACAGGTACATATACATGCACTTGCATATATTTGTGCCTAAACTTGCTATGTGATAGAGATAATATGTATTGGATCCTCTTATCTATGTATATTTCTTACTATGAATTAATTAATCTTTCAACAAGTACATATATACATTTTTGTGTAAATGAACTTCACATCGAAGATTTATGTCCAATCCTTATGTATATATGCAGTACTTTTGACACCTTCATCATCATTCTGTTGGAATAATATTAATGGTTCAAGATTCAGGAAATCATTTACATTTTTCATATTTTCATATGGTTGTTTGTTTGTGCAATATTAATGTAATTAAAAATAAACAATAATTAAGAAAAGTCCTGCCTTTTGACAATGGTGATATATTGAAATATTTGTATCTTCAGCTACGCATGCTGCTGCTGGATGCCTTTTTTTTTGTCAAAAAAAGTGGCATAATCCAGGTATTTTCCAAATACATAGGGTTGGCAACCGCTCAGGTTTCTTCAGGTATTTGACTCCATGGCAATCAAATTCGTTTACGTAGTTGATAAATGGATCTTAAATCGATTCGGTTCTATTTTTATTATTCATGTTGAGACTTGAGTTATCTATTTAATGAGTACTTTACCATTATTATATAATTTATATTTTTTTTTTGACATTGATTATTATATAATTTATATCTTTATAACTATATTATATTTAGTATAAATGCTATATGTTTTATCAAGTCAAAATAAGTTTTTATAAGTTTTTACTTTTTTTTATTTTTATAGAAATATTATAATATATTCAATTTATATTCATTATTAATAAATTGTTGAGATTTTTGAAAGAAATTGATTATTAGACTATTAACTCAATTAAAAAAATATTAATGTTATTCTAAAAAAACTTGAATAATTAATTTCGATTCATAAAAAAAAATTATTTATCTTACATGCTAACATCATTCCTAACATTGTGAAATTGCTACTGGAAATCCTAGTAGGAGCCAATTAATAGATTCCAGTAGGAGCTGGCTTAGTGTAATATATACATACTTCCAAATATAGAAATGTTAATCAAATGCAAATCCAAATTATAAGAAATGTAAAACAAATTTCCAAGAAAGCTATTTGACATTATGTGCAGTCTAAAGATTCCAGATTTTCTTGCTTCCAAAAGCATGTATCATATGCATATGCCCTGCCTATATATATAATGCCATGACGATAAGCCTCTCTGTTACTGATATTCATATCTGCTTTTATAAGCACTGACAATGCACCTACTTTGACTGAATTCAACACTCACCCTATGATATTTCAAACTATATATATATATATATCTTTTTCTTTTTTGAGAAAATATTTTCTTTCCCAGATTAATGAAATAAAAAAAAATGTTAATAAGGATACTCTTTATCAGGATGTCAAAATGGGTCATGACACATGAACACGATTCATTTAATATGCAAAATAAACGGGTTAGAGTTGAGGTTAAACTGGTTCGTGTCATAAACGGGTCACTAATTTATGACACGAATATAAACATATTATGTCACGGGTTGATATGCGGGTTAGGCGAGTGACCCGTTTATTTTAAGATAAAGAAATAATTTTAGTATCAAATATAAATATACAATTAAAACCGTATTTAAAAATTTATTGTTGTATTAATTTTTTATTATTTTAGTCATAAATCTTGAAAAATCTATGCATTTTATATATAAAATTATATTTTTAAATATGATTTGAGTTAAATAGATTAAAATTTAAATATATCATAAGTAGGTTAAGTGTGTAGTATACGGGTCAACACGATCCATTTAACATATTTATGATATTAGGTGGGTTACACAAATCGTATAAAAATCAACACGACTCATTTAACTTGTTTATGATTTTAGGCAGGTTATACATGTCGTGTTCGTGTCACATGCCTAATTTTCGTGTCGTGTTTGTGTTGAGATTTTTGACACGATTATTAAATGGGTCATGTTCGTGTTGACCCTAATCGTATTGCGGGTTAGGTGAATTCGCATCGAACTCAACACGTTAACCTGTTTTAACACCCCTACTCTTGATAGCGCAAAAAAAAAAAAAAAAAAAAAAAAAAAAAAAAAAAAAAAAAAAAAAAAAAAAACCTACTCTGGATAAGCGCAAAAAAAAAAAAAAAAAAAAAAAAAAAAAAAAAAAAAAAAAAAAAAGAAAAAAAAAAAACAGAGCGAAATATTGTAAATTAAAAAATTAGCAATACCTCCTTATTGGGCTTATTTTGAAGCTCATTTAAATTAAGCCTAACCCGGCCCCACAATTTCAATTAGTAGTCTAGGGGGTGCATTTTGCAACATTAACCGCGGTTCGTCCGATCCACGGTTAGTGTCGTAGACGCGATGTCATAACTTATAAAAACTAATATCATTAATGAGCTAGCTTGTCGTTGTAAGAACGAGAGAGAACCGATGCATATAAAAGTAACTAAAAAGCTCAATTCGCGCATAAGATAAAATGCATAGAAGTCCTTATTATTCACTTTATTCTAATCAAATATTAATAAAAAAAAAGTCTTAATTTCAATTTAACCAATACTGCCAAATAAAGAAGACATCAATTTAATTAATGAGGCCCATTTACTTATAATTTTAACAAATTAAAGTTTGTACAGATTTTTTTGTCGATCAGGGTCCAAACTGATTCAATGAAACAACTGTCGTTTGCTCAATGATCCGAATAAACACGCTTGACCTACACGACCAATTATTAAAAGGGATCGAGTCTACTTGTCCCGTTCATAAGAACCAATGAACCGATGCATATAAAAAGCTAAAAAAGAGTCCAAAATATACTCCGTTGAAAGTGGGACCTAATAAAGATCTTAGCTTGAATCAAAAAAAAAAAAAAAAAAAAAAAAAAAAAAAAAAAAAAAAAAAAAAAAAAAAAACAGAGGCAAATATGTAAATAAAAAAATAGCATACCTCCTTATTGGGCTTATTTTGAAGCTCATTTAAATTAAGCCCTAACCCGGCCCACAATTTCAATAGTAGTCTAACTGGGGTGCATTTTGCAACATTAAACGCGGTCGTCCGATCACGGTTAGTGTTAGACGACGATGGTTATAACTTATAAAACTAATATCATTAATGAGCTACTTGTCGTTGTAAGAACAGAGAGAGAACCGATGCATATAAAAGTAATAAAAGCTCAATCCCATAAGATAAATATGCATAGAAGTCCTTATTATTCACTTATTCTACAAATATTAATAAAAAAAAGTCTTAATTTATTTACCAATACTTAAATAAAGAAGCTCAATTTAATTAATGAGCCCATTCTTATAATTTTAACAAATAAAGTTGTACAGATTTTTTTGTCGACTCAGGGCCAAACGATTCAATGATAAACACTGTCGTTTGTTCAATGATAGAATAAACACGTTGACCTACACGACCATTATTAAAAGGATGAGCTACTTGTCGTTATAAGAACAATGAACCGATGCATATAAAAAAGCTAAAAAAGAGTCCAAAATATACTCCGTTGAAAGTGGGCCTAATAAAGACCTTGCTTGAACCTTGCAGCTTGCTTTGTCTTCCTCCATTTTTGAGTTTGAGTTCGAGTTCAATTGAGGTTTCCAATTTTGCCGACCTGTGGTGAGCCTTACTGGTTACAAGCTCCGCTGCTCCAGTTATTGAAACGGTGTCGTCTTATATTAATGGACTTGTGGACACCACCATGGGCCCTCCGTGTTCGGCCTTTGGACTTTGATTTGCAGCTTTTTACTGTTTGGGTTACATGAAAAGTCTCCAGCTTGTTTTTGTTTTTGTTGAATTGATGGCTTGAATCATGATAAAACTTTGTAATTCTTTTCGTATTTTTAAAAAATGATTTATCTCGAGAATATTTTATAAATTATATAAAATTTCATTAATTAATTAAAAAAATATAACTCTTGATAATGAGTGACATTAATGGAAAATATTAACTTATTTTAATTGTGTAGAATCTTAATCTTAATTTATTTATCAAATACTTAAATAATTAACCTCAATTAATTAATGAATTAATATCTAAAATATCAATTAAATTAATCTATGTGCAAATATAGCTCTTGTATTTTGCAAGAGCTGCTATTTCTTGTGCTAGTCCAACAATTTGGAAAGAGGCTTCAAATTTTATTTCTAGTTATTTGATTTTTTTATATATTTTTCTAAGTTTTTTAAACTTTGTATTCTATACCTAAGGATGTGTATATGAAGGCTTGAGTTAGCTTTTAATTTTTTTAAAGCTAGGCTGTTTTTAAATTTTATTATTAACAATATTTAATATTTATTTTTTTAAAGAATTAACAATTAAATTTTTCTACCATATTTGTTGAAGATAAATTCTCTTATAATTTTTTCAATAATGGGTAAAATAATACTCCATCCATTCCATTTTGTTTGCATAATTTGACAAAATACGCATATTAAAAATTTAGTCAACAAAAGTTATTTTGCGCTTCTTTACCCTTAACTCATTAAAGATATTAATAAAACTCTTTCATTTAATGAAGGATCATTAAGGTTATCACGAGAAAAATAATTGTTTATATGTCTAAATTTAGAAATCTTACAAACATATTAAAACACCTAAAAAATGAATAACAAGCAAACAAAATATAACGGAGGCAGTGGTATTTTTCATACACTTTAATTGTAACTTCTAATTTGTCTGTGGACACATATTGATCAATAAATATTTATTGGGTGGTGATGTTGATTGGCTACCAAGATGGATCTAAGCTCAATCATGTCACATTATATGTTGAGCTGCCAATAGAAAGCTAATCCTCTTTGCATTTGATACATGCAATGCAATAAATATGAAAGCATTGATTGATTTAGGGCATGCAGTAGGGACAAAATCACTATATGCCCTTCAAATGCAAAAAGCAATCAATCTGTCTTTTAATGCCACAAAGCAATGGCCACTAATTGAACCAGTGAAGGACGAGACTCATGTCAAGAGCAAACTTTGGGACCTCAAGCCTCACAGAACCAAAACAAGTGACTCATTAGTAACTTTGTACCGATTCATAAAATAAGGAAGTGTTAACCCGTCGTAAAATGTAAAGATTTTCTGCCCATAAATGTGCTTTTTTCTCAGTTAGCCATAGAATTTCTATTCAGGGGCGAAGCTTAATGGAGGCTCCCTGCCTATCCCAAGAAACAAAAAAAAAAAAAAAAATGTAAAAAATTACAATTTGAACCTTAAAAATATCAAAAGGTTATTATTTGACTCCCCTAATAATTGTCCTAACTCGTTCTCTGGTTCTATTCTTACTCTTATGCCCTCTAAAGAAAACTCAGGCTTGAGAGAGTTGACTCTTGAGAAACGCGGTTGTTCCACAACATGATAAGCATCCGTTGCTACCTAATAGGCTATAATAGTTCCCACCAGATTGAAATCTCCATTTCTTGGAGCTGCATTCTAGTAATTATCACATTTCATTACAACAAATTACATTTCTCCACTAAATTGTTTATTTTAATAAATGAAAAAAAAATAAAATCTTAAATGTTAATAAAATAAAAATATAAACTTTCAAATGTGAAGAAGTTTTTTTTATCAGCAAATTCAATTTATCTTATAAATATACCAGAAAAAAAAAAACTTAACTTATCAAAATAACTAATCCAAACCAATAGACTTCTCAATACATTCAAATTTAGCCTGAAAAAGTTACGTGAAGAAGGATTTGTTCACTGATTAAATTAGATTACTTAAAAAAATATCGAATTCTCAAATTTATATATAAAAATACTGCACTAAAATTTTAAAAGATTTCAAATAAAAGATTATCTTTGAGTTTTGTCTTCTAATCCTTTCACTCTATATATAAATGCCATTTTTTTTTTCCTACTACATGGTTAAAGATAGTATAAAATAGCATATTGAAGATGTTTTGGCATGCATCTTTCAATTGATAAATGATATAATTAGCCATAATTGATATTTGAAGTAAATTTTTAAATAGGGGCTAAAAAGAAAATAATAATATTTAAGATGCTTTATCTAGCTAGATGTAAAAAATTAAAACCTGTAATTGTGAAATGTAGGTAAATTTTTGAATATAAATATTATACTAAAATTTATTTATTTATTGAAATATTTACTGTTAGCAAAAAGCAGAAAAAGAAAAATGTTGAATACAATTAAAAAAAAAAGGGAAAGCAACACTTGTATGAGCTTTGGACGGCAAGAATCAGCCATCATATATAAACAAACATCCCCTTATTTATTTAGTTGTCACAATGAGTGTACGTCTAAGCACAGCCTTTCAAGCCAAGAAAACTACGTATTTTATACTATACATTTACTTTATTTATTTTATTAATACATCAATTTATTTTATTAATCTTTTTTGCCTCAATTGTTTTATCCTTTTCATTCAAATATGAAATTAAGTTTAAAAATTATGATATTTGGTAAAATTAAACGTGTATATTGGACAGTGCACTTCCTTTTTCTTTAGTGTGTGTATTGGATGAACTTTACTAATAGCTACCGGATAAACTTGATTAGAAGCTGTTGCTTTTTTTTAGTCAAATCTAAAACCGATGATAATACGTATTAAAAAACCAATTAAGGAAAAGACAATTTCTATACTATGAGGTTAAGGCATTAGTTTTTCCTTTTTCTCCTTATGGCCCCAAAAATTTTACTTTATTTTCATTCTCGTCCTTACCTTAACAAATGGACCCTCTACACTCCACAGAACTGTAATTAGTAGTCAATGCAATGCAAAGCCACCATAAATATGTTTGTTGAGAGTCTAATAAGTGTTACTTCAACCTAAAGGTTATTAAATATGTCTCATAGCGTGCTCATTGATGATTTAATCTCATCATAACAATAACATTATTCATTCCTTATACAATTCCAATTTACCATAAATTCACACCGAAGTAGAAACATTAATATTTGCTATGTGTGAGAGAGACCGTGTGTATTGGTAGCCAATCAAATAATAATATTCCTTATAGTAATGTTGTCTTAAATATGACATCAAATGATCAAATGTTGTATGATACTTCCTCCTTCCACAAATATAATCTATTTAAAATTTTTGCATAATAATAAAAAAACGATAATTTATCTAAATTATAGTAAAAAGTTCATTAATTTAACTAAATTACTCTTTCTCTCACACCATCAGTAATTAATGTGTTTGATATTATATATAATAAAGAGCAAATCTTAAACTAGTAAGAAACTTTTTGGGTTATTAAGTTGGTTTTAGGCCAGAAATAAAATCATACGGACTTGAGTGGAGTCTGTCAAAAGCGGATAATACTTTATTAGGTTTGAGATATTTTATATATATATAAAAGGGTAATATTCGCGAAAATAACACTTTCAAATGGAAAAACTAGATAATTTAAGAGGGTTTAAATTTTATAAATAAATGGATGCTTTAGCCAGTTAATAGAGAGGTAATAATAATTTTAAATAAGCTTAAGGACTAATTGTTAATTATGCCCATGAAATAAGGCTCTCTGGAACCCCACACTGAGTCGCTGACCACTTCTCTCTCTATCCAAAGAGAAGAAGGTTCATTTTGTAAATTATGAACTCGATGAGGTTTAAATACTAAAGAAAAGTAGTAGCCACTAGCGGAGTGAAGAAAGTTCTTTGCTCTCCTCTCCTCTCCTCTCCTCTCCTTCTCTTGCCGTCGAAAAATAATAGTCAAATCTTCCACCCTTTTATCCAGACTCAGTCTTCTTCACCACCATATCTTCCGCTTTCGCTTACAGCAAAGCTTCCCTAAGTTTTCCTCTTTCTGCTTGTTGTCAAAGCTATGGGAGGTAATGGAAAGCACAGATGGAAAATCTCTTTCTATCATAGCTCTAATTCCAAACCCAAACCAACTGATCCTCCAGGAGAGTTTCTTTGCCCCATTTCTGGGTCCCTAATGTCCGACCCGGTTGTTGTTACCTCCGGCCAGACCTTCGAGAGACTTTCTGTTCAGGTTTGCCGTGACCTAGGTTTCGTTCCTCCTCTAGACGACAACTCTATTCCGGATTTCACTACTCTTATCCCCAATTTAGCCATCAAATCAACGATTCTTAAATGGTGTGATACTTCCGGCGCCGAACACCCTCTCCCGCCCGATCACAGCTCCGTCGAAAAAATCGTCCGTAAGAAAATGATGGAATCGAGAACTTCAAACCCTGATATTAGAGTTTCTGAAAGGGAGCTGCTGAAAGGCGTGGCGGAGAATCCTCCGGTTTTATTCTCGCACGCGGCAACCGAGTTGGCTCACCGACCCAACCATTTCTACTCGAGCTCCTCTGAGGAATCGGTGATTGTTAACAATGAAGCCGCTAGCCCGTTTACTCCGCTGCCGCTTGCGACTCGGCCAGCATGTTATACTTCGTCGTCTAACTCGTCATCAGAAATTGCAGAAGTCGAAACCCTAACCCTATCACAGAATCCTAATCCTGCAGATTCCGGTTCCAACTCTTCCCTACCTGAAGAAGAAGAGATTATGGTTAAGCTGAGAAGCACTGAAGTACACGAGCAAGAAGAAGCGGTAATCGCGTTGAGAAAGCTTACCAGAGCCAGAGAGGAAATCAGAATTCCAATCTGTACTCCTCGACTACTCAAGGCTCTCCGTTCCTTGATTGCCTCGAGATACTGCGTCGTGCAAACAAACGCTATCGCTTCATTGGTAAATCTATCGCTGGAGAAAGTGAACAAAATTAAAATCGTACGGTCAGGATTTGTTCCTTTGTTGATTGATGTATTGAAAGCGGGATCCAGTGAACCGCAGGAACACGCCGCCGGTGCACTCTTCAGTTTAGCTTTAGAAGACGATAACAAGATGGCAATTGGAGTATTAGGCGCATTACAACCATTGATGCACGGTTTAAGGGCTGAGAGTGAGCGAACTCGCCAGGACTCGGCTCTGGCTTTATATCATTTGAGTCTCATACAAAGCAATCGAGTCAAGCTAGTGAAATTCGGCGCTGTGCCTACACTACTCAGCATGTTAAAAACGGGTGACTTGGCGAGTCGGTTGTTGCTAGTTTTATGCAATTTGGCTGCTTGCAACGAAGGGAGATCGGCAATGTTAGACGGAAATGCGGTGGCGATTTTGGTGGGAATGCTGAAGGAGGAAAATGAGCAGGCTGACTCAGAAGCGATCCGGGAGAATTGTGTAGCGGCATTATTTGCATTGAGTCATGGGAGCTTAAGATTTAAAGGGCTGGCTAAGGAGGCAAGAGCAGTAGAGGCGTTGCGGGAAATAGAAGAGAGAGGGAGCCAGAGAGCGAAGGAGAAAGCAAAGAAGATTTTACAGAAGATGAGAGGAAGAGGTGAGGAAGATGAAGAGACTGATTGGGAAGGGGCATTGGAATCTGGTGGACTAAGCCGGTCACGGTACCGAGTTGTTGCGGCGGGTAGAGATCTTCATTCCCCAAACTCGTCCAATTTCTGATCGTTGTAAAGTTAGTAATTATTTTTTTATTATTTAAGATAGGAAATGGATGTGTTTTTAATTTAAATTTTTTCTTTTTGAGTTATTAATTGATTGTAATCAAGGTAGGGGGTTTTAAGGTTATGACTTTATGAGTTGTACATGGATATATGTATTTTTGAAGAGTGATTAAAGAACACAAGTCAGAAGAAACATTTGGTTTTTGTTCAACTGCTTGCTTTTGGTTTGTTTATTTTGTTGGTTGCCTTTAAGCTTTGGCCTTATTTTGTTGTGGCTTTTTGTTTTGATGGGGCATATTTGTAAGCTATGTATGTCCCAATCCCTTCCTATCATTTTTGTTAGATTGTTTGTTTTTATCAGCAGAAATCTCCAATCCATGTATTAATACTGTGTTCGTATTTCTCTTCGTGAAGCTTAACAGACCAGTTTAGACTTGACACTTGAGACTTTACGTCAGATTACAGTTGATGGGCCTGGCCTGGCCTGGTGTCTGTTTCCCAAAACCCAGCCTCCTGACGTATCAAAAGTTTAATGGCCGTGCTTCTCAACAGCAAATCAAAAGTTTAAGGTGCTAAAAATGGCAAATTTGAATATTCATAGTCCATTTCCATTCTTAAAAAATAAGTAGTAGGTGCCCCAAATTTTTATTATCAGGCCCTTAATATTTTTCTTAGTAAATAATATTGTAGGTAAAGCTGAAACTTTCACAATTTATTTGATTTATTTGTCTAATATGATCACTGACGATAGGATAATCAAATAAAGCCTCTTTCCACGACACTCACCAATTTGAAACGACAAGCCGCCGCCTTAACTACAATATTATGCAATGGTCCCTATATAAAATTCCACTCTGTCGTCAATGCCGGCATACCCACAGGAGTCAAAAACCAAATACATAATGCAGAAAAATCGCAAACGAAAGCAACAGAAACCGGCAGAAACTGAAACGGAAGCAAAATCAGCCAAAATCATAAATGGCATCAAACAGGACCCATATCCAACTCACTCTCGACCCACACCCGAAGAATGCCGAACCATACGAGACTCTCTGTTGGCGCTTCATGGCTTCCCTCAAGAGTTCGCCAAGTATCGTAAGCAGAGACAGGATTGCTCCATTCAAATTGATTGTGATGCTCACTGTGGTGTGAAATCAGAGCCGGAAGAGAGCGTTTTGGATGGTTTGATTAAAACTGTGCTTTCACAAAATACTACCGAGGTTAATTCTCTAAGAGCTTTTGCTAATTTGAAATCGGCTTTTCCCACATGGGAAGATGTAAGTTCTCTTTCTTTTTTTTAAGGGTATTTTATTGCTTTTCCAGTTGTTTTTAATTAACGGGTAGTAATAAAGTTATGAACTTGTGAAGTTGTTGATTTCAGTTCTATGCAAATGGTATTTGTGTTTTTATTTGATGGAATTGGAATGAACTATAATAAAATGGGATCATAAATTTTTCCGTACTTTAATGGTTTATGTTCTGGCCTAATAAGACGTGAACTGTGGGAAAATTTTACATACCTTTTCTTGTTTTTGGACATACACTATCATGGTTTCTTGTTTAAAATTTTGGGCAATTTGGTTATTTTTGAGTGTTATTGGACTAGCTTTTTTGTTGTAATTTGAATTGTTCGCATGATGGTTTCTCTTTTCAATTTGTTTAAGGTACTTGCAGCTGAATTTAAATGCATAGAGAATGCCATACGATGTGGAGGTTTAGCTCCAACAAAAGCGTCATGCATTAAGAATATATTGAGTTGCCTGATTGAGAGAAAAGGCAAGCTATGCTTAGAATACCTTAGAGATTTGTCAGTTGATGAAATTAAGGCTGAACTCTCTAATTTCAAGGGAATTGGGCCCAAAACGGTAAACTTCTCTATTGATGACTTGCCAATGTCAAACTATAATTAACTTAAAATGATCTTTCAATGATTGGGGAATGATAGTTTTAATGTTGTGCTATTTTCATGATAGTCAAACATACTGCTTTTGTTTATTTCTGACTGTCTTTTGCAATTGTTTCATTTTTGGTAAGGTGTATACCACATCTATAAAAATAATCTACCATGTATTTTTCTCATACTAACATCAAATTTTAACCTCAACTTTTTGCAGTTTGAATGATTTAAACCGTAAATGAATATAATTTTGCAAATGCTACTATGCTGTCCAATTGATTGCTTGGTATATTATTGTCCACCAAATTATATCTCTTTGTATATTAGATAAAAAGATGTTGAAAGATATTTGTCTCTGACCAGAGTTGGTTGGACATAAGGTCCTTTTGACTCCGGTTGAGTCTGCCTGTTTGGTTTGTGGGTTTGCCTGGTGGGAATTTATTAGTTTTGCAAAAGTCCATTTTTCACTTACATCGGGAATCAATTTCTTTTTTATTTTCTGCACAAACACATGTACAATATGTTTTTACATGCACATTTAAATGTTTGATGAGAAGTCGCTGACAAACTAATACTGCCACGCATGCATATCTATTTGCCTGTCTCTATATATGCATCAGCAGGTTGCTATTGATAGAGCTGTGTCCCAATCATTAAAATTTACATGGTTTGACTTTATTTTAAATTCTATATACGTGCAAAATTTATGCATTTGTGTGAAACTATTTACGGTATGCAAGGTTTTAGGCTGACTATTGGAAGTGCTGGCATCTTTAACCTTTTTGTTGCTTTTCAAATTATGTAAAAAACTAATGATTGTGAAAAATAATTGACAGGTATCTTGTGTTTTGCTGTTCCAACTTCAGCAAGATGATTTTCCTGTGGACACACATGTGAGTAATATATTGTTCATGTAGGTGCAAAATTTTCATGATATGGTTAATTTCAAATGAGTGCAAACCTATTCACATGAAATAAAACATGTGCCTCAGGTGTTTGATATTGCAAAGGCCATTGGCTGGGTGCCTGAAGTGGCAGACAGGAACAAGACATACCTTCATCTAAACCAACGGATTCCAAACGAGCTCAAATTCGATCTAAACTGTCTTCTGTTCACGCATGGTAAGCTTTGCCGTAGATGCACCAAGAAAGGGGGCGGCCGGCAAAGAAAGGAATCCCGTGATAACTCTTGTCCTTTATTAAATTACTGCGATAACTCTAGTGTTAAGACAATCAATGAAGTGAATTAATGATAATCTGCACTGCTTTGAGTGGTTGAATTCCACTTTTTCTTTAAAAAGAGAATGCTTTTCTCTTCTGTTATCTGTTTATCTAGAAGATTGTGGATTATTGGACCACGTTTGGTGGGCTTAGCAAGAAATATCAGATTGAGCTTAACTTTCCCGACACAACTTTAGCTGGAGGCAATTTATAGGAACAACATATCATCTATGCATTTAAAATTTTCCCTACTTATTTACAGCTGATTCTGGAAGTTCAATTTGTCTGCTTAAAATATTTCTGTTATTGGAGGAAATAGTTATGGGATAGCATCATAACAAAAAAATCCAAAAGTTCCTGCTTTAAGCCTTTCCCATCCCAGAGGATTAAATCGCATCATGCAACTATCAAGCACAAAAACTTTTGTCCATAAAATAAGATTTATGCTTACAGGTAATAAAATATTACTTGGTATTGTGAAAAGGTTGTCCATATCTTCTTGCTTTTCTTTCTTGATAGATTTGCTTACATCAGTATCCACTTCTATGTAATCATGCAGCTTCACTAGGATGATACTGTAGGAATTCTTGTAGAAAGGCTTAACTAAGTAATGTTCTATAAGACACTATGAATTGTAAAGTGAGAAATTAGTGTTGAAGTCTGGTGCTGCCAAGCTAGCATCTCCAAGTCTTTTTGACTTTTTGGTTTGCCTTAAATTCTTATCATTGTTTTCCTTTTGAATTAATGTCTACGCTTTCAAAATGCTTGAATGGTATATCCCGGATTATTAAATTGCTTATAGGATCTACTTGTCTTATTATTATTGGTGTTCATAGATTGGATTGGTAAAATAAGATATTGCATGGATACAGTAAAGTCGATGCATGTCTACTTTAGTAAATCCTAAATATTTTTTTTGCCTCTTTCGACTCCATTGGCAACTTTATACTGTTGAGGTTTGAAATGTCCTGCTCAACTCTAGTTTGTACCATACAGCCTGAATCAGTGTGCTATCAATAGAAATAGACAGAAGTTTTTAGGAATATGAGACATTCTGAACTTCAACATTCTGAACTTCATATTTGAGAGACATTAGGGATATATTTCTTTAAATCCACTTGTTGCTTTTGCTCTCCTTTGCAAGGCCATCTAGCCCAGGTTCATGCTTTTATTTCTGAGACTTCACATGGAAGTGAAAATACTAAGATTATTTGGCTTTGTGGTGAATCCTCACATCAAGGGTGAAAAAAGGCTCAAGTGTTTAGAAGAAGGAGATCCAAGTGGGAAGTCCCCAGAAAAAGTTTCATCTGAAGTGAAGAAATCTGCGACAGGGAGATGTTCAGGGTATGAACTGAAGCAAGAGAAGTACGAGTGTCAGTTTTGCTCAAAGGAGTTCAAGAACCCACAAGCATTGGGGGGTCACCAGAACGCCCATAGAAAGGAGAGGCTAAAAAGGAGAAGAATGCAACTTCAAGAAACGAGTAAAAGTTTCAATTTTTACCTTGATGCCCCCTATAACCAAAACAATCTTGTTTATCATAATTCTCTTTCGTGTTTTGATGCATTCTCTGCTTATGTACCTCAGTTCAAGCTCTATCAGGAATCTCTAATTACGTTCAGTCCCTCACATCAGAGCCAAAACTTTTCTTCTAGTATATCTAATGTGTCCAAAATCATTCCTCCAGATCCCAAAAACAGCAAAGAAGACATCTCTGTCAGGTCTACAGTCCTCAAGCCTTCTCCTTCATATACTTTGAAGGGGTGCCAGAAATCCGTGTAATTGAGCGCGAATAATGTAGAGAAGCTTTGATTTCTTTCTATTTATTTCTGTTACGTCTTTTTTGGTATTGCAATTTTTTTTTAGTAATATTTACTTTTTCTGTTTCTTTAGGGAAACTTTTTTTACTAGTACTAAGCACAATTCGGCCAAACCAAATGGAACTGACTGGTTTGGTTTCTAAGTTATTAACTTCGGTTATGAATTTTTAGATAAAAATCAAGAAAATTTTATTTTTGGTTCGGTTCTTAATTCTTAGAAAAGGAAAAAAAAAAAAAAAAGAAAAGATGGAGCGAACTAGTTTGGTACATAATTTAAATATAGTTCACTTCTTTTTAAAAAATTCAATTTATTAATTTGCATCGATTTAATTTGATTCGAATCAAATAAACTTAATCCGATATTTCTTATTAAGAAAAAAATAAATTGATTATAGTCAAATTAATACATAAGGAATTGGTATCTCCATTTAAAATAGTATTTTTTTTTTAACTGGTAATTGGCTAGAAAATTGGTCCTTCATTTATAGTTAAATTACAATAAGGGCCTTAATTTATAATTTTGATCAATATTTTGATTATTTATTTATGATTTTCGTTAACACTTCTTTCGATTTTTATAGAAGGACTAAAAAACAAAAATCTCACAATTAGTTTTTCAAAATAGAGATTCTTATACATTAATTAGACTGCAATTTAAGAATAAACTTATCATTTTGCCCTTGTTGTGGCTCATTATTACCAAATACTAACTACTCTAAACATAGATTTAGGCTCCGTTTATTTCAGTAAAATAACTTACTGAAAAATTATTTTTTTCAAATGATTTATTTTTCATTATTTGGTTGTAATATTGAAAATTAGTTAAAAATATTTTTTCGGCGAATTGATTGGTTAATTTCAACAAAGTCTCTATCATCCGTCACCAACATACTACCCACTCGGCCGTAGAACAATAGCAAGAAATGCGAAGCACAGCGAATCACACCTCCATTACCATCCTTCGCACATGACCAAACCCCTCATATACACCCAACCATCTTGCTCGAACTCCACTAACACCACACCTCACCTACACACACAGCGCTAGCCACACTCACTTTACGCACAAATCATTGCACAAAGCGGACGCACCACCGCTACTCGGCCCCTGACCATACCTCATCCCTCCCCACTCCAGCAGAACGCTCCATCAGTGGCCACTGGGTCCTGACCAACCTACTCACGACAGCCACAAGGCACTACAAAGTCGGATCCCCAGACACAGGAACAACACGGATCCAATTGAACTCCTCGCTCCTATATGGATCCCTCTCACTCTCAAAACCTAACCGGGATTACAATATCCTGTCGATACCAACACCCGCGAAGCTCAGAAGAACTCCTGACCAAAATCTACCCGCTTAAACCACTGGTTCCCTCCAATCCGCCCCCATGCTGTTCCCAACGCCTATTGCGTAAAAATCGCCTTTGCCGCTAGGAATGCAACCAAGAAGGTGTCCGCCCTCGCCGTCCGATCCTTCTCATAAGACAGCACACTGCTACACGCGCCCACGGGCGACAAAGGAAAATAGGGAACAAATGCAATCCTCCGGTTATCATGACACACTAATCTCCTTGTGCCCTATCTATTAAGAATTACTGCACGCCCCGATAACTCTCGGAAGTGTTAAGACCCAAATCAATGAACATGGTGAAGCAAAAATTACGATTCCTAGGATAAATCTGCAACTGGACTTTGGCTCCCACGTGGTTGAAATTCCCCACGTCTCTAACCGGTCTCCTCGTTTTTCACACACACCCACACACACGACCAGTGACACCGAACCTCCCCTCCCGTGCACCGCTCTCCTAAGCCTTTTTCCTTCAACTGGTTAATGCATGTATCTTCTCACTTCTAGGAAAGAATTGCTCCCCTATTCGGATTACTTCATTCGGAACCGAACGTTATCGGTGGCGCGCCCACTTAGCAAGACAAGGAAAATTACTCACGATATATAATAGAGAGCTCTAAACTTCTCGCCGACCAAACTGCTTAGCTGCGACCGGCAAAACGAAAAGTCATCTATACGGAACAAGAGGAAACACCTACACAATTGGAATCTTCATCTCACTGTGTAGCATTTTAACAAAATCAAAATACAATTTTCCACTAAACAAGTTAAATGAACGCCCTACTTATTTTCACCAGCTGGATTTCTGGACAGCATATCGTCTATTTAGCTGGCTGTGCATCTTATTTACTTAAAAACTCATATTTCCCGTAGTTTAGGTGTGTTGAGAGTGAAACCACCCCCAAACCTTCTCCACCACTTATTTGGTGATAGCATATCCACTTACAACTCACTTCAAAACTTAAAATCCATATACACGCATGTGGTCCTGCTTTAAAGCCGTTTTCACCCAATCCCGCTCAGTGATAGGATTAAATACGGCCATATCAGTTGACCCGGTCCTGCACACACTAATGTCAGCACCAAAAAACTTTGTCCATTAAATAAAAGAAATTTATGACTTATCAGGTACATAACACTAAACAAATATTACCAATTATACTTTGGTAATTGTGAATGAAGGATATGCACATATAATATCGCATATTATAACATTCTTGAAAATATGTACATATTTGAACTTAACAATCAATAAATCTCAACTTCTATGTTAAATTCTAAACCTCTGTGAGCACATTACACATAGTTAGATTTATTAGATTAATACGCGAGCACTCATGACGCCATTCTCGAACATTGCTCCTCTCTTTCGAACGACTTTATCTTAATGCACCTCAACGCTAATGTTCTTAATTAATAGACACACATATTTACATGAATTGTACAACGCTCAAGTAACCCCTAATTATATAATATAGAGTCGATGTCTCCGCGCTGCTGCCAACCGCCTACGCCACTCTCCCAAGCTCTTTTTGGACCTTTTCATTGAGTTTGCCTTACACCACATTCTTTGTATTCCCATTCGCTCCTCTTCACTTCCCTTTGACTCCCACTTAATGTCATACGCTTTTCCCACCCAACATGCATTGCAATGGCTTATATCCCGGACCTTAAATTAAAAAATTCTCGCCTTATAGGGCCCCTCTACTTGTCTTATTATTCATTCGCGCTGCTCTCCTCACGCACTTGGCACTCTGGTCACACACTCACACACACACTTGCGCCCCACTCGCGCGGATACAGTAGCTACGTCGATAGCATGTTCTACTTTCAGTAAATCCTAAATATTTTTTTCTTGGCCATCTTTCGACTCCATTCGGCAACATTTATTACTGGTTCCGAGGTTTTGACCAACCTCGTCCACCCCTTGTCAACTCTAGTTTGTACCATACAGCCTGAATTCTCCAGCCCTCCACATTTACTGACTAGCGCAATGTAGCATATCTAGCTGTTGCTATCAACATATGAAATACCGACAGACAGTTTTTTATAGGAATATGAGACATTCCATGAACTTCAACCATTCTGAACTTCAGTATTCGAGAGACAATTAGGGATACTATTTCTTTAATTCCAACCTCCGCTTTGCTTTTTGCTTCTCCTTTTGCAAGCATCTAGCCCTCAGGTTCGATTGCTTTTTATTTCTGAGACTTCACATGAAGTAAAAAATACTAAGGATTTATTTGGCGTTTGTGCGTGAATCCTCACATTCAATGGGGTGAGAAAAAGCATACAACGTGTTTTATGGAAGAAGAGATCACAAGTCGGATAAGTCCCCAGCAAAAAAGTTTCATCTGCAAGTGAAGAAAATCTCGCGACATGGGGAGATGTCTCACGGGTATCGAACTGAAGCAAGAGAAAGTACGGCAGTGTCAGTTTTTGCTCAAAGGAGTTCAAGAACCCACAAGCATTGGGGGTCACTCCAAACGCCCATAGAAAGGAGAGGCTAAACACAGGAGAGAATGCAACTTCAAGAAAATCGAGTAAAAGTTTGTCAATTTTTACCTTGATGCCCCTTATAACCAAAACAATCTTGTCTTTATCGATAATTCTCTTTCGTGTTTTTTGATGCATTCTCTGCTTTATTACTTCCAGTTCAAAAGCTCTATCAGGAATCTCTAAATACGTTCAGTCCCTCAACATCAGAGCCAAAACCTTTTCTATCTAGATATATCTAATGTGTCCAAAAATCATCTCCTCCAGTCCAAAAAACAGCCAAAGGAAGACATCTCTGTCAGGTCTACAAGTCTCTCACTCAAGCCCTTCTCCTTCATTATACTTTTTGAAAAGGGGTGCCAGGAAATCCTGTGTACATTGAGCGCGAAATAATGTAGAGGAAGCTTTGATTTCTTCTTATTTATTATCTGTTACGTCTTTTTTGGTATTGCAATTTTTTTTTTAGTAATATTTACTTTTTCTGTTTCTTTAGGGGAAACTTTTTTTACTAGTTACTAAGCAACAATTCGGCCAAACAAATCGGACTGACTGGTTTGGTTTCTAAAGTTACTTAACTCTCGGTTTATGAATTTTTAGATTAAAAATTTCAACAGAAAATTTTTATTTTGGTTTTTCGGTTCCTTAAATTCTTAGAAAAGGAATAAAAAAAAAAAAAAAAGAAAAGATGGAAGCGAAAACTATGTTGGTACATAATTTAAATATAGTTCACTTCTTTTTTAAAAAATTTCAATTATTTAATTTTGCATCGATTTAATTGGATTCGCGAATCCCAAATAAACTTAATTTCCCCGATTATTTCTTATTAAGAAAAAAATTAAGAATTGATCATAGTTACAATTAATACATAAGGAAATTGGTATCTCCTCTTAAAATAGTATTTTTTCTTTTAACTGGTAATTGGCTTAGAAAAATTTGTCCTTCCATTTAATAGTTAAATTACAATAAGGGCCTTAACTTTATACATTTTTTGATCATATATTTGATTATTTATTTATGAATTTTCGTGTAACACTTTCTTTCGTTTTATAGAAGGACTAAAAAACAAAAATCCTCACAAATCTAAGTTTTTCGCCAAAAAGAGAATCTTTATACATATATTAGACCTGCAATTAAAATAAACTCTATTCCATTTTGCCCTTGTTGTGTGCTCATTATTACCAAATAACTACACTCACTCTATAAAACATAGATTTTAGGCTCCGTTTTATTTCAGTATAAATAACTTACTGGAAAAAATTATTTTTTTCAATGATTTATTTTTCAATTCTTTGGTCGACCTGTCAAGTATTGAAAAATTAGTTAAAAAAATATTAAAGTCTTATTCTTCATAAAACTATAAAAATATTAATAATAATATAATTTCATATAACTTAAAAAAATTTTATGGGTTAAATCATCAGACCATAATAATAGAAATTTTATAACTTAAAAAATTTTATGGTTAAATATGAAAATAATAAAAAATATATATATATATAAATTATGAAAGCCGACTGTGGCTGGTGGTGATGGTCAATGATAAATGGTGACTGATAGTAGTGACTATGATAATTACTAAATTAAAAAAATATAAATTTATAAAATTCATCAACATTCAGAAAATATTTTACTCTCTAAAAAATGCAAAATTATTTAAAAAAAACTTAATTTTTTTTAATAAGAAAATATTTTTTATTAATTTGTTTTTATAAATATTTCAAATAATAGAAAATTACGAAAAATATTTGTGTACGAATTATTTTAAGAAACAATCGACGGAGCTTACAGTTTGAAAATTGTCTTTCCTGTAGTATGTCACTTGAACACGTGTTTGGTTTTAATTGGACCATCATATCAACCCAACTCACCAGCTGACGTGGAATTACGGATTCACTATATTAGATCGATTTTTATCATCTCTTCAAAAAAATCAAGCAATTTTGTTTTCTGGTTGAATCACTGGGACTGTAAAGAAGTCATGTCGGCTCGAAAATCTGGGACATGGGTTCTGTTGTTTTTGCTCGTGTTATTCTGTGTCTTTGTTGACCCATCCATGTCCCAACTTGATTCACGCTGGTCAGCTAAGAAGAGGCAGATGCGAGAGGAAGTTCGAAAAATGCAAGTGTCTAATTTAATTCAATCTTTTGTCACTTTTTAATTTGGTTTTGAACTTTTCATTGATGGGTTTTCAATTTTGTAGTGACTGGATTAATGGATAAGCTCAAATTTTGTTGCTTGTTTCAGTTTTGGGGGAAAATTTTGAATGAATTTTTTTTTTTTTTTTTTTTTTTTTTTTTTTTTTTTTTTTTTTTTTTGGATTTGGTATTTTTGTTATTTTTTTTGCAAATTTTGATCTTTAAATCAAACTATATGGACCTTTGGTGAAATATATTGAAGATCTTTTTTTCTAACTGTTTAAAGTGGCCAAGATTGCATCGAATACAATGTATACTGATGTTGGAAGTCTGCAAACTAGCTTTAGGATTAGGCTTAGTGGTTCTGTGTTTGAACTCGTTAATCATCTCAATTGGAAATTGCGAGAGACACGACCGAGCAACCAAGTAAAGAGTTTCTTTCTTTTCAGAACTTAGTTTTTTTTTTTTTTTTTTTTTTTGGATTTGGTATTTTGTTATTTTTGCAAAATTGATCTAAATTCAACTATATGACTTGGTTGAATATATTGAAGATCTTTTTTTCTAACTGTTTAAGTGGCCAAAGATTTGCATCGATACAATTATACTGATGTTGGAAGTTGCAAACTAGCTTGAATTTAGGCTTGGTTCTGTTTGAACTCGTTAATATCAATTGGAAATTGGAGAACGAGAGAAAGTAAAGAGTTCTTCTTTTCAGAACTTTAGTTGATTATTTTGAAGAGTTAATGTGTTTCTAAGTTGATTTCGTTTTTATTGGCTGCAGGTTCTACCATGCATATGAAAACTACATGACACATGCATTTCCGGTCAGTTAATATCTTCTTGATTGATTCTTTCTCTTGTTCATTAGTATTCCTATTCTTAAATTTTTTATCCTGAATTTACTCTATGAAATTGCAGCATGATGAGCTCAAGCCTCTCACCAAATCTTTCACTGACTCGCTTAGTGAGCTTGGAAATTTGAAGGTATTTTGTGGTTTATATCAGTTGGGATTGGGAGTATGTAGTATTTGGGTACTAAGGGAAATTGATAACCTGTGATCTCATTTGCAGCTTGAGCACTTACCACAAGACTATAATGGATCAGCCCTTACATTAATTGAATCATTGTCTAGGTACCTCAAATAAGACACTTGTTCATGAACTTAAATATATTTTTCATTTTTCAGTCAGTTACAGGTCATTGTTAATGGTGTTCAAAGGTTTTGAATAACTATTCTGATACCACTATTTTTTTCCATCTTCTCTCACAGCCTTGTTATTTTAGGCAACTACACAGAATTTGAAAGGGCAGTTATTTGGCTTTCTGAAAATTTGTCATTTAATGTTGATGCACGAGTAAACCTATTTGAGGTACTGATTGTTAATGTTCCTTGAAAAACTTAGATTTAATTGATTCTGTTGAGTTTTTTGTGTTTCACCTGGTAGCACTGGTTTTTGATCTTTGAAATTTCAGAGAAGTAACTTTTACTGTGAATCAGCTTGCATTGAAGGCGCTAATTGTTGTCTTCTTATGTTTGTTCTATCCTGTAGTGCAATATAAGAGTTCTTGGGGGACTTGTTTCTGCTCATCTTCTTGCGACTGATTCTACTAACAAGCTGGTTCAAGGATCTTACAGGAATCAGCTGCTAGTTCTGGCCAAAGATTTAGGGCAACGTTTCCTACCTGCATTTGATACACCTACTGGATTGCCATATGCCTGGATTAACTTAAAGGTACAACATGAAGCATACTTAAGTATAGGAATGTGCCTCAATTCTCAAATAAATTTGGAATTTGCAACAACTAAATTTTACTTGGAAAACATCACACAAGCTTGCACATTTTTTGCTAAAATTGCCACTGCAAGTCATTATAGCTGTGAGGAGAAGAAAAGTTATTGTGCCTTGACAAATATATGTTATCATTGCTTCTTATATAATGTAATGATATACTAAATATTGGTATTTTTCTTGCATATTCTTTCAAGACTAAAATATCTTTTTTTGCAAACGGGGAACATCTCTGGGCAAATATCAGAATGCGGATTATTTCTTATAGTTAAATAAATGATGAAGATGCTAAGTTGGAAAGTATGAGACCAGTCCAAAATGTTGTTTGCACACATGAATTTTATGCATATTGATCTTAAGACACAATTCGACATAATTTGTCTGTGAATCTCAATCAACATTTACCTTTCTAGTTTTAGGAAGCATGAATCTATCTGCTGGTTTTGTTTGTAAGAGGGATATATGACTCTGCAGCACTGCGAAAATTCTGTCGACAGTATGGAGTCATGGAGAATGAGACGACTGAAACAAGCACCTCAGGATGTGGTGAGAATCTTACCGTTGCAGTTTATGACAATGCCATCGCAAAATGTGCTTTACTGAAATCAGTTGACTTTTTTTCTGAATTCAGGTTCTCTGATTCTTGAAATGGGAGCATTATCACAGTTAACTGGTGACCCTAAGTATGAGTCTGCAGCTTTGCGTGCACTTAGGAAGTTATGGAGTATGCGTAGTTCATTAAACTTATTAGGAACAACATTGGATGTTATGACTGGAGAATGGATTGAGCATTCATCTGGAATTGGAGCTGGTATATGTCTCTTGGGCTTTGATATTATTTGGCATAGGGTCTTGTACCATCGAGTTCATTAAATTTTTCAAATATAAAATTTTTATCACTTATGTTGAATAGTATTGAATTTTTTAAATGCACTAGAGCTCACAATTTGTATTGCATGGTTTTTCAACATTATCTCAGAGATTTGACCTTGGCGTTTTTTATTCTGGATTCTTTGTGTGTTTATGCAGGGGTTGATTCATTCTACGAGTATCTGTATAAGGCTCACATTCTTTTTGGAAAGGAGGATTTCTGGAGAATGTTTCATTCTGCTTATCTTGCTGCGCAGAAGTATTTCAGACATGGCCCATGGTACTGCATTGAGAAGAAATATTTCTAACACTGGGTTGAGGGGATTGGGGTCTGGTTACTTTCATACAATTGACATAAAACTGGTGATAGAATAGTTGGAAGAACTGTGGAAGTGAATGAGTTATTTGAAATTTGTTACTGTAAATTAGGTACCATGAAGCTGATATGAGGAATGGGAAGGCAACTTATTGGCAACTGACGAGCCTTCAAGCTTTTTGGCCGGGTCTGCAGGCATGTTACATGATGTTAATGAAAATTTGTTTCTTCCTGGAGTATGGTCTTAATTTTTGTTGTAATTAGGTCCTTGTTGGGGATATAGCAGCTGCCAATTCATCACACCGTGAATTTTTTTTCCTATGGCAGAAGTTTGGGGTGCTACCAGAAAGGTATAATGTGCTTGTATTTCTCTGATCTTAATGCTATTACCGTTAAATTGTCATCATGCTTGGCTTTTTACATTTTCAGTATGTGCTTATTTAATGGTGAAGTTAGGCATTGAATATGAAAACATTTTTAGGTATTTGCTGGACCATCAAATAGTGCATCCTACAGAGAGGTATTATCCGTTGCGTCCTGAATTGGCAGAATCCACATTCTATTTATATCAAGCAACTAAAGGTCTGTTTATCATTGTGCAACTTGGATCATGGTTACAGCCCTTAAACTAAATGCCTATTCTTAACCTGTAAACATTGTTCTTTGCATGTTCTAGATCCATGGTATATAGAAGTGGGTGAATTAATTGTTAATTCTCTTAATTTATACACCAAAGTTGAAGGAGGTTTTGCCAGCATTCGAGATGTGACAACTATGCAAAGGGAAGACCATCAGCATAGTTTCTTTCTAGCTGAAACGTAATAGTTCTTTTCTTCAGAATTCAATTTTTGAACAAAGTTCTATTTTCGACTAGGCTTTTTATTTGACACGTGAAATTATATCTTATCTATACCTTTTTGCATTTTTGTAGGTGCAAGTACTTATATCTTCTCTTTGATGATTCATTTTTGACTGATCGAAATTATATATTCACAACTGAGGGTCATCCTCTACCAGTGCTAAGCACTTGGCAAGAGAGGCTTCCAGAGGCATACATCCCAACAAACTGGACTTATGTCAAGGTCTTTCTTATGTACCTTTCTCTGTGAAAAATATTTCATGGTTCAAGGAATTTATTCTCATCAATCCCAACAACAGTTGTTGTTTCCATCAAGTATTTTTTGGAAATGAATATCAATGTGACAGTTGAATTGCAATTTTCTTTCAGAATTATTATTGTAGCAGTTGTGCTTAATTTATTTGTTCCATAATTAAACAAAGGCGCCACATCGGTAAATTTGAAGTATTAATTTGTGCAGAGTGAAAAGCAAATAAGACAGTCAAGTGCAATGTCTCGCCAAGTCTGTCCAGCTACAAGTTTGAGTTCGAGAAATGGCAACCAACAAATTGAGAGTGCTTGCCATGTACCTGATGCTCGCAGTGACCACAGGTGTTTCAGTGATGAGGAATGTGGGGTTGCATCGGTTAGTTGTAGACGAAGATCATGCAGTGTGGCTGGCTATTGTGGGCTATGGTTGTTTGTATGATGCATGTATAAAAGAGGCATTCTTTTGTCGACATACAGCAAAGTTATCTTCCAAAAAAAGGAAAGGAAAAGAAAAGGTATTGTCAGGTATGTAATCTAACACTAGTTAGATTAAATAGAAAGGGAAGAAAAAACTACAGCTCTGAATTTCTTCACTATAATGCAGTTTAAACTTATTCTCATATGCAGGCCCTTGACTGAATTTTTGTTACATTACAATATTGTATAAGTTTTTAAAACATAGACATCTTTTTCATTTTCAATCATTTTCTAATACTGTAATAGCATGTTAGACTTTGTGAACGGATTGTCTCATTCATAGACAGAAAAACATTGTGAACAAGTCTATCTTGATAATTGATACCAAACTAGAACTTAGAATGAGACAATACAATATCTTGCATTGGTACATTGTTGGTTGAAGGGAAGAGTTAAACCTAGAATCATACGAAGGGGGTTGTTCAAAATATTTGTTATTTATGGATAATATGCGGACTTGGCTATGAACAGAGCAGAGCGAAAACAAAAGATAAGATTTATATATCCGAACATAATTTGGTTTGGGATTAAGGCTTAATAGTTATCGTTAGCTGTCATATTAGAAGCAAATCCATATATATATATATATATATATATGATTGAAGTTTCATAATTTAAAGCTCAAAGGCTGCCACATGGTTTAATGTCCGCTAGGAATATAACTTAATGATAGTAAGGAGTTTGTGTGGACAGAAGATGGAAACGCACAAATATTAAAGAACAGGTCTCATATCATATTTGTTCCACTCACTCTCGCAAGATACTGCTTCCAGCTTACAAAGATTGTGAGTGTTGTCCAGAAATGGCAACCAACAAGGAGTTCTTGAGAAGTTTGCTTGCCACATGTCCTGATATGTCACACCCGCTAGTGAGACCGACATGAGGGTGTTTTCAGTTGTAATGAGGCATGTAAAGGAGATATGAGGAGGTGTTTTCACAAAGATCGGATTTACAGTCTTGTTAGACGTAAAGATTCACTATGCTCAGTGGTTGGGGGTTTCATTTATATGTGGGGCTATTGGTTTATGTTTTGTAAAGATGCAATTGTCATTAGATGAAAATTATTATTGTACGTACGGCAATATTTCGATTTGTACGAAACAATTTTCTCAAGACAAAAGATTATTCTTTCTCAAAAAAAAGGTCTAGAGAAGAGGAGCACAAAGGAAAAGGTGGTGTATATTAGGGTTTCAGGTAACATTGGGTTATCTTATAACACTAGTAGATTTATAATTAAAAGAGGGAAGAAAAACAACTACCACAGGGGGCTTCCTCTGAGTTATATTTTTCATTATAATGCAGATTAATACTCTTCAATTATCATAAGCAGAGGCTCCATATGACTGAAGGATTTTTGGTTTACATTAACATATATTTGATTGATAACAGTATTTTATAGAATACATTAAGACATCTATTTCAATTCTTCAATATATGTTCACTAATACTAGGGGTTCATGATTAGCATAGTATTAGGAATCTTATGAATGAATCCTGGAATTGTCTCATAATAGTACAGAATACACATTGGCTTGAACAAGTCTAGTCTTAGGAATAATTATAATATTCAACTTCGAAAACTGGAAATTGAATGAACAAATAGAATATATCTTTATGGCACTATGAAAAAGTTTGTATGAGTATGGAATTAGGAAGAGTTAAAAGATAGAATACTCTATTACTGATAGGAGAGGTTGTTCACTTATGACTTCGTTATTTATTTATGAGTGATAAATTATTGCGGACTTAGACACATACTTGAACAGTTAGCAGAGCGATTAAACAAAAAGTGATAAAGATTAGTGATAAAACAAATAAATCCGGAACATTAATTTGGTTTGGGAATTAAGGCTATAATATTTATCAGAGATAGCATATGACTCATAATATAAAGGAGCAATAAATAATCCAATAGTTATTTTATTAATCTTTAATAAACTTCTTCCCTTATATACCAACTATTTTATATTTAGCACATTGGTTCTTCCTTATCATCACAACATAGCACAAGCATAAGATGTAAACCAGTTTCTCCAAATTTTGGGCTTCTTCAACGACCACAGACATTTATGAACATTTCTGAAGCAGTCGACCATTGAAGTATAGCTTTCAAGTAGATTTTTCGCTCACACTATTAAATATATATATATATATATATATATAGTTCTCTATAACACAACACAACAAGAGAAACAGTCAAATTGGTTCAGATTCCAGACTTGACAATCTGAAGCCAGGTCCATGAAGAGCTGGTTTCCACATCAAAAAGTGCAGCTGGATACCAATCCACTTGAGTGTTGTGGACCTCTGGTTAATTGGTCCAATTCCAATTTAGGTGTTAGGTTGCTTCAACCATCAATCGCTTTGGTAGATGGAAAAGGGGAACAATATTATTGACTAGAAAATGGAATTACAAATCATATGCTTCAGCTTGAAAGAATCCAAATTCAAATAATTCCCTCTTTCAAAAACTTTTAATTTAATGTGGAAATAAATAATATGTTTGCATAAACTGATAATTGAGTTTATTCTTTTTACTGCTCGAGTTGGAATGAGTTTAGCTTCACATTCTGTTTATGCGATTCATAATCATTTATGAAATTGACAAGAAATCTTTTTTTTTTTTTTTTTTTTTTTTTGTCCTAATTCAACTGGGCCAACAGTACGCTGATAGATAAAATCCATAGAATCTCTTAACACATGCGGCTTAAATTAATTGTTGCACTGCAAACCTTGCTTTCATTTACACCATTAACGCAGCTGTCCTGTCGCATCTACTTTTTTCTTTTGTGGGTCTCCATTTTTTTCAACATTACATCATCCATCCGTTGGCTCGAGCTTGGTTATTCTGTACCTCGACCCTGACTCAGCCCATCTTGCCCACATGGAACATTTATATTCCATTTCTGCACAATGAAAATTTATTCTTAGTCATGCATTTAGCTATCTTAAAACTTCTTTCTCGTAACAATGCGGAAATAGATTACGAGATGAATATTCGTAAAGACAAAAATAAAAATAACAAATAGAACAAAAGTAAAGAGATGTAAAGAGAAAGTAAGAGCTAGAAATATTAATCTTTTGTCATAAACTCAATTGGCCCATATTTGTGGTGCATCAATTAATTTACATAAAATTATTCGAAGAAAGTTGACTTAATTTTACATTACTACTGGCTTACAAAAGCCTTTTAAGAGCGATTTCTAATAATCTTGGATCAGAAAAAGTAATAAAGTGATTTGTAGATACAAATTATAGTAGAACATAGTTATATAACTACTAAAAAAATGAGAGAAAAATTTAATTAAAATATCGTTGATTTAATACAAATATAAGACTCCAGTATATATGTATACCACCCACATAAAGTTGAAAGTTAAAGGTTTTAAGTTTGTTTATTTTTAAGTTGAAAGGAAACATAATAATAGATCCAAAATATAAAATAAGTGAAAATAAACTTATTAGAATTCCTAAATAGATGGATTTGATTTGCATGTGCGTCAAGGCTACCAAATTTTTGTTGTTTCCCAAGCACACATGGATATTTGACATTAATAAAAAAACAAAAGACACAAATATAAAAAAAAAGAACGTTAAATACGTATAAGTAGAGCTTCCTCTAGATATTGAAAGAAACAGATATATTCTCTTTTTATGTCAAGATATATTATAGCGTCCATTAGATCTCAATATTTCGACAGAATAAAATGGGTTAATAATACATGTATCACCTTACTTCATAATTAACTAAAACTCTGTACTACTAACGTTTATATAAATTAATATAAAGGTTATTGGTTTCTTGAATAAAAAAGATAAAGGGGACATCATATTTACAACAAAGACTTATGTATGTGTCACTTACCTCATGTACACAAGAGTGAATCACCAAGAAGTTAATAAAGCAAATTTCTTTCGATAAATTATCATCTCTCCTTTTTCATTAAATCTACCTTCCTTATTAATAGATATAAAAAAAATAAGAAACGTTCAATGTTGATATATATTTCTTAGGCATTCCTCTTGACTAAGACGTGAAAAGTAGATTATTTATAAGCATAACATATTATTCAGCAAATTATTTAAGAGATGACTATATTATTCACATCTAAATTCAATGGAATCGACTTTTGTCAAAAAATTCATACATTTTTTCCTTTCCAGAATATGAGTGCAAAGATCCATGTCTCCAAGAAAAAAAATGTTGATTGATTAGATGTTATTGACTTTGGGGAGTCTTCCACTAAATTTTTTTTTTTTTTTTAATATACTTATATCATGTGTATATTTTGAGTTTAACCAATCAAGTAAATTGGACCTAGTATAACTATTGGTTAATTAAGAGTCTCAGAGTGAGTGTTTTGATTTATTTTTTTTTTTTTTTTTTTTTTTGTCTAATTCAATGGGGCCAAAGTAGTGATAATAAAATCATAGAATTCTTACACATGGGCTTAAATTAATTGGTTGATGCAAACTTGCTTTCATTTACAACCATTAACCAGCTGTCTGTCGCATTCTTTTCTTTTGTGGGTCATTTTTCACATTACATCATGTTGCTCGAGTTTGGTTACTTTGGTACCACCTGACTCAGCATTTGCCCACATGGAAATTATATTCATTTCTGCAAATGAAATTTAATTCTTAGTCATGCATTTACGTCATTTAACTTCTTTCGTACAATGCGGATAGATAAGATAGCCATATATCTATGTTAAAAAAGAAATTACTTATAATTTATAATAAATGAAAAAAAAAAGATTTGTCCAAGAGAAAATGATTACTAACTACGTTTTATATCATATTTAACAATAATTTTTTTATTGAAAGATCAAATAAAATAAAATAATATTCATTCTGTCCCATTTTGTTTACATGGTTTGACAAAATACGCATATTAAACGTTTAGTCAATAAAAGTTATTTTATTATTTTTTACCCTTAACTCATTGAAGATATTAATAAAAATCTCTCATTTAATGAAAGATTATAAAGGTTATATTGGGAATAATAATAGTTTACATGCCTCAATTTAAAAATCTTTCAAACATTTCATAACATAAAAAAAAAAATAATAAACAAATAAAATTGGACTGAAGGAGTATTATAAATTTCAGAATTAGAGATGACTTTTCCTATCAACCAAAAATATTTTTCTTCGTAGCCCAAAAAAAAAAGTTATCTTGATTTTGCTTGGATTTTAATAATTATATACTTATATCATAGTTTTTAATTTAAATAAATATGATAAAGGAATTATAGTTAAATTATAAGTTAATATATAAAAAATACAAAGATTTTTAACAATTTATAAAATGATAAGAAATAAAATGAAAATTACAAGCGTGTCCTTACCTAGTTTAACGATCCATATCCAAACATATTATTAGTTTCCAGAGGTGGAAGTGAGCTTGTCCCCACATCACACAACAAATCCAATTGTAATTAGAAAGAATAAGAGTGACTAGTTTAGTCAAGTCAGTAGCAATAAACCCTCTATAAAATGCCACCCTCCTCCATTGCTCATATACTCTTCTTGAGAAGCAGCCATGGCAGCAGTTGTACGTTTGCTTCTTGTATCAGTGGTTTTGCTATTCTGCCTCGCAGAGGTACAGAGTGGTTCTCACAGTCAATTTTAGACATTAAATTAAGTTTTTATATAAACTTGCATGCATATGGCAGGTGTCATCTGATTTGAAAATGGAAGAAGAAATGGCCCAGGTTGAGGCTGCTGTTAGAGGTGGAAACAGGAGGCTCATGCAAGAAATAGGTCTCTCTTTCTCCTCAATCTTCATCCATTGTTTTGATATAATTAAATTTCAAATTTTAAATTCTAAACTGATTTGAAATGATGATCAGATTGTGGAGGGCTTTGCAAGCAGAGATGCAGCCTTCACTCGAGGCCAAACGTGTGCACTAGGGCATGTGGCACGTGCTGTGCTAGGTGTAAGTGTGTGCCACCTGGGACCTCAGGCAATAGAGAAGTTTGTGGGAAATGTTATACTGAAATGACAACCCATGGCAACAATACCAAGTGCCCTTAATTTTTAGGACCCTTTTTATGTGTGTTGATGTATCTACCCTGCTGGGCCGGGCCTGGGTTATGTTGATGTGCTATATTTTCTATGTATGACATATATAGGTTTATGTTGTTTCTTTTTCTTTTCTTTTTCAACTATTTATAAGCAACTAAAACTCAGATCCGGATAACTTGAACTTGAAGCCCAACTAAATGAAATTGGGCTCGACCCATAACATTCTTAATATTTTTTTAGTTTTCAAATTAATTACTTAAATTAACAAAAACTTTTACACCAATTAAAAATAACAAAATAATTATTATGATGAATTTTTTATTTTAAACTACAGCATATTAAACATATAAAATTTATTTATAAATGAATTCTATAACTATCATTCATTTGTTCCAAATTATGCCTAGAACTTAAAAGAAAACTTTGTATTGAATTCCATTTTGTCGCTAAGATGATAATATCAGAATTCAAATCTATATAGATTTTATGAAAATGCCAAGTTGCCAAGAAGTGGGTCCCATGAAAAATTCCACCTCATCGTTTCATTCCGGACTAAATTGATATTTGGAGGAATCGAGATGAGCTGGTCAAAAGTATCTCCTTATGGCCCACTCTACTGTTATCTAGCTTGTCAATCCTAAGGGACAACACACGAGTGGCAACTGAGATCATTGACCATTCACTCACTCGAAGAGGCCAATGCATGTGATCATATGACCACACACGTGTTAGATAAAAAATCTCGTAGCCCCACCATGTTTACGACACCGTACGTTATTTCAATTTTCAAGTACCAAGAAAGTAACGTTAAAAAACGTTATTTTAAGGAAAATTAATTGAAAAATAACTCCTATTTTATCTTCACATATTTTCTTACAATAATTTATTTATTATCTTAACCCATGCATAATTTATTTGCTAAAAATTTTACATTTTTCATCAAATAATTAATTTAGAAATAAGAAGAGTGAAGATTTCTAAAAATATAAATTAATTATTCGTATTAAAATTTAAATTTATTTTAAATAGATCTCAAAAATCACACTATAAAAATTTAGCTACAAAAAAAAATTCTCCCCACTAATTAGATAAAAAAAATTTTCCTTACTCTATGGAAAATTTTCTATATTTATTTCTATAGTTTTCTCATAATTCCATCTTGCATAATATTATTCTATAATTTATTTAACTTTGTGGTTGCTTAAGCTATTATTTGATTATTAATAAATTTTATCGTAATTAAATTTCAATTTGAAACATAAAAGTTATTTCATATCGATCTATGTAATAATAAGAACATTTCTTATTATATTCTCCGAAAATCTCTTTAAAAAAAAAAAAAAAAAAAAAAAAAAAAAAAAAAAAAAAAAAAAAAAAGAGCTAACGTGAAATCGTAGCATTTAGACAAGAAACAGAATATATATATATATATATATATATATCCTTGAAGTTACTTATAGAAGAAGGTTCCAATCCAAGTCTACACTCACGGGCTCTTCTGTTTCCGGTTCCATTCAAATTAATATTCTCTCCTGTATGTGGTTTATGTCAGTTACAAACTTCTCGATTCTGAGAACGTTCCTCGAAAGTACTTTGCAAAGTTAACATTGCTTTTCCTTTTCGAATTTCAAGCAAGTGGACACATCTAACGATGTTGATCCATAAATGACTTCAATGATTTTATCATCATAAATACGGTAAATACTCATTTAAAGAGCTTATTATAAATAAAATTATCACAAATTTACTGAAGATTGCATTTTATCTTATTACTATATAGTTTGTACTCCCTTTATAAAAAAAATAAAATAATAATATGATATATGGATGATTTGTTTTGAAAATAGATTTTATGTTATCAATATGATATATGGTTTATACTCTCTTTATAAAGATTATGTTCGTAAAATGAAATTGAGAATTCAATCCTCGTAAATAGAGTAAATACATATTGAAAGTATTAAAAAAAAATACGACAAATCTAACAAAGATGATCTGGGTTGTACTATTTTAAAAAAAATCAACGTGATAATGGCTGGAATCTGATTTTTGTTTCATTGATTGTACTCTTGCAAATTAATGGTGAATTAAAAGTAAGAGGACAAGGGAAGATTCCTGGAAATAAAGGATGAATGGTAGGTAACTGGTTGATAAGGACATCCTTGTTGATTGTTCTTTTTAACATTTGATTTTGCTGCTGGAGGGAGACAATTGGAGTTCGCTTTTGTTGGTAATCATGATCAACAGTCCATAAAGAATGGAGATTTATTAAAAGTTTGTTACTTTAAACTTATCATTCTTGAAAGAATAGATTCTGGTGAGATCGTTTCATCGATATAAGATACAAAAATATACAATATTTTTCTTTTATAACCTCATTATGGTTTGAAAATTTGTTACTATATTTTTGTTAATGTGGAGTAATTTTCATGAAATTTTATATTTTTATATTTTACATCTGCGTATTATCTTATACGAATTCATAATTCAAGCGATAAAACAACCGATGATTTTTGAAAAATTAGCAGTCCTATACATGAAAAAAAAAAATAATGGAAAGGATATACATTTAATGACAAAATTTCTTAATTCTTACTAAGATTCTTCATCTATAATATTATACTAAAATAGTTTTAGTAATTTTATTATTTTCAATATACAAATCATCTCGTAAATTCAAAACTATAATTAAACACATTTGTGTAAAAAAAACAAAAACTCCAGCTAAAAATTGGTTTTTGGTTAGTCATCTCATAAGAAAATTACAAAAGAGTTGTTAAGTTTATTTAATTACCTGCTCTCGTGAATCATGCCATTCGTTATTTTTGCATTTTTTTTTTAATAAAAAATGATGATAGGACGTATCTTAATGCTTCATGTTCCATGCATTTCAAAGTTTTTCACCCTTGCTTGTCCCAAAAAAGCCAAAAAAAAAAAAAAAAAAAAAAGAGTCACCCTTGCTTGTCCCAAACAAAGCCAAAAAAAAAAAAAAAAAAAAAAAAGGTTTTTCTAAACTCTTATCCCACATAACATGAAATCGATCCTAAAAAAAAAAAAAAAAAAAAAAAAAAGGTTTTCTACTCTTATCCACATGAACATGAATCGATCCTAAAGTTTTCGGTTTTTGATTTTGGTTCAATTCGTTTCTGCTGATTTTCAATTAACTTTTTCAGTCCTAAAAATTTCAGCAAAGGTACAAGTAGATATAGATTGTGGTTTATAAAGTCAATAAAATGGAAACTGCTATTTTTGAAGTGTCGGTTTTAGGATGGCGTTTGGGGTTTTACGTGCCACTTTTGAAGTGGAAACTGCTATTTTTGGCATATTGTTTGGCACTTTTTCTCTTCTAATATCAGCAGGAAACTTGAAGCTTAAGTTGCTCATACGAAACAAAGATTATAAAGTCATAATTTCTTTATTTTAATAATTAATTAACTAAAAAAAAAGCAAGATTAATGCTTTTTAGATAAATCTACTTCACCCTAATTAATATATATAAATAAAAAAAATTGATTCAAATAAAAAGAACTAATAAGTAGATTTGTCAAATAAAAAGAATAAAATAATTAAATTTTAAGAGCTTAAATAGTTATTTATTTTTGTTTAATTCAATATTGTGGGTATTTTTTTTTTTTAAAAAATAAATATTGTGGGTGGATTAACATTATGATATAACGGATGACTTACATGGTCGGTTTTGATGTAACGTAGAACTTATTCTAATAAAATAATTGAGATGTTTATTCTTTGGGTTGTCCAACTTAACAAAAAGACGGTTCGGATGGGATTCTCCCGGTCACTCGATTGACTACCCATCCTTTATTTTCTTTCTTTTTCTTTTATTAAATAAAATACCACTGCTTATTCAACAAAATTATTCAAATATACTAAAAAAACAATTAAACAATTAAAAATTATCCAATTAGCAGCTGCCCTTTCTTTAACTCGCCAAATAATAATAATAATAATAATAATTATTATTATTATTATTATTATTATATACAGTACAGTGATTTTAACCGTTTAATAAAATTTATAGTATTGGACCAGGGTTTTTTTAACCATAATTACAACTAACAAACTATAATTCAACCATTAAAAAACAATTAAACATAATAAAACAGACGTATTTCGAAACCGTGTCAGATAGGATGGGCCCGCTCGTTTCAATAGTCCATGACGCGCTTTCTGTGGTCCCCATTTCCTTCTCTATCTCGTCTCACCGAATCGTTGGTTCACTGAGACCGATTTCACAGCAAGAAAAGACGAACGAGGAAGATGACTGAGGAGCCAACCCCAAACTCAAACCCAGATAATGGATAGCAAAATTATGAATAGGAACACGAACACATGTACATGTACGTATACATATACATATACATACATATGTTTATACATGCACGACACTCCCACGTCCACAAGATAAATTTAAAGCTACCGGAAAGAAAGTTTTTTGGATTCTAGTCATTCATTAGCAATTATTGCTTTCATATAAATTCCGGTTTGTTTTCCTCTTATTATTGTAAGCTATAGATTCATATATTCCTTTCTCTTATGGTTCTTGTGCCGCATGTTGGTCTCTTTGCTTCTTCTTGTTTTTCTCTTGTGGGTCTCGTTTTTGATCGTTGCTTCTTGCTATCGTTTAAACCAGCAAGAGAGAGTGTTTTTGCTGTTGGTGGTAGGGATTGGATTTGTTTTGGGTTGTGATAATGTCGCAGAAGAGGCAGCCTGAGGAGGGCAAGCCTCGTCCAGAAGGGAATAATCAGGACGAGAAGAGGAGGAGGTTTGATTTGAAGAAGTGAGTATTTATTCATCTTTTGATCAGGGTTTTATTGTTATTGACTGAAATTGAACTGCTTTTTATCCAATTCTCAATCTTGATTGAGATTTTAAATTCTATTGGGAAAAAGCGTGTTCTGCCCTTGATGATTATGATAGAAATTCTATTGCAGCAGTCGAAAACATGAGTGAGAGCTGAATTGTTGATGAATGTGCTTTATCCATGCGTATTCGATTTCCATAAGAATGTTATTAGGAGGATTGATGTGGGTGATTCTGTTAAATGGAGCATTAGGATTTTTGAGTTGTAAGGGAAATGTTGGTTGTGAATGTGACCGAAGAACTGTCATGTTTGGTCTATTCACTATCTACTTGTTAGGAAATTTTTGTGGAGAGTGTTTTCTTTTGCGGAATGTAATTGCATATGGCTTGACAATTTTTTATTTTCTTTTTCATCGACTATTCCCCCTAGTTCTTTTCCTTTTGGATTATTGATTGTAAATTTTTCTGCTTGTTATCTTTTTATCTACTTTCCTGTTCTGGTATCTAATATGCTTTTTGATAATGTCCAGTGTGGTTCAGGAGGTAATTAAGATGCAATCATTCCAGCATTTATTGGAGCCAGTTCTGGAACCATTGATTCGTAGGGTGGTAAGTGCGTTGCCTGATCAGTTTATTGTGGTCCAGTTTGAGCTTTTATGTGTATTCAGAATTTCATGTGTCCTTGAAATCATAAAATTATTGTGATATCTGTATGCTCTCATAATGTGTTAATATTTTATGGGCTTGGATATTAATATTTAATCCCAAACTGCACAAATGAAGGAAGACGTCAACTTAGCCGTTTGGCTCTTTATTAATAGCAATTGCCTTCTCCACTAATCAAATCTTGAGCTCAGAATGCTCTAAAATTACAAATTCCTTAAACCAGCAGAAGCATTCGACTTCGCTACCTATTTCATATTACTGATGAACTCACATGAATTTTCCCTATTACAAACAATACATAGAATTCATTTGATCATATGTCAATGAATAATCTTCTATATTTTGCTTTTGTAGGTCAAAGAGGAAGTTGAATTAGCTCTTAAAAGACATTTGGCCAACATCAAAAGGCAAGAATCAATATTCTGAAGTTTTTGAAATTTTTATTTATCCATAGAGGGAAGAAGAAATGAGAAATATCAAATATGTGTTATTAGGAGCCTGTGACATCCATTGAACCTTGGCACGGCAATGTAATAGCTCATATTTCTGTTTTGCATTTTTGTGCAGAAACAGTGGGAAAGAAAAAGATTCTTCTCAATCAAGAAGCTTAAAGCTGCAGTTCTCAAACAGCCTCTCTCTTCCAGTGTTCACTGGAGCTCGAATTGAAGGAGAAGAATGTTCTCCTGTAAAAGTAGTTTTGATTGATATTCTCTCTGGGAAAATTGTTAACGCTGGCCCAGAATCTTTTGCCAAGGTGGAAATTGTGGTTCTTGAGGGAGATTTTGATAGTGACGAGGGAGACAATTGGACACATGATGAGTTTAAGAACAACATCGTCAGAGAGAGAGAAGGAAAGAAACCCCTTCTTACAGGAGATGTATTTGTGAATTTAAATGAGGGAATTGGCTTTATGGGTGATATTTCATTTACTGATAATTCAAGCTGGACAAGAAGCCGAAGGTTCAGGCTTGGGGCAAGAGTCGTGGATAATTTTGATGGAACTAATGTAAGAGAGGCAAAGACGGAATCCTTCATTGTCAGGGATCACCGTGGAGAACGTGAGTATTTATTCATGCATTCCTATTTGATGAGTGGCGGTAGCATTCCTCTACTGTTTTTATCAGACTATCAAAAATTTAAATGGTGGATGTGATAATAATTTGATTCTGATAGCTCTGAATGAAATTTATTAATCTCATATAACTTTTATGAGTACCATCTTGTTGATGTGATTATTACATCATGTAATAACTGTGGAGACTGGATTGATAAGTGGTGGTGGATGTGAATTAGTTATTCCTTTCTCTTAGTAGGCTTTGCCTGTTCTAGTAGAGAATTTTGTTGACTTGTGCTGTGATACTGACAGATTGAGTGCGTAAGAGAAAATGTTTAAGCCTCATGCTTAAAAGTATCTATCAGTTGACATTGCATATTGTTCAATTTGTATTCTCTTCTTTTGGAAGATTAAAAAATCTTTTAACCATTTTCATGTAGTGTACAAGAAGCACCACCCTCCATCTCTGTTTGATGAGGTTTGGAGATTAGAAAAGATTGGCAAAGATGGGGCTTTCCACAAGCGTTTAAGCAGAGAAAATATCAACACTGTGAAGGATTTCCTGACCCAGCTCTTTGTAGACCCTCAAAGACTTCGCCATGTAAGAATTTAGAGCTTTTAAGTTTTACCTCATTCATTAAAAATCATAATATTTTTGCCATTGTAATATTTTTTTTTTTACTCATTTCATGGAAGATATTTGAGTACCGGTGCAAACTTTTTCTGTTATTTGTTCCTTTTGGATTCTGCATTTATGAAATGATAATACTTAGATTGGAATTTAAACAGATATTTTCTCAAAATTGGAATTTCAGTGAAAAAAGCTTATCTGCTGATGACTGGGACATTACTCGTCTTCAAAAATTCTGAAAAAGCTGGAGATTGTTTTATCAGTGCCTAAGTTGAAAGTGATTATTTTGGTAGATATTGAGTTATTGACACCTTCTATGTGACCGATTAATATAACCCCAATAAATGCATGTGCAACTAGTCATGCTTCAAGTTTCAACATGGTGGACACTTTCAGTGAAAAAAGCTTATCTGCTGATGACTGGGACATTACTCGTCTTCAAAAATTCTGAAAAAGCTGGAGATTGTTTTATCAGTGCCTAAGTTGAAAGTGATTATTTTGGTAGATATTGAGTTATTGACACCTTCTATGTGACCGATTAATATAACCCCAATAAATGCATGTGCAACTAGTCATGCTTCAAGTTTCAACATGGTGGACACCTCAAGTCCATGTGAGATGAAAAAGGATCTTTGTTCATTGACGTAGGCACTTACCCAAAAATGTGTTGATTGTAAATAAGAATCTGAAACTGAGGATTCTAAGGAACTAACTCTGTAGTTAGCTTCATGTTGTATCTTACCTTATTAAAATTTTATGAATTTCTTGAAAAAGTTCAGCAACGGAGGTTGCTTAGTAGAAGGGTTCCTTGCAGTTGTATTAGACATTTATATGAATTTTGTGCAGGTTCTTGGAACGGGTATGTCTGCTAAGATGTGGGAAGTTACTATAGAGCATGCTCGGACATGTGTGCTTGATAAGAGAATGTACTTGTATTATGCTCCTGCTTCTCAACACAAAAGTGGTGTGGTCTTCAATGTTGTGGGACAAGTGATGGGACTACTTTCGGACAGCCAGTATGTTCCTATAGATAAGCTATCTGATACTGAAAAGGCATGTAGACTTTGCCTGAACCCTAGTATTTTTACTCGATTTTTTGGTGCTTGCTTTTATGTAATTTCTGATTTCTTACTATCAATTTTGCCTTCAGATTGATGCTCAAAACTTGGTAATTGCTGCATTTGAACACCCTGGGGAGGTTATCTCTTTTGAAGATGAAGCCTCTCTTGTGGATGGCTCATCACACTTGTCTAACATTCCATATCCTTCAAGCTCACCGAGGTCAGAGAGCTGTAATGGTAACAAGCCTTTGGATTCACACAAGATGGGTGGATTTGATTATGCACAACCAAATGCTTCTTCTCCAGATATTATTTCATCTATGTATTCTGTTGGTGGTGTAAGTGGCTTGGATGATTATGCCTTGCCCAGCATTGAAAATATGGGTCTTAGATATGATCATCCTTTGAGTTTCTCAGGCCAAGTCTCCAACCATCTCATTTGTGACACTGATACCATGACTCAAGCTTTTTGTGACGACGATCATCTGCGGTTTTTTGATCCAGCTATTCCGTCTCATAACCTTGGTTTGGAAGAATCAGCTGATTTACATAGTGCTGTTGAGGGCTTCCTGTTGGCACGTTCCACAGCTGTTGCTGAGGCACAGAGGAGATGGACAAAGATCTCTAGTGTGTTGAAATGGTTCGCTATTAGGAGACGTGTGGCTTTGAAAAGGACTCGTGTTCGAGAAATCCATAGACATTAATGGACCATGTGAAAAAGAAACGTTACCAAGTCACAGTGGCAAGATATAGCATTCATAAAATGCTGCCCGAGTAAAATTTTGTGTGCAGTTGTAGAGATAAGTTGGCTTCATTAGTTGTAGATACTCCCAATCTCTCTCTCTGTCTCTCTTTACATGTCTTTAGCTCTGCTGCACAGATTAGGAAATCTTTTCTTTTAATATTAAACTTGTAAGTATGTAGATGGCGATGCATTGCTTAAATTGAAGCCTGAATATAAGACTTAATAGCTGCAAAACTGGCATGCTAGAATTTATGCAATTCTCATATCGGATTATTATTTTGTATTTGTAGCATTTCTTCAATAAAAGCAATTAAATCTTTCTTTTCGGTTTTCATATATTCTTGATGAGAAGTTATGTATCTTGAGAACCATTCAAGATCTTCGGGATGAAAATCTTTATCAATAAACTTTGATTTTATATTTGTAGTCTCCATTATGTCTGTCTGGGACGTAAAGGACAAGTTTTGGTGCCTCAAAAATCTTCATGATAGATGAAAATTTTGCTATAGCTTGTTTGACCAGGAACTGCGGAGGATTTGCTGTGGCTTTGCTAAAAGACTTAATTTCTGCTAAAGCCACACCAGGGTCATAGAAGATGATTTTGGAAAAGAAAAGCTATTGTCGACCATCACTGTTACTCTGAAGAATTTCAATATTTTGCTAACTCCACCACAATCATGGCCTACAAATAGCTCTTCAAATCATTCAATGTACCAAAAAAATTTTTTTTTAATATAATTTGACTTTTTGTAATATCGAAAGAAAAGGCAAAAGAATATGCAATTAGGGATTTTCATTTCAAGCATTAAATCATTGCCTATAAATAGCTCTTCAAATCATTATCCAAAGAACCCAAAATAACAACAGTTAAAACAAAGGCAAATGGCTAAACTAAAATGCCATGTAATTATTGTGGCTTATCCTGCTCAAGGTCACATAAACCCTCTTCTTCAATTTGCTAAGCGCTTAGCCTCCAAAGGACTGAAGGCCACTCTTGCCACAACCCCTTACACTATCAGCTCAATCCAAGCTTCCCCTGCTGTGGGTATTGAGCCCATTTCTGATGGCTTTGATGAAGGTGGCTTCAATCAAGCTTCAAGTGTAGAAGCTTATCTAGAATCATTCAAAACAACTGGTTCAAGAACCCTAACTGAGCTTATCTTGAAATTCAATGCCACAGGGTTTCCTATTAGTTGTATTGTGTATGACTCTTTGTTGACTTGGGTTCTTGATGTGGCTACAAGGCTTCGGGTATATTCTGCTCTGTTTTTGACTAACTCTGCTTCTGTGTGCTCTATGTATTGGCATTTTGACAAGGGTGTTTTGGATTTTCCTGTCAAGAAAGAAACTTTGCCTGTCTCATTCCCTGGCCTTCCTCCACTAGGTTTCTTCGATTTGCCAAGTTTTCTTGCATTTCCAACAAATCACTCTGCTTATTTGGATGCTGTCTTTGATGGCTTTCACTGTTTAGATGAAACTGATTGGGTGTTCTGCAACTCCTTTGAAGACCTGGAGATTGAGGTAAAGTAACTAAGTCTCATTCCATATTCATAGTCATATACAAACCTAAATTTTTAATTGTATTCATTTATTTTTAATTTTTTAATTTTTGTTTTAATTGAGGCTATAAATTTTGAGAACCAAAGTTTAAAACTTTATTGGCTTAGTCATTCTATTAATTCCCTTAATAAAATTGGTATCAATTTCAAAATATATGGTCTAAATTCATAAGCAGATTTCTAAATTTGTTTCATTCCTTTGATTGTTGAAAAGCTAGTAAAAGCCATGAACGGCCTATGGCCAGTAGTGATGGTTGGTCCAATGGTGCCATCAGCCTATCTAGACCAACAAATTGATGGAGATACAGCTTATGGGGCAAGTCTATGGGAAACAGAAACTGACCAGTGCCTGAAATGGCTAGACACAAAACCATCACAGTCGGTGATATATGTGTCTTTTGGAAGCATGGCAAACATTTCAGCCAAACAGGTTGAAGAAATGGCATGGGGTTTGAAAGCAAGCAATAGGCCTTTCCTATGGGTTATTAAGGAATCAGAAAATAAGCTACCTGTTGATTTTCTAGACTCAGTAGGCGAAATAGGGCTGGTTGTGTCATGGTGCAACCAACTAGAAGTTCTAACTCACCAAGCTATTAGATGCTTTGTTTCACATTGTGGATGGAATTCTACATTGGAGGCGTTAAGCGTTGGCGTGCCAATGGTATGTGTGACGCAGTGGAGCGACCAGCCAACCAACGCCAAGTTTGTGGAGGATGTGTGGAAGGTGGGAGTAAGAGGTAAGAAAGATGAAGAGGGAATTATAACAAGAGAGGAACTTGAGAAATGTTTAAAGGAAGTTATGGGCGGAGAAAGGAATCGAGAAATTAAGACAAACGCATATAAATGGAGAGATGCTGCGAAGAAAGCTGTTAGTATGGGTGGAAGCTCAGATACAAACATTAATCAATTTGTATCCAAGTTGCTAATAGGCAAGGAAGCAGAATTGTCATTTTGCAGCAAATAGCAGAAAATACAGAATAACGGAAACATGAAACGTGTATCATGGAAAACATTCCCATAAAGTAAACCATGTAATTTGGAGAATTTAAAAGAATACATATAACGATATTTGCTAAAAAATTTGATTTCCATAGATATACAAGTGTGCAATTTACATATGCATTCATGTAACATAGCATATTACAGTACTTGCAAGTTTTTAAACAGATTCTCTAGGACATGTTCTCCTGTACCAGAAAGGAAGATGTATTTCTTCTTAAATTGTGCAACTTTTGGATAAGGGCTCAAGGCAAAGTTCAAAAGATGAAACTTATAATTATAATCACTGGATTTTTGAAGAGATCTCACATCTTACAAGCACTGTTATCATTGCATACTTCAGCCTGCAAGAACAATTAGAAATCAATGCATGGATCATGTAAGCATTTCCACTTGATAGAAACATGCAGGACATTAGACTAAGCTTTCAGCTGTTCATTATGCAGGGAAAATAATGTACAAAGAACTCTGAAATTTAGGTTAGTGCCTACTATTTCAGCACTTTAGCTAATAAATTTACCATCTTAGAACATGTAAATTGTTTTTGTGTTCTATTTAATCAATGAATGGTTAAAGTTCTTGTCAAAAATCAAAATATGCAAAGAAATGGAATACATTATTAAAAACTTAAACAAGGAATTTAAGCAGAAGCTTTGCTTACCTTCTTTTTTCGTGCTTCCAAAACTTCCTCTAAAGGAGGTCGGCCTAAAACCAAAATTAGGCCATTGCAATTAAGCAAGTGAAGTATTATATTAAACAAAGAAAGAGCATAAGTCTCACCGCCATGAGTCAGTTTAAGAAGCAAAACAGTATTTCTTTACCTGTAATTTGAAGACGATATTTAGCCCAAACACTATATAGAGCATCAGCGATGGTTCCAATCTGAAAATTGCATTATTTTGTCAAGAATATGATAAAGGCAAAATTTGCAAAATGAGGAAGCGGACAATTACAATCATTAGTGGGACTTACAGGTTCATACTTGGTAATGGCATAAACCCATCCAAGACCAACTTGTTCATACAGTTTTCTGAATGCCTGTGGAAGTTGTCGAGCATCAGTTTATTATGGAGATAAACGCAATTGATGGTGTCTTTGGCATATTTAGACTATCTAGAGATTACATAGCCCTGTTATTATGACAGAATGAACTGACATCTATAGACACTGACAACATTGTGTACAGAAAAATAGCAGGACAACATGAATATGGATCCAATTAGAAGAAGAAGTTTGCCCAATTAGATATTATCTGGTTACATGCCCAAAAAGAGGCATACATGCAATTACAGGATCCCACATTTGTTATGTTATTATGCCCAGCCAAGATTAACAAGCATAACGGAATCAAGAAGGGAAACATCAACAGTTTTACAAATCTAAAATAGTTAAATCAAGACTTGATAAAAGATTAGGGTGCGTACTTCAACATCTGTAACTACAGTTCCATCAGAATGGATTGCATGAATTCTTCCCATAACCTACATAACAAACTCCACTTGTCACAATGTTGCCACTGCCAAGCATGCCTCATATATTATAATGCAAGAAGTCAAGTTGCAAGTAATAATAATAATAACAATAAGCAATACATAATTGATAATTTACTAACAGTTTCGTAGTCAAGGCCTTGATTGTCCTCTGGAGAGTAATCCTCTGAGCTAATGTCAACAAACTTTATGGTGCCATAACTTTTATTCCTCTCTCTAAGCATATTAACCTGACAACATAAACATGGAAACAAATTAGAAATAACAAAGGAAAAAAGATAGCAGGAAGCAAAGGAGTAGTGCTGTGCAGACCTCACGCATGCAAAGTGGGCAATCTCCATCATAAAGCATCTTAATTTTCCATTTTTGAGGAGATTGTTCCTTATCTTGTTTCTTGCTGGTTACGGGATCCACCGTTGCCTCATGAATTGCACGAATTGGATATTTAAAAACTGCAATTGGCTTAATGCGATCAGAATTCAGGCTAAAAGGTATAACAGAGAATCAACGACGAAACCAATTGAAAATTATTTCAAAATAATGCCATTTAAAACAATAAAATTAAAGAGAGGGCGATTGATCACCAGTTTGAGAAGTGGGATTTGATGAAAACCTTCCATGGAGAGGATGAGAGTAGGAGGAGCAATAAAATCTGAGGCCGAGACAGCGAGGAATGGGCACGGGAAGCTTTTGGTTTACTTGTCTTGCAAGAGTGCATGCTCCTCTCATTGCCATTTTTGTGTCTTGTGGTTTCCATGCGCGAGTCAGTTCTTGCTCTTAAACCGCTGCTTCGACTAAATCAAAATATACGTGGCTTCACCAAAAACCAGAATTTTGGCTCCTCAATTACATATTTTTTATTTTCTCAAAAAAATAATTTCATATATTCTTGCCAATATGAAAATTCAATCATTTTTTCTCAATATTCTCAAAAAGTAGAAATAAAAAGTGGCAACATTCCTATTTTTACTGTAAAAAAGTAGAAATATTTAAATTTACTTCACATGATATTATAATATTGAATATTATATATATATATCCAATATCCAATATAAATAAAGCTTGTTTTAATAATATATTATCTATTTCTCTTCCTTAAATATAATATTATTTCAAAATATAGCGTAAAAAATCAATTGAAATATAAGATGAAATTCTATTTTTTGAAAATACCCTTAAAAACTTGTTATGATTTTTTTTTTAAGGAAACAATCTTCATTTGTTCCAAACATAAGTCGAGCAGAGCAAATGGAAACTCTAGTAAAAAGATGAGTCCCAACATTTGATTGTCTTCTAATCCACTTGACTTTAATATCAAGTCTACGAGCAATAATAGATTTACAGTTTCACACAATCATCGTATGTACATATTTAAAACATATTAATTCATATGTGTTTATTTTCATTAAAATCATCATCAATCATAAAATTTATGATTAGTTAAGAAAAAAAAAAGATAATTCTCATGCTTGATTGTTTAAATTTAAAAACGTTAATGAATTTTGTTAGTTATGATAGTAAGTTTCATATTTAAATTACAAGATTGAAATCTACTGTTTTAGTAAATATTTATAAACTTAATTTTCATACTATTAACGAATCTATGTTTTCCAAAAAAACATTATGATTAAAATAATATCTATTTAGTAAGTAACTACAATTCTTTTTACTAATTTTAACGAGTTAAGAAAATAAAAATTATATTATTGTAGACTTGGCAACATTATTTCAGAGACAAAAGCCTCCAATAAAAAAATATATATATATCCACAAGGAACCGAAAAAAAAGTAATACATGGTGCACCAAATCCGCCATTTCATTTTGCGGGTCGGGTCGATGAAGTGGGTGAGTAACCCGGTGCCCATGGTAACTGCCTCAACATGTCACGAGATTTCTTTCACGCAGACAATCACCCTGTGTGGCTGAAGCAGACATTCGGGACCTAGGGAGCTCGTGGCACTCAGCAGCTGCCATTTTGATCACGTCGTCGCTTTTCATTCCAACAGGAAAAAAGAAATGGCATTCCTTCTCAATAATTCCACCATCTCTTCTCACTTTCGATCTCAATCTCAGGTAATCTATTCGCGTCTGATCGACTGGTTGATTCGGATTAAATTTGATTTAGCTATTTCTCTTACTGCTGCTTCTCTTTTGAAATTTTGAAGAAGACACAGGATTCACTCTCTCTTTCGCGTCGTGGTTTCCACGTCGAACCTGGGGTTCGCGAGAAAGCTGTGAGTTTCTTCTCTCTCTGTCTCTCCGTTATTGCTCTTTTTGGTCGTTGCCTCTTTGCTTAGGATTTGAAACCTTTTTCCTAGGGTAGAACTTTGTTTGATTCGAGAATGGGTCTGTCTTGTGTTACAGTCTGGTAGATATCCGTATTTTGCCTAAAAGTGAATGGTTTAACATTTTTCAATCAAACGTTCCATTATTGGATGAGGAATAATTGAAGTTTATATTCGCATTTCAATGTTTAAGAGATTAGTATATTGAATAGTCTTACAGCTGATAGAGATCTTAAAGTTTCTAGTTTTTAATTTTTAAGAGATTAGCATATTGAATAGTCTTATTAACGATATAGATCTTAAAGTTCCTATTTTTTTTAATTAATCTGCAAAGAAACTGTTGGCCTTTTGACCTCGAATTATTCATCCATACTTGGATTATGTTGATGTTCTGCAAATTAATGGGTAACTGCACTGGATATTGATTTCCTGAGGTTTTCATGTGAGCAGTAACCTTGTTTTGCTAAGTCATTTACGTTGCAGCTTTTGGCAGAAGATCCAGTTCTTAAGCGATTCAAATCACACAAGAAGAGTGTGTGGAGACTCAAAAGAGTTGGAGATGTTCTCACAATTGTGGTTGTAGCAGGTATGCTGGTATCTTTGATATACACTAAAGAAAATTGTTCATTGTTATTCTCCCACCTTCCTGTACTGGAAATTCTTGCTTTTTTTTACTAGTTGAAACTCAAAAGCACACAGTGGTAAGTAGGTTCTCAGTGCACAGCGAGAATATAATCCCCTCGGGAAATTCAATGGTTAGGAGCGTATAGTAAAACTATGAAGTTCTGGGTATGCAACAGTTTTGCTCTTCAAAATCTCCCTGTTGTTTGAAATGATTGTTAATTCTTCAAGGAAAATGCTGAATCCAAATTTTTGCCCTTAAGATTATGCGAGGGTTTTCAAATATTCCCTGGCTGGAGAGATTTCTCGCTTTCAATCACCATATATTTTATCTTATCAGCTGCCAATCAAGAAGCAGAAAGTTGCTCTTTGTTGTTTCTAAATGGTAAGAATATATTCTGCACCAAGTTCGAAGTAGAAAATTGTGCTTCCAATTGACATATAAAACATCAAAACTTTTAAGGATGAAATTTGAAATCAGTCTTTAAATCTGATAACTGAATCTGATATTAGATGAAACTGGAAAATTTGGTGGGTTCATCTCTGCCTTGGTACCCTAACACAATGCATGCCCATGACCCCTATTCTTGTCCAGTGTCCACTCTTAAACGCTCGTGTCTTAGTATGGGTTGGGGAGTCCTTTTATATTTAGACATACTTGTACTTGGGCAGGCGTGTACATTGTAAATAGCAGTGGATCTAGAAATTTTTTTTCTGAATATATAATATATTATAAGAAGGATTTAATTTTAAGAGGGGTCAATTTAGAAAATTTTATATTTATATAAAGAAAATTAGAAAAGCTGAAGGGGATCAATTTACACCCTTATCTGCCACTGATTGTACATAGCATTATGAAGTGCTAGGTGCTAATCCTTGGCCATTGGGCATCTTCATGGCCTCTTCTTCATTCTCCCTTTCTTTTGTTTGAGTAATTTATTTCCTCCTCTATTTGGAACTCTTCAATTTCAAAACTCTTAAACTAGCAGCTTGCTTCCTAGAGCCATGTTCTATCTGGTTTGGCGTGTCATCTACAGCTCATGGAAAGGAAAACAATTTCTTGGTGATCTTGATTCACAATAGTGATGGGATACACAAACTCTTATGGAACCACAATAGAAAGGAGATAATCTATTTCTCGAGTTACTTAGTGTTCCTTGAGAATTACAGATCTCTACCAATCTTTTTATCCTTTCTGGCTCTGAAATTTTTCCTTTTTGGTAATGACATTTTTATGGCTGGAACCTAAGGGATGAGTAACAAGCAAAGCAATGAGATTGGCCTGGCTATTGAAGTGGGAACTGCAATGAAATAATTTTTGCCTTTTCTACTTCACACGTGTTTGTACAGCACACATGAGCTCCATATTCTGTCTATGAGAGTCACGGTGAAACTTGGATTTTATGTTTCTGGTGGCACCAATATGAACATCTTTAGCAAATTTGAAGAATGTAGCTCGTGTTTGATCAGTGTGATTCCTTAAATTGGACTGGAGAATGTTTGCACAGCATGGGTGGTATTGTTATGTATTATGCACTCTTATGTTGGGTATCTGTTTCAGGCTGTTGCTATGAAATTTATGTCAAAGCAGTAATGCGGGAGGAGGCTCGAAGAAAGGAAGGGGAAAGTAGTGCATAAAGGAGCATGCAACTATGTAAAATTCCATTTCATTGCTCATGACATCTCCAGATCTTTCATGATTTTATCTCGGTATTGAATAAGCAGAACAATCACTCTTCTTGTAATCAAACGCTTTTTCTCAAGAGTTGTTAATCGTGTTTTCTGTTAGCATTAAATCATGATTAAAACTTGTGTTTGATACACATGCAGAACATTACAGATACGTGTAGTTCTGTTGGGTATGAAATCCTTTATGATACTGTAATTTTTTGTTGTCCTGTTGAGTCCTGGGGAAAAAAGATGGTTTTGGATTCATAATTCATATCTAAGTTCATCCCAAAGGTAGACGCGTTTCCGGATGGTACCATGTGCTTCTGTTTTGTTTTATTGCGTGGATGATCGAGTCAATGATAAACATGAGTGGCGGTTGGCTTGGCACCTTTTGTTGTTGTGATAAACATTATATGAGTTGATGGTTGTTGCCTACGCAAGTGTGGAGCAAATAGAGCTAAACCAAGTTGAGCCACCTCAAAGATGCTTTTCAAGTTTATAAATAGTAGGAGAAAGGTGGAAAGGTTGGAGCTTTCGCTTTCGGCAGAAGGTCCAGAATGAAATAATGTTTGTTTTTGAATATGAAAAATAAGAACAAAATGATGCTAAAAGTTTTCAAAATTTTTGGTTTTTTAGTGAAATTGGAAGTATTTGGCTTTTGTTTTCTTTTCAATTTTTAATAACAAAGTAGACAATTTTTGGCCCCCCAATAATGCATTCCAACTACTAACCTAATTGTCAAGGAGATTAAGAATGCCTTTTTCTAATATTCAAATTACAATTTTGCACATATATAATATATATAGTTAAATGTCTCATAAATAAAAGTTGAGCCAGTTGAAAACGGACTTTTAATTAATACTTTAATACGACAGTTGCATTTGGAAACTCAAAAATAAAATCCAAATACTTTTTTTTCCTTGTTTTTTTCTATTTTTCCTAATTTGACTAATGGCATCTTGACACGTGTAAGCCAGAATCTTTAACAAAAAGTAAACGGAAAGGAGGTGGTGCTTTTTATTTTTTTTTTTATTTTTTCTTTTCTTTTTGAAAAATGGAGTATCATAATTGGATTGAGTTGTTCTGGTCGTGGATGCATTACCCTCTCTCTGTCTCTGATATAAATTATGGTATAAATTATATAATGACAAAATAAAAATCAATATGTAATTATGATGTCAGACCCCACATTACCAAAAATCTACCTTTTTTTTTTATTATTATTTATGTATATTTTTTACAGAGAGCGCTTCCCTTTTCCCTTCCAATTATGCTTAGCAGCATACTCGCTCCCTTTACATTCAAGTTTCAAGATATAATTATTATATCACTAATAAAAATAATTTCTAAAGAACTATAATACCATCTTCACTCCCTTTCCATACTGACAAATTATAAAACTTATTTTCAAAAAATAAAGAAATAAAAAACATTTCAAGTAAATTTTTTAAATATAAAATAGAATGAATTTTTTAACAGGGATAGATTTTTACGCGCTTCGTGAGAGAGTGGTTTGATAACGCAATATGCCTGAATATGGGTACTAGGTAATTTGCCGCTCAATTCTCGAGGAAGCTAAATTTACTGTCGCTGATTCTACATGAGTACCATCGACAGACAGAGGGTATTTACGTAATTGAATGAACATTTGCCTTTCATCAAATTACATAAATACCCCAAACATTTCCATTAAGTACAAAGTTTGAAAGTCTAACCAGAAACGCCTTTACTGCTACTTAGCCATTTTTTTGGCCGTTTTTGTTTAGTTCTTCTCTCTCTTCGTCTCTGAGCTGTAAATCATCAGAGCCTGAGAAATTTCAAAGTCTTCTCTTTATCACTAAACCATCTAAAGAGACCACAAGAGTTTCTTCCAATCCAGTTGTTATTTATTTGGGAATTGAAGATATCTACAAAGAGAGAGATCAAAGATGGCAACATTTGCAGGGACAACCCAGAAGTGTAAGGCATGTGAAAAGACTGTCTACTTAGTGGATCAGCTTACTGCAGATAATAAAGTTTATCACAAAGCTTGTTTCAGGTGCCATCACTGTAAGGGTACTCTTAAGGTTAGAGAACACTACTTTCTTTTTATTTATGTATAGTTCTTGCATAATTAAAGATTGGAACTTTATGTAGTTTGATGTTTATGTTCTTGATTATAGTTGCTAATGCTTATATTTACGTATATACTCTCCATTAAGTTAGTATTTTTCTTTGTTCTTTTTGCTTTTGGATGGTGATTAGTTGAGGACTCAAGGTTAGATTATTTAAGAGTCTGTTGATGATATTACTAATCAATGAGTGATCTAGAATGTGAAATCTTCTAATACAATATCTTATATTGTTTTAAGTACTAAAGTCCAAATTAAATTTTTGTTTATAGGTTGTGCTTCCTCTTTTTTTTTTTTTTTTTTTTTTTTTTTAGAAAGTCTGTTTGAATGAATATTTTACTAATCAATGAGTGATCTAGAATTGTGAAATCTTCTTAATACATATCTTATATTGTTTTTAAAAGTAACTAAAGTCCAAATTAAATTTGTTTAATCAGGTTTGTGCTTCCTCTTTTTTTTTCTTTTTTTGTTTTTTTTTTTTTTTCAGGTCACAGGAACAAATTCATTTGATTATGGTTAGGATATTGAATGGCTTTTTTATATTGAATTGTTTGGTTGGTGATAGCTCTATTTCTTTGGTTTAAACTTTGTTTTTTTTTTTTTTTTTTTTTTTTTTCAGGGTCACATGACAAATTCATTTGGATTATGGTTTAGATATTGAATGCTTTTTTATATTGATTGTTTGGTTGGTGATAGCTCTATTTCTTTGGTTTAAAACTTGATTTGGTACAATTTGATTGTGAGTGGTGAAGGGATTCATTAGTCCCACAGGCAATCAATTAAGGAAGAGGTGGGGTTGAGACGGAGGAAGGTAGATCTTAGGTTAACATATTAATTGTCACTTTGAATGGTTGAGAAGCAATGCATGTTTGCTATTATTTTAGTCGGCCTGGTGGGTAGTTTGGAAGAGACAAAAATAAAGAACAGACGAAACGGATTCTGTTGTATTTTGAATCTAAACTGTCTTAGAAATTTCAAAAATTAAACTTTGATAGGGGAATATGTGTTGTATGATGTATAGTTCAATTTTAGTGACTTTTGGAACTTTGTTAGAATACAAGGAAAAACATCTGTAGTCTAAAGAACATGTATGAATAGAGGGAACTGAGTGTCAAATTGCTGCTTTCTTTCAGAGTATTCAGTGAACTTTGTTTCCTGGTTTTAACAATCAGTTTAAGCTTTAACCAAATTTTCCTAGAGTTCAATTCAAACTTATTTGGTTAATTCTCATGTCTGGAAATTATGTAATCAATAAACTTCACTATTCAATTTAAGAAAGAAATGATTTTGATTCAATAGAAATGTCTGATTTTGCAAGAAATAATGTAAAATTAATTCTCATAGTCCAATTACACCAATGCTCCTAGAATTTCTACTGCAGTCTGCAAAAGTTTTAGCATTCTTAGTTGTTTTTATAAGAGTAAAGGTAATCAAGAAAATAAAATAACTTAACTTCATATATTGATTTACATCGGTTTGAAATGATTCTTACACAACATGATCTAATTGAATTCTTTTACATAATTATTCCAAATTCAACCAAACTGATAAAATTGAGGAATGCAGATGCCTGCTTAACATTTTCTTTAAAGATTTTTGCATGTTAGCCATATGCATGTACCCACTACTTGCTAAAAGAAACTTGAGTCTGAAGTCTTTTATGGACAATATAAAGATTCAGGACATCTTGGGGAATCCCTGATCTGATTAATTATGATGATAAGTTACACTGATAGTTCTGTGTCCTCATTCTATTATTAGACAAGATCACTATGATCCCTCACTATTGACAATATATTTTTGGTCTATACTTTTGCAGTTGAGCAATTACTCCTCCTTTGAGGGTGTTTTGTATTGCAAGCCTCACTTTGATCAACTATTCAAAATGACTGGAAGCTTGGATAAAAGTTTTGAAGGTGACTCGTTGTTGTTAAGATGTTCTAAAGCATCAGTTCTCCTCTCATGACTTCTCTTTCTTGTTATTCATGAATTCTTTTTTCTTCCCCTTCTTTAGGCACTCCAAAAACTGTTAGAGTTGACAAATCGGCTGATCAGGTATATAATAGTGTTACCTGTTCAGATTAAGTTAATGATTTAATTTAGAAAATGATTTAATTTAGAAATAATTCATACTTGTTACTTGCAATGTAGATGATCATTAAGATTTTACGTATTATTGTGAATTAAATTGCGCAGGTCCATACTAATAGCAAAGTTTCAAGCATGTTTGCTGGAACTCAGGACAAATGTGTTGCATGCAAGAAAACTGTTTATCCACTTGAAAAGGCAAGTCAATATGGGACTACTTATGAGCTATACATTACGAAATGATATTGTTCTAGGATTTTGTGGATTTGAAACTAATGAAAAAATTGTTTCTGATTTTATGATTTGATAGTTCTGATAGCTTGAAAAGTTTCATTTTAATGTTTCATGAAAACAATGTCTGGATTCGGTCTATACACATTTTGTTTTAGAAAAGCTTAATATCACCTTACTGATAATTTCTTGCTTATTTACATGGGATTAACTTACAAATATGAAGGGATTGATGTCAATTACTTTCTGACTTCATCAGATAGCAAAATTGTTATAAGGCACAGTTATTTTTCACCTCTTTTAGGTCTAAAAACTAGACATCAATTGAGGCACAGTTTTTTCACATCTCATAAAATGAATGGAATGGGTTCTTTTACTAGTCTCTAAGCATTGCAAATGCAAAAGGACTAGAACATAGTGAAATCTAACTCTTAACTTAAAAAATTTGATTAGAGCTTGAAGAAAGATTGTCAAACTTGTACGTTGTCGTACAATCTATTTCTTACAAATCTCACAGTTCTTTACTATAAATGAAACTTCAATGCTGAACCTGATGCAACATGTCCAAAAGGTTTTTGTCCTGGTGAATATCTTTCCCCTTCATTTTCTTGATTGTCTATGCAAAAGCAGGAGCAGGACATTGTTTTATGGTTGTTTTAATCTTTCTGATTCCTTCAGGTGGCAGTCGATGGAATGTCTTATCACAAGGCCTGTTTCAGGTGTACACATGGAGGCTGCGTTATCAGCCCATCAAACTATGTAGCCCATGAGCAGCGTCTCTATTGTAGGCACCATCACAACCAACTCTTTAAGCAGAAGGGAAACTTCAGCCAGCTTGACAAGCAAGAACATGCTAAACCGGTGACTGAGATTGCATCAACTGAATAAGAATGTAAACAGTGTTCCACAAATCTTGAAATGCATGATACCTCAAGGAGTTTGTTTCTCAGCATCAGTTGCAATTGTCAAGTAGAAGAGCTACTACTATATAACATTATGAGGAAATTATGTTCAGTTGCAGAGCTCCATGCTGTTCCTAACTCTTTTTCTTTTTGGTTTAGTGTGAGCTTTGAGTCCCTAATAAATAGAGATTTTTGGTGTTGAAAACCTTTCAATAAACCATGAACTAAAGCACAGAGGTTTTGTATTTATTTTTAAATTTAAGCTTTGATATGCTTTCATTTTCTGTGCTTGGTGTCTTGTAATTAGCGCTTGGCAATGTGTGCTTGTCATCTTTGGTACTTTTCTATAATATATTGATGCCTCATTCCCCTTTTTGTCATCAAACTTCCCTTAGCATGCCAAAGTAAAAGGCATCATAGTGGGTTCTCATTTTTTTTTTTTTGGTCTCGTTTTCTTTCTAGGGTTCATCTTTTATCTGGGTATGCAAAATAAGGAGAAAATGATACAAATAAGTTATGATTCTGGGTTTACTTGTTCACCTAAACATAATCATTTAAAACTGAAACATGAAATTTTACCAGGACGGATTTAGATTCCCGTAGTGAAAATCTTTTAGTTATTGGAATCCTGATTTACAATAGACAGAATCCGAATATCTTTTTCTATATTACAAGTTGGAGTGCAGAAACAACAGTTAAGGATCATCTCATTTTCATGCTTTAAAAGAACCAATCCTGACAGACATTACTGCTAATTAACTATGAGGTGTGTGGCTCTACTTTGAATCACAAATATTATCTCCACAAAAAAAAAAAAAAAAAAAAAAAAAAAAAAAAAAAAAAACATTACTGCTAATTAACTATGAGGATGTGGTGGCTCTACTTTGATCACAAATATTATCGCTCCACAAAAAAAAAAAAAAAAAAAAAAAAAAAAAAAAAAAAAAAAAAAAAAAAAAAAAAAAAACGCTTTGACATTTCATGCTGTATTGTCTGAAAGCAAAGGCTTTCTTTTTCCTGGAAGAAGAATAGTAGTGATAAAGTCTTGTATAAGCAAAGAAATGGCATATAATTGCTTAGACTTTGAAATTTGAGCTACCATTCAATACCCAATAAAAGGCAAGCCAATTATAATCTAGAGCTGCTATTCTGGAGTCTTAATTGGTAGACTCAACTTGTGAGAAAGATATTATTACGACCCACCAGAGCCAAAACAGGTATAGCCATGCCCTACATTCCATATTCATTGCTCCACAACTCATTTCTCTGATTCTCTTATATTCAATCATTGTTCTTAGCAGAGACAAATTTTTAATGTAGTGCTTCAAAAATTTGGTATATGGTGGCAAACAGTTGATGGCCCACCCATGTATAGGAATTTTATGCACTTAATGTAGGAAATTATATATAATATATATATATATTATATTAGTATTATCAAACTCCTATGGCTTAGTAGATTTTAATGGTGAGGTGGATTGCAGTTGTCCTCAAAGTTCCTATGGCTTAGAGAATGTTCTAATGGTGAGTTGGTTGCAGTTGTCCTACTTTAAAAGTTCCCTTCCATGAAGATCAATATTTATATTTTATAGTTTGTTATGAATTTGTAAGCTTATTAGAAAGAAAGAAAAAGGGAAACCTTTTGCTTTTGTAGGTCTGCTCTGTCTTTGCTTCTTGAAGATGGAAGAGAATTAGTATAAAGAAAGAGTCTTCCATCTTTTAATGCACTGAAAATTACCATTATGATGATTGTTTCAAAGTCAAAAATATACAAACTAATGATCAAGATTTTTCGACCCATGAAAATTATCTCTTTACAAAAGCACGAGATAGAAACTCGTATATATCAATTCTCGTAAATGTTCATAAATATAGAATATTTTGCGCAATAGATGACCTTTTTTTTTTTTTTTCATTGCTAAAGTTAAGAAGCTTCAGGGGAATCTTTATAATTAATTTTTGCATTCAAATCAAGAATATTATAATAGTAAAACCCCAACCTATCCACTACTTGCAAGATAAGAAATTTCCTGCTCTGGAATACCCTACTACATATATATCTTATCATAGCTTTTGATATAAATTATTTCAGAATACAAGTAAGAATGACATATGCAGATAGATTGATGTAAGAAAGACTTCTTGATTTGATCTAAAAAGTATGGGTAAGGCATGTGGCTATTAAATGCATTAGATGTGATATATATCTAAAAATTTTAGCTGTTTGTACTTCTTCTTTCTGCATAGTAAAGCCATAACTGTTGCTTCTTGAACATGAAAGAGCTTGTACTTGGAGAATGGAGATGAGATGAGCTGTTTTCTTTCTATTGACTAGACTTCAATTGTCATTACCTTTTTGAGGAAATTGCTGATTGGTTTTAATCTCATTAATTCATAACTAACAATATCATCTTAAATTTTCAAATTTTTTTATAATCAATAATAATCACTTAGTTATCACTGTCGGTCCAACCTCAACCTTCAAAATAAATGTTTTAAGATGTATAATTGAAATATCAAATCCATATATTCTTATAAATCTTTTAATTTTTTAATATAACAGATGTGAATGTGAACTACCTGGGCATTAAATACTTTTTTTTTTTTTTTGAAACAAAAAAGCTTCTTCCCAATTTCAATACCATTCTTGATCCTTTGGCAAAAAATATTTGTTTTTTTTTTTTAAACATTTTTTCTCTCTGAAAACTGTTAGTTAACATTAGTGACTAAGAAATTCTAGACTTTCAATCAATTAAAATGATAAATTTCTTTGTGCCAGTGATTCTCAATTAGAAGATAATTAATCTTTTCTTTCCCGTTCTGGGTTTGAATATTTGGTCATAAATCATCAATAACATGCAGCAATTACTACATTAAACGAACCATAATAAGCAGAAGAGTCTAATTTTCAATTTGAAAAGAAGATTAATTTGCTAATAACTATGTTTGGGAGCTATACAACTGTGAATTGACCCAAATCTTGCAATTTGGAAGGGAAGATTCAGTTTCACTCTGCTATTTAATAGTCACAGTCACCTGCTACCTCCACAAATGATGATTTTGAATCTTGATCTCTCTCTCTCTCTGTCTCTCTATTAAATTTTGTGAGCAGGTGATGAGCTGATCTGTTTCTCTCATGTAATTAAGCATGATAATAATAATAATTATAATAAACATGATTAATTAGCTGACAGCCTCTGAGATGCTTTGGAGTGAGGGTTGCCATGTTGTTCTTGATCTGGCTGCTGCTGCTGCTGCTGTTGCACTTCCACTGCCAGAGTTGGTAGCTGTTGTTGTCTTTCCTCTGCTTCTTTCAGTTTTGCTTACCTGAAAAATTAAATTTCATTTTATAAGTTTTCATGGGTTACAAGTTAATTAATAACATCATTTTTCTACATGTGCCTTAATTAACATAATAAAGATATCATTTCTTATATAAAAAATAAAAGGCTGGGGCCTAAGTTTGCAACCATATGAAATCTGAAAAATTATCTTATTGAAAAAAAAAAAAAAAAAAAATTTCTATTGGAAAAAAAAAAAAAAAAAAAATTGGAAGTGAAGAAAAAATGAAGAGATAACAAATATGGGATATTAAAAAAAAAAAAAAAAAAAAAAATTGGAAGTGAAGAAAAAATGAAGAGGATACAAAATGGGATATTTACCTGACGATGATGTTTCTCAAGTTGAGATCTTTTTACTTCTACGTCGGGAGATGGCTTCTCTGCTGATTCTGGTTTATTTTTCTTCTTTTGTGCTTGTTTTTTTTCCCACAAACCCTTCATAACCTCTACAAAACAAAAACCCACAAAGCAAATTAGACTTAAGATTCAAAAGTCTACTTATAAAAAGAGCAAAAGAACAAGAAAATAGTTAAAACTTAGGTAGGAAAATCAAGAAACTAACCTTGAGTAGTTATGAGTCTATAAACATGACCAAGAAGAAGAGTATCTGTAGGCTTGAGAAGCTTAATTCTTGTTATCCGCACAGAGCTATTATTATTATTGGTGGTGGTGGTGGTGGGGGTGACGACGACGGTGGTGGTGGTGTTAGGACATTCAGCATTTTTAGTAGTTGGATATAAGGTGGTGGAGAGAAGAAGAGCAACATAGTGACCAGGGTTCATCTTCATAATCTCAGCTGCACTAACAGGCCAATAAAATTTGTCAACTTTACCACTTGGGTGTTGTATCACTAGCGTTGCTGCATCTATGGCTTGACAATTCCCCATTTTCCTTTCCTCTCTTTTCTTTTCTTTCAAACAGCTTGAAGAGGAAGAGGGGGCTGAAAGAGAGAGAGGGAGGCGTTGAAGTTAGAATAGGACTGTCTTTATAGCCACCCACCACTCACTACTCACTCTTTATTCTTCTATGCGGTAAATTTTTCCTGCTTCATTTAACCCATTGTCTTTATTTTTCTTTTTAAGATAATAGAGATATTGTTGTATCACATGTAATTATGTGGTGAGGTGTGATTGGTTAGAGGTTGAAGAGACAAAAAAGTTGGGCCACATGTGATTTTCAACCTTAAATAAAGAAGAGATGCGTTGCTTACTTTGGTCCACCAGAGACCAATCTCTATAGTAATCCACGGTTACATTGCATAATAAGATTCTCCTATCGAAGACAAAGCCATTTATAACCTCACTGTCAGTTTCGGAAAACTTTGTTTAATCCTATGCCTCCCGCTACACACGTGTCCAACAGTGTTTAGTTGGTTCACTCAACCTGCGATTCTGGTTTAATGCTTCAGTAATTTCGAATCAACAAGCTTTCAAATTCAGATTTACCCCTTCTTTTTCTTTTTGATAGGAAAGAGGTTTAATGTTTTGGAGTAACGTTATGAACTATATAATAGGGTAATCTTTCTTTTTGAATAATATTTATCAAAATTAGTGATAATTTTATACGATGAAGAAAACTCAAACTCGAGACCTTTAACTATTTACATATTTTACTAGGTAAGAAGATTAGTGAGAAATTTACCCTTCTTTATAATAAATGAATTCTACAAAATTTAATGAAATTTATTTATAAATTTAAAATTTTTGTGTTCAGTATAAAAAGTGAAGATTTAAATTTTAGGAATTCAATTATATATGTCTGTTTGATAAAAATATCCTGATAATATAACTCAATTTAATAGTATTTTTAATGCAAAAAATTTCTAATATATTAAGTATAATTAAGATGCAAATTTTATTAAATTAGGTAATTTATTCTAATCCAAATTTTCTTTTGATCGAAACATTTTTAGTCATGTGGTGTAGGCTACTCTTATCCAATCCCCTATAGATAGGATGCTAAAATCAATACATTGTCACAATCCACATATAGCTCGTTTTTGTTTCATTCACAACGTAAGAACAAAATAATAACCCAACCCTACCTATGCTGTTTTTACAGCAAAGGTAAAATTATTTAAATAATCTAAATATTCTTTTAAACCGGTTATATTATATATTTTCATGCTGGAAAAGAATGGTATTCAGATAAAATCTGTTAAAGTTAATGATTTCAGACTTCACAAATGTTATTTTGATGATGTAATCTATTGTTGCTTGTATTGACATTAATTCATAAAGTTTGGCAAATTAATAGATTAGAACAAAGGATTACGTCTATGTTGCTCTTATCAATGGCAATATTACCTCAAGGTGTTCTTGGGCAGTTTCACGTATATACGTAGGAGAAGAAGAAGAAGAAGAAGAAGACTGCTTTGTCTACATATAATCAATCCCACCCACTTCCTATTTCATTTGACATGCACGTATTAAAAGGAATTTCTTGCTTTGAAAATTGCCCTTCTACTTTAACAATGATAAGAATAGTAAACCAAAAACCACAAATTTAGGTGATAAATGTAGGGGTAAATAATACTAGGCTTCTAATCCAAAATCAAATCAAAATGACATATTTCGGTCCCATTCTGTAAAATATTATAAAAAATCATTAATTGATTTGGTGAGAAGAACTATTTGGTTTTAATTCATGATTTAATTACCATATATAATTAACAAATTATTTTTATTTATAAAATAATTGTATCAAAATCGAGTCGAACCAATTTAATTTAATTTTTATACTATTTTATTTTAAATTTGGTTAGCAAAATAATACATTCATTTAAATTAATATTGAGATTATTCAATTTAATTTAGTTCAGTTAGGGAATAACTTATCTAAAATTAGTCATAACTATTAAACAAATGATAATGAAATTTTATGAAAAACGAAAATATTTCTGATTGCAATTGGAATAAAAAGGATAAAAATCAGACAATTTTTGAAAAATTCACGTTATCGTTGCTTTTGATTTTAAATAAAGTATATGTAAGTTTAATCCATAATATTATCATACTAAGGTGATAGAATAATTCATTCACGTGCCGATAGAGAGCGTGGCGGAGAGATGGGACCAGCAACAAAGGACATTTCTGTTTCATCCAGCGAAAGGCGTGAAAGTTAGTGAAAAACTAGTATTTCGTGCGTGTTCAAGTGTGGGCCTGCTGACGCCTACCACCACCACCACCATCTCCGCCTCACGGCGGTACGTGGTGGTGTGGGCCGGGGACGGAGGCGCAGTTACTTATGTTCCACACATCAAAATTGGCACCCGAAACAGCACGTAATGAGTGCGTGTCGCGTGTGGCAGCTTCCCATCTTTATGCCAATACCCAAGAAGGCTTTTTAAAATTTCTAAAACAAAGAGGCAAAATGAGATTTTTTTTTTTTTTTTTTTTTCCAAGAAGGCTTTTAAAAATTCATAAAACAAGAGGAAAATGAGATTTTTTTTTTTTTTTTTTTTTAAATTTATAAATGATTGTGAAATTCTTGCTTTGTAACCATGACGAAAAAAGAGCGTTACCATCTAAATAGAACACAAGCTGCATGAGAAAGGTTTTGATTTAATTTAGTTTTTTAAAAATTTTAAGAGTGGCATAAAGAAAAAGAATAATTAAAAAAAAAATCGTAGGACCCTCATTTTTCAACAATCCGTTGAATTGAAAAATTATAATGGGTCCCCTAACATGAATTAGGGTTCCACCACCTCCTCCCTATTAATTGACTCGAACACACAAATGTTTTTTTTTTTTTTTTTTTTTAAATTTATATGAATTGTGAATTTTGCTTTTGGTATCCTATGAGAAAAAGAGCGTTACCATCAAAAGAACAAAGCTGCATGAGAAGGTTTGATTTAATTTAGTTTTTAAAATTTAAGAGTGCATAAAGAAAAAGAATAATTAAAAAAAAATCGTAGGACCTCATTTTTCAAACAATCCGTTGAATTGAAATTATAATGGGTCCCTAAACATGAAATTAGGGTTCCACCACCTCCTCCCTATTAATTGACATCGAACACACAAATGGAAGAAATTTAGTACTTGTTTGTTTGAACAAGTATTTAAATCTCAATTTGTTGCTCAATACAATTTTCTATCAATAATGGAAATTAGGGTTCTATCAATTTGTTGCTCATGTAATTAAAATCAAGATTTTTACTGGACTCAAGCTTTGGAACTAATTAATTAATTAGTAGTAGATGATTTGACCTACACATGCAATAGAGCCATTCTTAGCTTTTTATCCACACAATGATTTTAGATTTCCTCTATTGCTTCAACACCATCATTTTTATTCTGGGGAGAGAATGATACATTTCATGCCTGGTTGCAGAAATTGGTAACACAACCATTTGATCAAGTGGGGTGGGCTCACAAAGTTACAAGTGAGAGTGAGATCTTGTCCTAAGAAATTCTCATGCCTCAGCAAGTCTTTTTTATCACCACTTTTTTTTTTTTCTCATTACATCAAGATCTTAATTATGTTAATCAAATCTATAAATCTTGTTTAGGCTTACCACTTTCAACCTTTTTTGACCTTTTCATGATTAATTCCCATATCTGGAATTTTTTTTCTCATAATAATAATTATTAGAGTTAGTGAGTTACACCATTAAACAACCTAGAACAATGTAATTAGTTCATATATAAATAGACAATATCTTATCACCTTTATTTTCGGGTCTGTTCGGTAAAATTTATTGTTTTGGTAGCTATTAGCTGTTTTATTAGCATTTAATTGTTAACTGTTTTAGTAGTTTTTCATGAAATACTAAAAGTTAAACGTTACATGAGTTAACTTTTCACAAAATGTTACCTTAATCTCTAAAAACTAATTCAAACACTATATTGTCAAACACTATAAAAAGTAACGTTTAGCTTTTAATCAATCAAAACGCTAAAAGTTACTTAAAAATATATTGACAAACACGATATGTTTTTTTTTTTTCCTTAAATGTGTCTCATATGGTCCATGAATCATAAAAACCCTAATTACACTTTTGAGGATTAAGGATGTACACATAAACTAGAAATAATGTATATATGTTAGTAATACAACCCTAATTTGTTGAACCAAATCTCAAAAATAATTTCTTAAAGAACAAGTAGCCATGTGAAGGAGTTAAGTAATATGGCTGCCCACCTTAAATGATACACTTGTTCTAGTTCAAAATTTGGCTAAAAGAGGAGAGTGTACAAGTATTTAAATATTAATATATCAAAGATCTCAACTAAGTACACAAAATCTGTCCAACCATACATGCATATAATATGAAAGTCCACCTATAAATTAATTCTTTTTATACTTTATTTTAACTATAAAATTTGTGGGTATCATTGGGCTTCTTCTCCTCTTCAAGAATTGAATAGTGATAACCAAGAACAATATTTGTTGGTCCCTATGCTCACTAACTTGGCATTTATTTTCTAAATTAAAAACTAATTAAACCTCACTTAATCTCCCTCACCAAACAGCATAAGGAGCATTAAGGAGATGTCTTCTTCTTCTCTTTTTTTCTGTTTATCTTGTGTAGCTATAAAACATAACAAGAACCATGTAATGAGTTTAGGTGTCCTTTTGTATTTTTGTGATATGGGTTATTAAGAAAATGAAGAGATCTTTCTGTTTGGGAACAAATAGGGTACATGAAGGTATAAAAAAATTAAGGGAATGTTCTATTAGTTAAATAAGTTGATAACAAGAGTCCAACTTGAGGTTTAGCTTCATAGAATTTGGAAGACAATGATCTGGTTGCTAAGATACTTTTAAGACCCTAATCTAAATTTTTATATTACTAATTAAACATTCAATGTCTTGGATTATCTGATAGTGGGTTTTGATCACAATCCATAAAGCTAAGATGTAAAGAAACCTAAAGGTTTAGTTTCAGACAAGAGTGGTATAGAGATTGAACTTTCCAAGAAAATTCTGAGCTTGCTGCTCTTAAAGTGCTTAATCTGTAAAGTGAGTTATATCATAATCTATATTGGGTGCATGGAAGCACTTTTAGTACTGAAAGAAGCATCTGCTTTTGCAGAATTAGCACCTGCAACTCCCTTTCCTTTCAACTTTTTTTTTTCTTGATAAACCTTTCTTTCAATGCCTTTTGCAGAATCTTAGAAGAATATTATCCAACCAAATAAAGCCATGCACAAAATTCTCTTGACCTTTCCCTCCTAAAGGATTCATTTTGGGCAGTACCCCAGTTAAGGACGGAACTAAATTTTCAAGATAGGAGGAAAATTTTTTAGGAAAAGGAAAATATGTTGTATTCTTGAAAATATAAATACAATTTATAAGGTGAAAATTTGAATTTTGAGAAACTTGGGGAGCCATTAATGGCCCACTCGAAACACCACGTGAAGCCATCCTTGACCATAGTGATTCAGGATAACCAGTATTACACTGGACAATAATGATCATTGACGTATGAGAACTAATCTTGATCCTTCAGTGCAACTGTATTTAAAATATCTCTTTTTTATGAAAATTATTGGAGTTAAAAAGAAATTCATCTTTTACTTCCCTGTACGGTACCAATCTTTGTTGTGATTTGCATGCATCTATTTTCTACAATGGAGGGGCCGCTACACTTTAAAGTGCAAGCAGAGTTGGTTCATTTGTGACCATGCAAAAACTTGGAACTCCTTTTCAACAAATAAATAAGAAAGGCCCCAACCTTCCTCAATCCTCACCAATCCTATTATGGAAAATGCATACACCTAGAAGATGGTCAAATCAAACTGCCATGCAGAGAAAAGAATCCAAAGATTTCAACACACTCCAAAATTTTTTCAAAACAAGGACAAGAATCTGTTCACATCAGGGTCTGACATGTCAACAGTAATGTCTATCCCAAAATAAGAAGATTTGTATTATAAATCATATAGGGACTGGAACGCAATAAAACTTCATTGCTGATTCAAAGTTCATGGCTCAGATGGATTTACAATAACAAAAACAAATTCAATAATTGTTAACAAGTCCTATAAAAGGAAGACACTATCTTATACTGCTATGTAGCGTGTAATAAGATTCACAAATGATAAACATTACATTGCAATGTGATCTCTCAGTGCTACTGAGAACACATTTTTTTGACAAGAACTTGCTCGTAATTTAGTGCTGACTAAATCACACGGATGGGAAATATTTGTTTAGATTGAAAGGCAGGGAATAGAATTCTTCACTTCTTGTATCGCCTTTGAATGACCGGAATTTGTCCCACCAATGCTTGCCTCTGTCTTTCCTGACTGAACTATCTTTTCGCTGCAGTGTGTTGTCAAGGAAATATGCCACACACCCCGCAACAAATGCTTCTGATGAGAAAGGAACATTTACAATATCGTTGAACTGCCATTTAAACAGAGCATTACATTTATCAGCCTTTGACATAAGTTTTAAAAAGAATTAAGGAAAAAGAAAGATTCCATGTATACCCATCGCCCTGAAGTGTGGACGGGACCATAGCCATTAATTGCGGTATACTCATTGAAGTATTGAGGCACTGACAAACCCAAGAAAAAAGAGAAGCCTAAAATGAATTTTGTCCGGAAGCTGTTGAGGTTGCAGAACTGAAGAAAGCTAAGACCTCCAACACCTGCAAACCCATAATTAAAAACTCCATTCTTCATACAAATGATTGCAATAAAGAAGATATCCATTCAGCTTTTAACCATAAAGATTAGGAACACATACCTACGTAAGCAAAGAAAAGGCAATAGAGAGCTGCAATAATGGGGGCTGGTATAGATGCAAATACAGCTCCAAATTTACCTGCATAATACAAAGTTGAATGATTCTACAATCAGGTTTTATGATACTACAAGGAAAGATGAATTAAACACCAACCTGAAAGCTTAGAAAAAAGTCTTATAAATCAACTTCTTACCGAGAACCGAGAAGAAAAGCATGAATCCAGCAGATATCTGGACAACCCTTCGGCTACCAACTCGTGTCAAGGCCAAAAGACCAGCATTCTCTCTGTACAAAATGAATTAATTCATCTTCAACTCCTTTCGGATAGATATAAAATGCTTGTATAACAGAAAGGTTTTCCCAAGGTCTTACACAGAAACTGAAGATCCGTTTACAGTTCCAAACAGCCCAGAAAGCAAAATGGCAACTCCCTGAAACACAAATAAAACAACAAAAATAATCTCAATATTCATCTGAATTAGAACAAAGAGCAAACATATTAATTTCATAATTTGAGCATCAATCAATTGATAGTTTGCTGACATTTCCAGTCAAACTTATAATTAGTTTGTATTCTCTACTATTAAGGGAGAGACCGATTTTTACCTGCCAACCAATGCCACGGCTAAGAACAGAAGGCGGCATTGGAGTTGCACTTGCATACCTCGACACCGCAATAAACGCACCGGTGGACTGCTCATTCATTGAATATGAGAGAGTAAATTTCAACAATCAAACAACATGGAAGTCTAAGCAAGTCTTGCCAAATAATACAACAAGAATGCATGTTTGAACTGGATCAGAGACCCAGAGAGAAAGTGAGACCAGGAAAAAAACAAGAAAGGGTTTATGTCATAAAACCTTTTTTGAATTAAGAGCCTTTAACTATATATAGACAATGATAGCAGCCCAACCAATTATTTAATTGCCTGCTCATCCACATGGTATGAAAAGTATATGATTTGGCTTTCTTATGCCATGGTAATGGAAAATTATCGGTTCTTTTCTTTTCTATTAGTAAATGATGGGTATAGAAAATGACTATACCAGTTGAAAGAGAAGAATAGCAAAGGGGAAAAAATCTAGTACCAGTATAAAAAATGACAGCAATGGAGATGCATGTACTGATTTTTATTTTTGAAAGTCTAGCAGTTGAAAAGTAGAGAGAGGAAATGAAAACGAGAAAGAAAATATCAAACCTCTACAAGAGCAACAAAGGAAGCCATCATCATGGCAAAGGCTTCCCCAGCATCAAATGAAGGTGCTCCCCACTGAAATGGATAAGGAACTCTTATCCTGCAAGCTCAAATAGTCCAAATTAGAAATAGTAGATGATACCAATTAATACCCAGATTATTTGTTTGATAAGGTGCAAGCAAACGAAAATTGCTAAGGAAAATTGCAACAGATAGATAAGGTGGAATCAAATTGTATTGCATCATAAACTCTCTGTCTCCACCATTATTGGGACATCAATTCTAATGAATTATCTGAGCAGAATCTGCCAATATTTAGATCTTCAAATCAAATTCTTCACACACACACAGACTGACAAATGTCATTACAAAGTGGAAGCAATTGGGTTGAATATTATGATTCAGCCTTTGTTTCCGGATGGTAGAGTAGAATGGAATTATGTAACCAGATCGTTTGTAACTATTAATACTTTCATTGCCAAATCTCCAATATGTTAATAAAGGGATGCTGCAAAAACTCTTGTTGCATTACCATGTCTGGTAATTTGTATAGGTTGGTGTATATCAATAAATGTCAAGATATATAAAATATTGGATCCAGAAACTGCAACATTACATAGCAATGAATAAATGTCAAGATATATAAATACAATGCAAACACACCATGGCGCAGCATCTATAAGTCCTGCACGATCAGTGCGGCATGTATTTTGTGTCTTTGGTGCTGCATCATTATAGGCTCCACCCACAGTAAGCAGGTGAGCATAAATCCATACAATCACCACCGAGAATATTACAGCAAAACGATCAAATATATTTTTCCCATGCTTTATCACATGGGGCATATACTGCAAAACGGAAAAAAAATATCAACGACTACAGCCATTTTTTTTTTTCATAAGGTCAATGCAAGAAACAACAAACTTAACACCATAGGAATAGAAAAAAGAAAAATGTATACGAAATGCATCAACAAAAATACCTGCGAAACAAATACTAATATGATGAGCTCTGGTAGCCCAATCTCAACACATTTGGCAACCTAAAGTACATTGCAAAAGTTAATATTCAATATAACAAGATATCGTTTTCATAGCAAGCATGAATATCACAGTTATATGCAAAACTTACCCCAGGAAAACCAAGCTCGTACAGGCCAAAACCAACAAGAGCTACCAAAGGAACAGCTGAAAGTGGACTCAAGAACCTGGCATATATTCCAAAAGAAAAAGCAACAATTTAAGTTTCAAATAGAATTATTTTGGGGTAGTCTCTATCAAGCAAACAACAATGCATGAAATAAAAAAATAAAAAAAAATAAAAAAAAAAGCACTACAGCATAAGCATCCTTACATTCATAGAATGAAAGCTTATGTGAATCAATTGAATTAGTTAACTATATAAAATAATTCAATCAGAAGGGAATGTAAAATGTGTAAGGAATGCCGAAATTATAAGCATTTATTAAAATTGCAAGCTGACCTGGTGACATTACGCCATAGGCCACTGAAGCCAAGAACTATCTGGAGAGTTGAAGCAACAATGAGGGCACCTTGTATTGCACGCATTATCTTCTTAAATCGCTGCATGGACATCAAATATCATCATGAAGTTACTAACAAGCCATAAAAAAAAAAACTAAAGGGTACATTGTTTAGTTGAGCTCTATATATTATAACTCTTGCATGTTTCCTTCTTATTTTAAATGACCATTGAGATGTTATTTAATAAATAGTATTCTGGACATTAATTTTTGCTCACTACAGCATTGAAGAAAGAAGAGAGAGAGAATTTATAGAATGCAGAAAAGTTAGATCATAAAACCTCAACAGGGTCTAGATTATCACTAAATCGACCCGCAAGTATAATTGAAATTGTAGTTGGGACAAAGGTATAAGACCCTCCAATAACAGCAGGCAATCGAGTCCCAAACAAACTCTGGAGCAATGTGTTCAAACCAGCAACAAAGAGTAGTGTCTGGATCACCTGGGCCTTCTCTTTCTACAAAATCGAAAAATGGCACTTAGAATCATGTGATTAGAGATCGCCTCTGAAAGAAAATCAATATACCGAGCAGAAATCAATCAACAAAAATTATCTATTTGTGCTCCCTCCCTCTGGGCCTTACATTTCCACCTCCCATTTGGGGAACAAGCGCAGTGGGAATAAGAACAGTTGTCCCAAGCATCACAAGGTAGTGTTGGAAACCAAGCAGGATAGCCTCAGCTGCATCACATACAGACAAGTTTTAAATGATCAAATGAAAGTTCACACAAACACTAATAACATATAAAAACAAAATAAGTACCAAAAAGACTGGTTAAATTTCCTATGGCTCAAACGAGGATTAGTGCAGTCCAGTTTGAGCCATAGGAAAAGATAAATATTCAAATGTCAAAAATAGGAAAACTTTTATAAGAAAAGTCAAATTAAAGCAGGAATATAACTAAACTAAAATTGTCACCAACAGAAGACCAGATCCTTTGTTTTAAACCCCCTCAAAATAAAATCACATGAATAAATTTTTCTTTAAAAAAAAAAAAAAAAGAATAAAGCCAGAAGAAAACACGTTAAAAATCTCCGAAAAAATTAAATAGATTAATTAAATACAAAGTAGTTGGATTTATCTTTTCCTTTTTTTTTTTTTCTTTTTTATAATGAGACCAGAATCTTCAATCAACAAGGCGGTAGGGTTTATTTTCAAGGAATGGCATTTAACCTTTTGAAAAGGGAATATCTACAATAAAGGGAGAGAGAAAGAAAGCTCAAAAGACAACTTTCAGCTAAAACGAGATGCACACCCCAAAAGAACAATTAAGAAATACTAAAATCCTACCTAAAACATACCAAATAGATTCACACAACAGTTACCTTAAAAATTCAACACGGAATTTAGAATCTAAGTTATCTACAAATGAAAGTGCAAAAACAGTGAAAACAATCAAGAATACTTACGCCATGGAGGGGGACTAGTCATGCAATAATAAACATTCGGAAGCTGCTCCTTTGGTGGGTGTGGCTGCGGCTCCTCCGGCTTTCCTCCACCACCTCCAGCCATGAATCTCTCTCCTTCTTACTCTAAAACTCTTTTTTTATCTCTACAAAATAGAAAAACTGAGTCAGTAAAATAAACAATAAGCAACAGAAATACCCAAATCTAAGCAGAACCCAGATCCCAAATCTCAGTGAAACTCACTGAAGTGACAAGAAACCAGAGAAAACACTCAATAATGTAAGGACCCAAAGGAGTAAAACATCCACAACTATATCAATAAAGGAGGAAAAAGAAGACAGATTACTGTATGTAGAGAACTGGAAAATGAAAGTGTAACTACAGCATAGCAAACAAGTGAAAATAATGGTCTAAATAATTGAAACAAATAAGAAACGATAAGAAAAGAAAGGGAAAAGCACCTTTTCAAGAAAAACAATAGCAATCCCGAAAGCAAAATCAAGTATTAAGCATTTAAAGTCAAAAACAAATTATGTACCCCACCAGAAAAAAAAATTACAAAAAGGAAAATAATAAAGAGGAAAGTGTTGTTGCTCACTTAAAAGAGGTGAACAGAGAGAAAACCCACAAAATGTATTACGTGAAAAAGCAGAAAAAAACAGTGTCTAGAAAAAACAAGTTTTATGTGGGAAGGTTGTATGTAGCAAGAGAAGGTTGAATTTTGGCAGTGAAAAACATCAGGAGAAACTATCTTCCCCTCTCTCTCTCTCTCTCTCTCTCTCTTCCTGTTGCTTGTAGACATGTAAAGCTTATTTAATGTTTTTTAACTTACCTACCAGTAAATCACCAATCAGTGAGTGTTCCTTCTTTCATTTCGAATTGAGTAACGAAGCAGGACGTGCTGATGCAGGGTGCACGACGTCGTTTTGTCTTGGCAGTATCACTTCTTAATTATTTAATAATATTTAGCTACAACTAATTTCCAATGCATTATTCATCTAATCATCAAATCCGCTCTCTCAAAATGTAAAATTAATATAAATGACACTGTGATTTTATTGAAAACATTAAGCACTGTCTTGTGAATGATAGTTTGGTTTAGTCGGCATCTTAAAGAGTACTTTTAATATAATCGTTCTCCAGTCTAAAATGGACTAATCTCTCATCTAACCATTAAACAAAAGATGATAAAATATATCTTACTTAATATTAATATATCCTTATTTTGATGTCAATTTAAAAAAAATTAAATATGAGCGTATCAAAAAATTACGAATTAATTGTATTTTTAAAAAAGAAAATGGCTATGATTTAAGATAATTGAAAATGAAAGTAAATCTATTTTTCTATTAGTGAAATTGGGAACATTTAGTTAAAACTTTCTAATCCCTAAATCATGAATCCTTAATTAATCCCTAAATGCACCTAGTTTTGGTAGAAACCAACGACACGTTTTTTTGCATGAAAAGACGGAATTGGCCTTCAAAAGTAAGAGCCCATGTGAGGATGTCCAAATATGAGTCAAACATTGAAATTATTGAGGATAGAGGGGTAGTTTAGGGAATTCAAGAGCAATGATCAAGTGTAGGGTGGTGTAGGAGTAGTAGAAAATCATGACCGGAATTTATAAAGAAAAAAAAAAAAACTAGGACTGGGGCCTCTAAATTAAGGGTCAAGAAAGGACAGCCGACACATTCTCTTCTACCTTTATCCCTTAATGAGTAAACAGTATGGCAAGTCGATAATACCCTTTCCCCAATCCCTGCCTAGTGCCTCCTGTCTCTGGACTGACATTTTCTGTTACAACTGGCAATGCCCTTCAAATTTTGGCTCTTCTTCAACTATACTCTTCACTTTTGGGGGAAATTTTACCCGATTAAAATAATGCAATTTTACTATTTTTTTTTAAACTACCCGGTATTTATATAGCCGATTAATCCGGATTTAAATTCTGTTAAGACCTATTATGGGGTGATTCTCCCAACTCAATATTCTCTATTCACAATACCGCACTCGAACCGTAGATGTTTATCCAGCACCTCGTCCCATTATACCAATTGGAGTTGGGAACTTCCTAATTTTATTTAATCTCTTTGAAGTATAAATAGCTACCTAAAAATAAAAACTTTTTTAAATGTTTAAATATTTTTTGTATGCACAAGTTAGTCTAATAAATAACACTTCACACTATAAGTGTGTGTCTATATTAGAATGGTTGTCTTATAATCTGAAAACCATTGCTAACTTGTGAATTTTAATGGAAAGACTAAAGAATTTAGCAAGATAAAATGTTTTACTAATTTTGATAGAGAACCTAAACTCTAGCCATCATGCTTCCTTGTCCTTATCAATTTGTTAATTTAAATGTATAAATAGATTAGATTGATGGAGAAAATTTGCTATTTTCAAGTTTTTGAAAATAGATATTTGTAATTAATTAATTAATTCCAACTATGATCATAGAATAATCACATGAAAAGTGTATTGAGTAATTATAATTTCATTGCAATAGTTAAATTTATTTGTTTTGTATAATTAAATTAATAAACCTTTTGATAAATACAGAATTATTTATTTTTGCGAGACATTTTGCAATGTGTTAAGGAGAACAGCCATGTGGTACTTACAACCTTCTGGAATATAGGAAATTCGCTGTATAGAATATAGAAGTAGAAGAATTCAAACAGAAAATTACAAAAAAGTACATACATATTTCACGAAAGTCATATGATGTAGAAATATAAAATATATACAAAAGAACTTGACGAAGGAGTTCAGAAATGAAAAAAATGAAAATTTAAAATAAGACACCGTAAACGTCGGTGAGGCTTGACCATGAAAGCGGCGAGTGACGCTCCATTTATAGATAAACCGAAAAGATCTTCTAATAGGATAAACATAACAAGAGAACTTATCAACACAATACAAAAACGACATGAGATTTTCTTTTTTGAAAAGAAAAACGACATGAGATTTTCAAAATTGAATTGAATACATAAAGTGGGTGGAGACGTGCAACTTTGTCTCTAACTACTGTTGCTGATGTTGTTAAGTAAGATTATAAATATAATTAATTGTTATTGAAAAAGACTCTTTAAGGCTTTCATTAATGAACATAATAAGTTATATAAATCATTAAATTTCATTACAAGTTAGTACTTCTCAGAAATATCACTAACAGTATGAGCATTATTATTATTATTTTTTTAAATAAAGAAAAATAGATCAGTAATACAAAGGACAAAAGAACAAAGATTTTACAGTAAATATATACTGTCAGGTTGCAGATTAATGCCTTTCATCAATATAAAGAAGGAAATGGACAAACATTAGGCAGTGTGAAAGTGAAAGGATTACATCAGTTTTTCTTCGTTTCTTTCTTTTTCTCTTTTTCCAATTTGAGCTTAATAATAATAATAATTGAAATGTCCATGTCACCAGTAAAATTAAGAGTTCTTTAATAATATTAGCTATTTTAACAACTATTAGCCGTTACTTAATATATTTATAATGTGAAAGTTATTGATTCAATTCACGGAAACTAGTCCTTTAAAGCTCGTGCAATATAAGATATTTTACGTAATGAATCGTCTTTTTAACTTGTGACAGTTTTTATATTTCTAGAAATAACTTTAGTAATCCAAATTAAACCTCTCTGATGTGAAATTTGAATATTTTTTATAGCTATACCCTAACTAAATCCCTTCTATAAAATGTCAATTTCATAAGATTTGTAAAAAGTAAAAATAGCTCTAATTTACCCTAAAAATATATTTCCAGCAGTCACATGATTGAATCGATTATGAAATATTTTAGTTTGGTGGAGTACACTGATTGGTCCAATTGGGCAGATTTGTCAACATATGAAAAGGTGAAATAAAGGGAAATGATTCCTTAGGAAGCCAAGGAGGGAATGAGCTAATTTAAGCTTGTCCTTATGTTGGGGTAATCTGTAGAATTCTCTAGCCAATTTTTGTTTGCCATTGGGACATGTCAAAATCATATTGGTGGGACCTTAATAAATAGCCAATTACTTTCATATCCTTAATCCACCTAGCCTTTAATCAGTACATCATTAAGAATATTAAAATGTTGCCAAGTGGCAAAATCATGACATTAGAATGATGGAGATATTTTTTTTTTTTTTTTGAAGGTAGAATGATGGAGATATTGAATTCAATCTAAACCCAAATACATTAAAATTACTATTTTGATATTCAATTGTAAAATAATTATTTTTTTTTACTTTCTCCTATCAATATATATCACACTTTCCTTAATTTACTAAATTGATAAAAACTCTTGTGGTTTAGAGAACTCAAACTCAATATTTTTCGCTCGTTGTATAAGTGAAAAGATCAAATACACTACATCTAGTCGGCATCAATTTACATTTTTCTCCTCTTAATACTTGAAAGAAATGTATAAATGATTTGTGTACAACCATACTATGGAGATAAATGAGCAAAATGATCTTAATACCATTTTGATTACATAAAAAGGAAAAGTGATGATGGCAATATTGGAAAGTGGAAATGGGTAATCATTTATATTAATATAATATTGAAATTAAGAGAGAAATTAAAAAAAAAAAAAAAAAAAAAAAAATCTAGTCCGGATCAATTTACATTTTTTCTCCCTCTTAATACTTGAAGAAATGTATAATGATTTGGTGTCAACAACCATACTAATGGAAGACTAAATGAGCAAAATGATCTTAATACCATTTTGATTACATAAAAGGAAAAAGTGATAGATGGCATATTGGAAAGTGGAATACATGGGTAATCATTTAATATTAAATAATAATATTGAAATTAAGAGAGAAATTAAAAAAAAAAAAAAAATAAAAAAAAAAAAAAAAAAAGAAAAGAAAAGTGCATGAAGAAGAAAACAAGAGACAGAACATGGGTGTTGCTTTTTATTACTCCTTTAAGGGATACCCATATCACCCAACTTCCCCCTTCAAGGACCACAAATTAGGGAAATTCTCTGGCCTCATTGGCCCTTTACAATTCCAAGGATAGATATGGTTGTTTCTCTCTCTTTCTTTTCTCTCTCTCTCCCTTTATTTCCTACATATGCACATAATGCATTAAGTGGTTGATCCTTCTCTTTCACATTGATGAACTCACCCTCCTATTTTCAAATTTTCATTTCTTGTTTCTCTAACAATATACTTGTATGTTGCTCTTATGGCAATAAGCAATGCTCTTGTAAACGTAAGGGCTATATGTGTGACATCCCGACCCGGCAGAGCGATCCTAAGACGATCCTAAGAGGGCGGGTAGAGCGAAGCTTCTGGCTAGCTTCTAGGATGGCAGGCTAGTTAGGGTAGTGGAATGCGGGACACATGAATGAATCGAATTATATATCGAAAAGGGGGAAAACTAATCATTAGAGGCGCTTTTTGGTGGAATGGCTAGAGAGTTGGAAGAACTTCAGGGTTAAACTTGCTTGATTAACAGAAATACTAGGATGGGTGACATCCTGGGAAGTTTCACATTTTACCTACAGGACAAAACTGTGCGAGTCTTGCCAATCTTGTATAGGGATTTGACTTGATCTAAAACGAACAATTCCTCTCGTAATTAGAGTCTGGCGTGACAATATGCCTCAAAATCAAAACATCACATGCCCTTATTACTAAGAGAACTAAACTTATGATGATATTATTCACTCTATATTAAATGAACATATTTTATTTTTGAGTTTGTTTAATATGTTATCAATATTGTCTTAAAATACTTTACATACACAAGAGATTACTACATGAAAGAAAAAAAAAAGAAAAAAAAGAAAAGGAAAGCTATATAGTTTCATTTATGGGATCAATAGTGGACCTTTTGTAGATCTCGTGTGTGTGGCCATCTACTTTTTGGGCCAACAAGACTATTAAAACAAAATTGATTTAAGAGTTAGAAATGGGCTGAGGCCCAACCTCACATTTTTTATAGGTGAACCTTTAAGTCTTTAACATGATGTTTGATTATAGTGTTGGATTCAACTTTATATGATACACATATTTATATTATCCTCAAAATATTATAAAGCTACTATTTGGGAAGAGCCTTTAGTCTCTTTAGTTCATATGGGTTTCTATTATTGTTTTTGATGTTATCTTTTTCAGGTTTTTACATTTAACTTTTTGGATTCCAGATAGCGTGCATGGATTAATTTATTGATTTGAGTTATTATTTTCTAATAATATATTATTTTATCAAAAAATTGTTAAATTAAAACTCAATGTCATCAAATAAAACAATAATAGACAACCTAATAAAAAACCCACTCAGAAGTGTTGGGGCCAGGATGCTTTATTTCCTTGCAGATTTGACAATAGTCACTTTTCACACGTGGTGGTGGGTATCACCAAGTAAAATGGGCCTGTAGGCCCAGTTTGGTTTATGCTTTGCTTAAAAGCCTCTGTTATTTGGGATCATCTGCTATTCCAGGCCCGTGAATCCATTTTTCAGAAAATCAGAAAAAAGAGGTTATTTCTTTTTTTTTTTAATAAAAAAACATTTTAATATGAAAATGATTTGTATTTTAAAGATATTAATTAAATTATTCTAAATTAACTGAATGACACGTGCTTGCCCAATCTCAATTTAAAATCTAATTGGTTGCAGAGTTGTTTAGTTTATTGTAAAAAATTGTTAAGACATTTTTTGGTTACTTTTTATTTTTTAGGACAGTTAAAGTTAAAAGTTGTTACTATAATTTTTTTTTTTAACAGAGAATCAACAAAAAATATAAAAAAAAATTAAAATTCGCAGGTAACGCTATCACCCCGCTGCCCGGGCTGCTCGATCTGCCCGACCCTGCCCGGCCCTGTTCTACCAAGTACCCAAACAACTTTTCTTTTTGCCGTCTCTCTTTCTTCGATTTCTCTCTTCTCTTCTTCTCAACATCTCTTTTCTCTCTATAAGAATCTCGAGCTTTATCTTCTCTAGATCGAATCTCTTTAATTCGACGGATCGGAGCTCAGGCTGAATCGATTATACAGGAATTCAGAGTTCGCGGGATTGGAATTCGACTGGGGTAGTGAAAAATTAGGGTTTCGATTCTGGTGGCGCAAGGTGTAACGTTGGGCTTTGAGGTGGATCTAGGGTTTTGAATTGGTGAAGATATAAGGAAGTGGAACAGGGTTCGGTTTCAGAATTAAGGAGGAGGGATTGATGGTAGTCGAGGGGGAAAATGCAAGGCTATGCATGGGCGGGCAGGTGAGGAAAGGAAAAGGGGCCGGCACATGTGGACAGGACCCACTCGTGGCAATTCGGTTGTAGCTGGTGATGTTTCCTCGTATTCTTCTTCGGTATCTCCAGCTAATTCATTTTGCAAGGTACTTTGTTCGTTGTGTACATTTTGTGGGGTGTTTTTCATATGTTGCTTCTGGTTTTTGACTCCTATTTGTCGATGAAATGATTTTGGGTTGGGTATGCGAAGGGGAGATATCAGTTGAAGATATTTGTGTTAATGATTTGACAGGATCAAACATTTATTGTAATTTTGTATTATTTGGCTAGCATTGATGGAAATTTGGGCAATGGATTTCCATTTTTTTTTTTATAGTTTGGGAGATAAAATCTGCATTTGGAGAATCCCGTCACGCGATGTTTTCATGCAGAATTTTTAGGGAAATGGACTGAATTGCTGCTGTTGCCTGTTTTGATAATGTTGGAGTTGAGACTTTTCTGGTGTTCTTACATCTGTTGATACCTCATTACTTTGTGTGGCTGGAATGGAATACGCACCCATCTGTTCAATCATTTCCATCCAGTCATTAATTTTGCGGTCTTGTATTGTTGTAAAATGTAAAATGGCTTGTCGATGAGTGCTGATTATAGATAGTTGTGGTGAATGTAAGCACAAAGCAAATACATAAATTTGGATTTTTTAAAATATTAAACAATTGGTGCAAATTAGGATTCTGCAGCATTGTCCCGTTAGCTTGCTAGTTTAGAGAAATTGTGATTTGGGATAATCATTCCCCTTAATTCTCATACTAGATAGGTTTTCGTTGTCTTCTTTTTTATTTTTGTCAAGAGATGCATATTTCCTGGTGCATGTATGTCTTTGCATTTTGCTGTGCGTTGTCCTTTCCTAGGATTAAGACAAACATTTGGAGTAGTGCTTCATTGAATCCATAAAAAATAGTGCAGAAATGTTATTGTGACAACTTTTTGAGAAATAAACAATGTGACAATGATATGGTAAAAACACGGTTATGCTTGTTTGCTTTGTGGAAAGTAGTATTTTTTTGTGAAACTATTTTTCACAGAAACTATCCTGTTAGAAAATATTTTATAAGAAATGAATTAATATATGCTGTTTGGTTGCAATACATATGGATTTTCATTTGTAGAAGAAGAGGTTGAGAATGTTTTGTCCTATGAAGACTGCATATTTCAATTTTTTTTTATTGTACTTAAAATGGTAGGAATTTTTACTCATAGGCCATATCTCTTAAGCAATGATAGTCAATGGACTTGTCTGTGTGTGCACTTTATTTTGGATATTAATCCTTCTTTTTTTTAGAGTTTTTAGAGGACTAGATCCAGGTTTCCCAGTCTATCGTTTTGAAAGACAGTTTGATGACCTAAGATTTTATGTCCTGTCATTAAAATGGAATATTTGCTTGTGTATGGTTCCAATGATGGTTTAAAGTTTTCAACTGTATATTAGGGGTCTTTTGTTGGGTTAATACTTTGTGTAGGCTTCAGACATTAGAAGCATTTTTCTTGAAATAAATATCTTCTGAATTGAATATTGAAAGACATTAATATGTAAGCTGGTGCATCTATTTATTTGATTCCTTGCTGCTCTAAGAATTGGGAGTTTCTGGAATTTAGTCACTAAAACAATTTATTTTGTCTAATTTTCTCTTTGTGCCTTCTTTTTTGTGCATTTGTAAATGAGTGACTTTTGATAATTTGGTTAAGATTCTAGACTTATAAAGGTGAGAATGAAAGCTGCTTGTTGAGACTACAAAGTATGAATTTTTGAATCCTCAGAATTTTACATGATGATGATGATAATGTTACTCTATGAGATACTGATTAGTGAGATTGACCATGATGTTTTAACCTATTATTTCTAAAAATATTTATCTTTATGTTTATATTTACAGTTCATACTGCATTTTCTACATTTTGGAAGAGTTTATCTCTCTCTCTCTCTCTCTCTTTTTTTTTGTAAATAAAGTTTCATTTTCAGATAAATTATTTGCTAGTTCACTAAAATTGCCTCTTTGCTCCCCCCCGCCCCAATCCCACCCAACAGGATGGACGTGAGATCAGTGTTGGAGATTGTGCTCTATTCAAACCACCCAAGGACTCCCCACCTTTTATTGGAATAATTCGCTGGCTGACTACCGGGAAAGAGAGCGAGTCAAAGGTTGGTGTAAATTGGCTGTATCGACCTGCTGAAATAAAGGTTGGCAAAGGCATCCTTTTGGAAGCTGCGCCAAACGAAATATTCTATTCCTTTCATAAGGATGAGATTCCTGCTGCATCGTTACTCCATCCGTGTAAAGTTGCCTTCCTTCCTAAAGGTGTTGAACTTCCATCAGGGATTTGCTCATTTATCTGCCGGCGAGTTTATGACATTACAAACAAGTGTTTATGGTGGCTAACTGATCGGGATTATATTAATGTAAGTTTTAGATGCATTTCAATCGCTTTGCTGTGGATTATTGATTATTTGTGGTGGTTAATATTCTTTTTCACAGGAACGACAGGAAGAAGTAGATAAGCTATTGTATAAAACACGCATAGAAATGCATGCAACAGTGCCCCAAGGTGGGCGTTCACCAAAGCCAATGAATGGTCCGACGTCAACTTCTCAGTTGAAGCCTGGTTCAGATAGCATACAAAATACTGCCTCATCCTTCCCTTCTCAAGTTAAGGGAAAGAAGAGGGAACGGGGAGATCAGGTTTCTGAGCCTGTTAAACGAGAACGTTGTTCTAAAATGGATGATGGTGATTCTGGTCAGTGTAGACCAGAAAGTATTTGGAAATCGGAGATTGCTAAATTTACGGAAAAAGGGGGGCTTGTTGACTCTGAAGGGGTTGAGAAATTGGTACAACTCATGCTGCCTGAGAGAAATGATAAAAAGATAGATTTGGTGGGCCGGTCATTACTGGCTGGTGTCATAGCAGCCACAGAGAAGTTTGATTGCCTTAATCGGTTTGTGCAGCTTAGAGGCTTGCCTGTATTTGATGAGTGGCTGCAGGAGGTGCATAAAGGGAAGATTGGTGATGGTAGCAGCCACAAGGATAGTGATAAATCAATCGAGGATTTTCTCTTAGTTTTACTCCGTGCATTGGATAAACTACCTGTAAATCTTCATGCATTGCAAATGTGTAATATTGGCAAGTCGGTGAACCATCTGCGCACACATAAGAACTTGGAAATTCAGAAGAAAGCAAGAAGCCTAGTTGACACATGGAAGAAACGCGTTGAGGCTGAAATGGATGCAAAATCTGGTTCTAATCAGGCTGTTGCATGGGCTGCAAGGCCGCGACTTCCAGAAGTTTCACATGGTGGGAACAGACATTTGGGTACATCCTCTGAGGTTGCAATGAAAAGTTCAGCTGCCCAACTTTCTGCTTCAAAAAATGCTCCAGTCAAGCTTGTCCAGGGGGAGATGGTGACCAAGTCTGCATCTGGTTCTCCGGGGTCAATAAAATCTATACCATCTTCTACATCAGTGGGCAATAGCTTGAAAGAAGGACAGGCCCGTAATACTGGTGTTAGTGGTGCATCAGACCTTCCTATAATTGCTGCAAGGGATGAGAAAAGCAGCAGTTCCAGTCAGTCCCACAACAACAGCCAATCTTGCTCCAGTGACCATGCCAAGACTGGGGGGATTTCTGGAAAGGAGGATGCAAGGAGCTCTACGGCTGTTTCTATGACTGCAAATAAGATCATTGGTGGTTCTTCTCGGCATCGTAAAGCAATCAATGGTTTCCAAGGTCCAGTCTCATCTGGGATCCAAAGGGAGACTGGGTCAAGTAGGAATTCTTCCTTGCACAGAGGTCAGGGTGCAGAAAAATTATCGCAGTCCAGTTTGACATGCGATAAGGCAGCTGATGTTCCAATGGGAGAGGGTAATAACCATAAATTAATTGTTAAAATACCTAATAGAGGCCGTAGTCCTGCACAAAGTGCTAGTGGAGGATCTTTAGAAGATCCCTCAGTCATGAATAGCAGAGCTTCTTCTCCAGTGCTTTCAGAGAAGCATGATCAATTTGATCGTAACTTGAAGGAAAAGAGTGATGCTTATCGATCTAATGTTATCTCTGATGTCAATAACGAGTCGTGGCAAAGCAATGATTTCAAAGAGGTACTTACTGGGTCTGATGAGGGTGATGGGTCTCCTGCCACTGTTCCTGATGAAGAGAACTGTAGGACTGGTGATGACAGTAGGAAATTAGCAGATGTCCCCAAAGCGGCTTCCTCATCATCTGGAAATGAACATAAATCTGGCAAATCGCATGAGGAATCTTTCAGCTCCATGCATGCTTTGATTGAAAGTGTCAAGTACTCTGAGGTAAATGCATCCATGTCACTTGGAGATGATGTTGGAATGAACCTACTTGCTAGTGTGGCTACTAGAGAGATGTCCAAATCAGAAATGGGTTCTCCAAATCATTCTCCACAAAGAAACGCCACTACTATTGATAACTCTTGCACAAGCAGTGATTCAAGACTAAAGTCATCTCCTGGCAATAACGCTCGAGACAGTAAATCATCCGTTGATGGCATTGATGATGAGCTTGGGAAGCGGGGGACTATTGCTGGTGTGTCACTAGCTAAGATCACTGAGGATAAAACAGAGGTGCTCAATGGGCATCCAGGTACTTTTGGTATGGATGTGCAGCAAATTGCAGAATTCTGCCAACGAAAGAATGTGAAATCAGAAGAAACATCACCAGCCACTTCAGTGGCAGTGCCCACTGCAAGCACAATAGATAAACCATATGCAGACAAAGAAACATGGGACGGAAAGGCAGATAGCAAGACAAATGTAGATAGCATGTCCGATACAAATGAGAAGTTGCATAGTTGTCTTGTAAGTGAGAGTAAGATTGATGTTTCAGGAGTAGATGGTGGGACTGAACCTGTTGAAGAATCATTGCCGTATCCATCAATGGAGATAGATGGGGAGAATTTGAAGAATAAAAATGAAGAGTTGAATATTAATCTGCAAACAGACCAAAAACATCCAGCTACAAATTGCCCTCAATTCGCAAAAGTTACGGTTGGGGAAGTGCTGCATCCTTCCAGTTCTGACAAGGATATGGTTTCTGAAAATAATACTGTTGGTGAGCTTAAGGTTGAAAAGATTGAGGGAACAGATGGTGGGAGTCAGCATAATGAAAAAGAAAATATTGCCCAAGAAAAAAATGTTGGTTCAGCTGTTACTGATTGCAAGGTTGAGTCTGCAGAGGAGAGTCTAGAAGGTAACCAGCCTAAAGGACAACATAGTGGTGGCCCAGTTCATCACAATCCATCGCCTGGATTGCAAGAACCAGAGGAGGAAGGGAGGTCTAGAGGATCAAAATTGACTGGCATTGTCGCTGATGAAACTGAGGAATGTACATCTGCTGCTGCACACGCTGCTTCGTTATCTCCTGCAGTGGGGTCAAATATTGAAGCAAAACTGGAATTTGATTTAAATGAAGGCTTCAATGCTGCTGATGATGGGAGATATGGGGAACCAAATAATTTGAGAACACCTGAATGTTCTGCTGCTATTCAGTTGATTAGCCCATTGCCTTTACCTGTTCCTTCTGGATCTGGTGGGTTACCTGCTTCCATTACAGTGGCTTCTGCTGCAAAAAGGCCCTTTGTTCCTCCAGAGGACTTGCTGAAGAATAGGGGGGAACTTGGTTGGAAGGGATCAGCGGCCACGAGTGCCTTTCGTCCAGCTGAACCTAGAAAATCTTTGGATGCGACAATAGGTACAAGTCACATATCTGTTCTAGATGCAGGCACTGCAAGGCCCAGTCGTCCACCGTTGGATTTTGACTTGAATGTTCCAGATGAAAGAATCCTTGAAGATTTAGCTTCTAGAGGTTCTTCTCGGGGTACAGTTTCTCTAGCTGACTTTTCAAATAATTGTAAACTGGCACATGAAAGTGTTATGGATTCTACACCTTTTCGGAGCTCCGGGGGACTTGATCTTGATTTGAATAGAGTGGACGAGCCAAGTGATATAGGTAATCACTTAACAAGTAATGGGCGTAGGATGGATGTGCATCTTCAGGCATTCAAAACGTCTTCAGTTGCAGCTGTTAATGGAGAGTCGAGCATTCGCAGGGACTTTGATTTGAATGATGGGCCACTTGTGGATGAGGGTAGTGTTGAACCATCTCCATTTGGTCAACACACCAGGAATATTACACCATCCCAGCCATCTGTTTCTGGCCTTCGGTTAAACAGTACTGAGATAGGGAATTTCTCTTCATGGTTTCCTCAATGTAATCCCTATCCAGCTGTTGCCATCCCATCTATCTTGCCTGATAGAGGGGAGCAGCCTTTTTCAATGGTCACCCCTGGTGGGCCTCAGCGGATGATGGCTCCCCCTACTTGCAGCACCCCATTTAATCCTGAAGTCTACAGGGGGCCAGTGTTATCATCTGCTCCAGCAGTTCCTTTTCCGGCTTCACCATTTCAATATCCTGTATTTCCTTTTGGGGCCAATTTCCCTCTACCATCAGCCACATTTTCTGGTGGTTCGACAACATATATGGATTCATCATCCGGTGGGAGACTATGCTTTCCTGCGGTTCATTCTCAAGTATTAGCACCTGCTGGTGCAGTCCCGTCCCATTATTCAAGGCCTTTTGTTGTTAGCCTCCAGGACAGTAGCAACAACAGTGGCTCTGAGAGCAACAGGAAATGGGGAAGGCAAGGCCTAGACCTCAATGCAGGACCTCTCGGCCCAGATATGGAAGGGAGAGATGAGACATCTTCTCTTGCATCAAGGCAATTGTCTGTTGCCAGTTCACAGGCCCTTGCAGAGGAGCAGTCAAGGATGTATCAAGTGGCAGGCAGTTTCTTGAAGAGGAAGGAACCAGAGGGTGGGTGGGAAGGTTACAAGCAATCATCATGGCAGTAGAGATCCTTAATGGCAACATCTGATAATCCTTGAAGCCCGTAAGTATTTCCACATACTTTTACATGTTTCATTGAGATTTCTTTATTTTTTCATGTTTCATTGAGATTTCTTTATTTTTTCCTCGTGTATTTAGACATATAGATTTGATGAATGGAATTGCATCGAGTAATACATAAATGTTCAATTAATTGTTTTTTTATTATTTTTTTTTCATTCTTCTTTTCAATTTCAGATATCTTCGATTGATGCTGACTAGCATCCAGAGGTCGTCATCTAACTCATGCTCTCCAAGGAAGGGTGGTAAGTGAGTTATTTGATGTCATCTGATCTCCAACCCCATCTTTCGCTGTATGAAATGTATCTTAAGGAATCTGTTAGGGGTCGAGCAGATATTTCGTTAAATTCGTCCTGGGTGGCTGCTGTTCGCTTTCCCCTTTGTAGATATGTTAAACTGTTGGAAAGCAGCATGCAGTCTCTGTTACCCAGACATTGGAAATTGGTGGCCCGTGCTGTTATTCAGTGCATCAACATTTCATACTGTTGGACCGAAAACCATCCATCCTTTTCCAGCCTTTCCAAGAATGTAGGATGGGTTAGTGGACTGCTCTAAACAGAAGCCCTTTTGTATGTGCTTTGATGTTAATTTATCTTCCTTTCCCCCCTTGCTTTCTTTTAATCACATATATATAGTAGCAAAATGGACATTATGTAGGACGATTCAAATGACAGGTGAAATCTGATCTAGAGTTTAATTGTATCTGATAAAAGAAAAAAAAAAAAATTAAAAGTTTAGTGCCTGTCAACTTAATATGAGGCATTATGGTTCTTTATATTGAATTTTGATGATTTACGATTCATGTCTATCCTTACTTTTTTGGGAGACATGCTTAATACTGCAGGTTCATTTGAATGGGTTTGTTCGAGTCTATATGGGGGAGTAATGTGAATGTGTATAATGAGGTTTGTTTGATTGATTTATATTGTACTCGCCCCCTAGCAGATCTCCTCCTTCCCCCACCCCACTCTGCGGGGTTCTGTTTTTGCTTTGATTCGTACTAATGTTTCGTAATAATGTTATCTTCCAGTATAGTTCATGCTCTTCAATTAAATTTCCTACGTATAGAAAAATTAGAAGTACAGAAGGAAATATCCTGTAGGGATACAATGTAATTTGTTTTTCTTTAATTTACTTTTTGTAAAGGGATAGTCTAATTGATAAAATTACCTCGTCTAGGTCCATGGCTGCTGCTGCTGTTTCGTTTGGGTTTTGCTTTGTGTTGGAGGGTTTTAGAAGTAGTACTAGTAGTAGACTTCAAGATTGATTGGATCATATGCGGACTGTTTTAACTGGACTAGATCAGTTCATTATGAATGGCTTTCACCAATGTCTTGTCTTAAGCTCTTTGATGCAGAATTTTGGTCCCACTCAAACATGGGATGTTTTGAAGTGGTAACAAAGATGGAAAAAATAATAATAATAAAAAAAATTGCAAGCAAGATAATTGGCTAATGTTATTTTTTCGAGAATTTTGTTTCCTTTTTCTTTTTTCTCTTCCGGCTAATATTGAGAGGAAAGAACTCGAATCAATGCCACGTCCCAAGTTAACTTATCTAAGAAAAGAGTTTTATTTACTACTATATGAAATAATAATAGCATTAAAATGAAAATTATCAAAATGTATGTATTGAAATCAGCGTTTCAGGGGGATATTAGACCGGCCGGTACGTAATCAACTAATCATGCCTACGATGTGAAAGACATGAATGAGTTTGAGTTGTCCTCCGTTGCGCCACGTGTGGTGTAACTTTGTTAAAAAAAGTAAAAAAAAAAAAAAAATGGAAATCAGCGACAAAGCTGTGACATTGTAACTGACCCACTTTCGGATTTTCTCATTTCCAAGTCGATAAATCTATATGAACACAAGCAGAAAAATAATAATCAAAAGAATTCCACAGGGGCTATGATCCACTCTGAATTGTCCCTAATACAGGCCCAAGCCCAACTATATCAAACGGAACCCCGTTCCGTGATTACTAATTTCTCCGGTGAAGCTCTGCTAAACGGTTAAACCCCCTGTCAGTCTGTCCCTAAAACCCTGCCACTCTGCATCGAAGAGCTCATCTTGTTCATTGCTTATTCAGGTATTGCCTCTTTTCGATTTCACAAAATTCTTGTTTGATTGACTCCGGATTCTGCGTCTTAATTTCAATCTCTCATTTTCTTTTCTTGTTTATTTATTATCCTCCCAATTTATCCTCCCATCAGTCTATTATGTCAATCTGCTATACACTTGACCCTGATACTCTTAGCTTCTTCTATTATGTAGGTGTCTAATTCAGTCATGTTTATGACAAGATTTATTGGGAGAACCCTCTTTTCTGCTGCTAAATCTGAAACCTCTGCTGCTGCTGCTGCTACGATTCAGTTTGCACGTAACCCTCTCGAGGAGTTCTTTGAAGCAGATAGAAGCCAGGATGAGGACAACAAAATTTTCTATGGTATAAGACTCTCTGTTTCTAAAATTTAACTACTGCTAATTGATTATAGTCTTGTAGACTTCATTACATTAGATTGTGGGGTTAAATTATTCTGGGGACAATTGTTTAAGTTATTATCATGATTGACCTTGTTCAACCCTTACCATCGTTTCAATTAAAAAGAAAAGACAATATTTAATTTACAAGACAGACATAATATTCTTAGTTGAGTCCAACCCCTGGATGCGTACCCGTATGTAATACTAATATCTGGGTTTTAAGTGACATAAACTGGGACCTGCTGTAGTACATGAGTATATGCTCACATGCTAAGTAATTAACATTTTTGCATTCTCTTTTGAATACCTGTTTGTATGATATCATATAAGAATTATTCTGATAGATAATTAATCAAGAACATTGTAATTTTTTTAACTCATGTGTGAGATGAAAATGCTTAATTTAAATTAATGACATTGTAATTTTTCAGTTTCCCAGTTTTGCTTAATGACATTCAGTTATATATGAGTTTTAAGCAACATAAATCGAGACCTGCGATAGTGTATAAGTATGTGCTAACATGCTAAGTAATTCACATTTTTGCTTTTTTTTTTTTATTTTTTTATTTATATTGACATTCAGTTTATATATGAGTTTTAAAGCCAAACATAAATCGAGACCTGCGATTTTAGTGTATTAAGTATGTGCTAACATTGCTAAGTAATTCACTTTTTGCTTTTTTTTTTTTATTTTTTTATTTTGAATATATTATATATATATTATATATTATATATATATATATTTTTACAGGAATAGAAGCCAGAGAGATCATGGTTACAGGAATAGAAAGCCAGAGAGATCATGGTACTAATATATATGATATTATATATGTAAAGTATTCTGATTAACAAAACTCAATAACATTATAATTTTTCAAGTAGTATGAGATGGAAATTTCTAATTTAAATTAGTTTCAGCTTTCAATCAGCTTAATTAGCATTGGGTTATTTTTCTTACTGTTTGTGTTATGATGTGATTGAATGACCTTAGGAATTTTGCTTTTTATATCTGAAAATTTCATGTCCTTTGATCCTAGAAAGAGAGAACATTTTGTATTCTTTAAATGATTGCATTAAATATTTAATTTCCTTAATGAACTTTATTACTTCCAGGTCGAAGTTGGAAAGCTTCTGAACTACGCCTGAAGTCTTGGGACGATCTTCAGAAGCTATGGTATGTTATGTTAAAGGAGAAAAACATGCTGATGACTCAACGCCAGATGCTTCATGCTCAGAACCTAAGGTTTCCAAATCCAGAGCGTTTACCTAAGGTAGAGCTTAGTTTTTCTTTCATTGTGTTCAATATAGCACATGAATGTGGGCCTTTGGTTTCTCTCAGCTCTTTAAACATTGTCCTCGATCTTCCGGTGTCCATAGCTAATTTGAATGAGATGACAATGTACTATTAAACAGTAAATTACTAAAAAGGAATGTGTTGCTGGCTAAGCTACCTTCATTTGATTGATCTCCCCACCCAGAGCTTTTTTGCTGGTTGTATACTGGTCATCTAAAAATATTTCTTCACCGGATCAAAAATATCTAGGATTTTGTGCACATGAAATGAAGGACTATGGCCTACTATATATGTGAAGCATATATGTGATGTTTGGAGTTGCAGTTTATGAATGGCCCCCGGTGGAAGTTTTAGTAATCTGCTTCCTTGCTGATGATGGCCAGCGGAGGATGCAATATTTCAACTCATATTTGTTTACACTGTTCATTCTGCTGGACTGTAAGCATATTAGCTGCAATAAGTATGATACCTGAAGTGATTTATCCACTACTTCAGGCTTAAATCCCAATTATTATAGGCTGATCCTTTGGCATTTGATCCATAATGGGATCTAGTATACAGATAACTTTTCGTTTTTCGCTCATTATTCCTTTATGCTTTTGTAATGTGTTACTTGCAATGACACATAAAGTGATGTAATTGGATTGTCTTCACTTATGTTGTAACTATTAGCAATAAGAACAAAGTGGATGAATCTTTCTTGAATATTACATCTTTGAATTAAATATGTCATATCATGAATCCAATACTTTTTCCCCATATCTATGTATCAGTCTAGCTAGAGTCCAGCTGTTTATTATGTTGTTTCAATGGTTGATGAAATTCAGGTGAGTAAGTCTATGTGTCGAATCAAGCATGTACTCACTGAGAGAGCAATTGAAGAGCCAGATCCCAGGAGGTCAGCTGAGATGAAGAGGATGATAAATGCTTTGTGAAGACTTCCAAAATTCTGGAGGTGCTTTGTGGGCTTGTTGGTGGGATGTGATATTGCTGTATTTTCCTTGGTGTAAGGTTACTACATCCCCCTAATAGTTAATGCAGTTTCATAATATCATCAGCTATTTGATTATGAACTTATTGAATTCTTTGTTTTTGTCTGTGAGAAGTATAGTTGGAGGTAGGTTAACAAGTACCGAAAACATAATTAGGAGATAGGTCAGATTCTGCTGGTGATTGGCGAACATTTATGTCGGTTCTCTTTGACAATTTTTATCTTCAACCTTCAATCAAAACTCGTCCTCCTTTCTTTATGGTACCTTAAATCTCTCTTTGCAATAGCCATTTTGGGTTCTCACGTTTGGTTCCATTATTCACTAGTTACTAATATTGTAGTTCTTACGCTAACACTGAAATTTGTTGTTAAGCTTTCAAGTTTATACTTATATATATATATATTAGTTACTGTTATTGTCATCATTTTGTGTCAATCAGCAGGAACTGGTCTGTGGTTGTTTGTTGGTTCCATTGTCTGTGAAATCTGAGATGGTTGCATTTCTTTCCATATTCATTTTCTGTCAATTCAATTTTTGTTTTTGGGGAAAAAAAAATTGAACATCCAACGTAATAATGTTAGTGATAAGGAGATAAAGAGGGGCCCCTTTGACTGTCCAGAGTTGTATTATGTGCACCCCATGCTAAGAGACATGGGGAAAAGGGAATTGAGATTGCGACTGCCAAGTTCAAGTATCAAAATTAAAATCATTCTTGTTCTCAAATCTAAAAAGCAGATTTCTATAAGTTTGTAGTGGACAAGCTTTAGTGACACGTTTTTTTTTTATTGGACAAGATTTTTTGTTTTTTCAATGAAATGTAAGTGCACCTACATATTCATCTACCCATTTCAATCATTAAATGTGTGTGAAAGAAACATACCGAGGATATTGCCCTTTTTTTTTTTTTTTTTTGAAGAAACCATACCGAGATATTGCCCTTTTTTTTTTTTTTTTTGCTATTACCCTTTTTTTTTTTTTTTTTGCTATTACAATTTGTGTATCTTCTTCTCTATAGATTTTTAGACATTGCCTTGTAGTCCATTCCAAGGATGGTCCTTTTTCTAGGTATGAATGTAATCCGGGTTGAACCAAAATTTTGAATCAAATTGAGTAGTTCGGTTTGATTTAAAAGTATTCAGTTCGGTCCAATTATTATCATTATTACTATTATTATTTTCATTTCATTTTGGTTTTAAAGATGAAAATGGTAATTAAAAACCCATTGATTTGGTTTATTTCAGCTAATTTTTCAGTTTTGATTTAATTTAAGGTTCCCATTAACTGTTACAAACAAACAAATGAATGAATAATAAGTTGGGCCAAGTCAAGAATGAGAGGCTTAGGCCCAGTAAAATTCTAAAACAGAAACTTGAGCCCATGAAGAGTCAACCAACGATCCTCTTGTCAATAAAAAAGGGGTTTAAGTAAGTTAACAGAAAGAGTACAATGTTATGCAAATCACTTTAGGACAAAAAAAAAAAAAAAGAAAACAAAAAAAAGAAAACAAAATACTAGAGAATAGAAATGGGTGATGCTTACTCAAGCAAAGAACCTGAAAAATCATTTTCTTGCCAGAAACAGAACATTTACATCATCCCCCTTTCTTACTTTACTAATGTGTGTGTTGGAACAAGTCAGGACAACCTTAACTTCGCCATCATATGCCCACATGTGACTGGCAAACCCTCTCCTTCTCTCTATTTACGTTTTTACCCCCTGTTGCGGTTGCCCCCAACTACTCTTCTCCCTCAAGGTCACTCTATCATTCCCCAACTAGACCCCACAGCAGAAAAATATAAAAACTAATTCCCCACGTAACAAATCAAAGTCAACCACTGCCTTTTTAAGTCAGTCAACAATTTTATCACCCAATCTACTCCAGTCATATTCTGACATGTTCTCTACTCATTATGTCACCTACCTCACCGCCTGGTAACTCTATCACTCTTCTGCCCGTCCTGCCCGATCTGCCCTTCCCTGCTCTTCCAAGTACCCAAGTACACCTTTTCATTTTTTTCGCCGTCTCTCTCTCTTCGATTTCTCTCTTTCTATCTCTATATCTCTCTTTCTTCTCTCTGTAGATCGAAAGCGCGCCTTCAGTTCTCGTCAATCCGAGGATCGGAGCCGGAGTTGGATCGATTGTTTAAGGAATCGGAGGCTTTGTGATTCGAATTCGATTGGTGAAGTGAAAAATTAGGGTTTCGATTGTGGTGTGGATGGTGGAAACATAGGGCTTTCAGGTGGATCTAGTGGGTGAAATTGATAGAAGGTGTTGGAGCGGAGGTTGGGTTTTGGAATCAAGGAGAAGGGATTGATGGTACTCGAGGGCGAAAATGCCAGGCTATGCATGGGCGGGCATGTGAGGAAAGGAAAACAGGCCTGCACATGTGGACAGGACCCGACCGTGGCAATTCGGTTGTAGGTGGTGATGTTTCTTCGTCTTCTTCATCGCTGTCTTCAGCTAATTCGTTTTACAAGGTACTACTATTATTTTTTCTCTTCTCAATTTCTTTTATTTTTGGTTTTGATTTTTGGCTCTCGCTCAATGAAAGAGTTTTGGGGGTTTTTGTAGGTGTGGATTTTGGGCTGGATGAGGGGATTTTATTTTGGTGATTTAAGTGATTGAGGTGAAAATGATTTGATTAAGCTGTGGTCAATAGGAAGTGGATCGACTTTTTGTTCTAAGGAATCTTGTCTTGCATTGGCGGAGAGGATGGAATGGCTGGATGGAATGGTTTTATATGAGTTTAAGAGTTTGATTCTGGAGAATAGTGAGTGATGACTGGATTCATATAGGATTTGAAGAAATTATGGTTTTTGGGTATTCTGGGTTCCTAGATGGAGTTCTGATTTTTCTTGTGAACTTTGGGCCTCTGTTCTATAAATGAGACTGGAAAATGAATAGGTGATCGCTGTGGGTGTGAAATTGCTATTCATTCCTTGGAACACTGAGTATAGGTCAGTGTCTTTCATTTTTTTCCCCTTATGTGGAAAAATCTGAGTATTAAAGCTGATGTGACAACGCCTTGGTGGATTGAGGCAATCCTATGTGCTTGTCAGTAGTTGATAATTCACTATTGTGGTATTAATAAATTTGACAAGGAGGCCAAACATTGAAGTTAAAAATAAAGAATTTTGTAATCACGGGAATTGATTACAATGGTGCACTAGTGACGTTATTGATGAATGCTGACCATGATTATCTAACCTATTGTTTTGAAACCATTGCCTTCATAAACTCCAAATAACTATTTATATGTCTGGAAGAATTCACTGATTCAGAAATGCAATTTTATTTAGCTGTCTTTTTTCAGATAAAGTGTATAACATTTCACTGAAGTTCTCTGTTTTCTTTTATCTAACAGGACGGACGCAAGATCAGCATTGGAGATTGTGCTCTTTTCAAACCCCCCCGGGATTCCCCACCTTTCATTGGAATAATTCGGTGGCTGACTACTGGTAAAGAGAACAACAAGTTGTGTGTTAATTGGCTCTATCGACCTGCTGAAGTAAAGCTTGGCAAAGGCATCCTATTGGAAGCTGCGCCAAACGAAGTATTCTATTCCTTTCATAAGGATGAGATTCCTGCTGCATCTTTGCTCCATCCGTGTAAAGTTGCATTCCTTGCAAAAGGTGTTGAACTTCCATCAGGAATTTGCTCTTTTGTGTGCCGGCGAGTTTACGACATTACAAACAAGTGTTTATGGTGGCTAACTGACCAAGATTATATTAATGTATGTTTTGCTTGCACTTTTTGCATGTTAATCTATCTATTTGGCACACTTCTTATGGTTTTACCCATCCTTAGTGGTAGTTGATATTTCTTTTCTTTTTCACAGGAACGGCAAGAAGAAGTAGATCAGCTATTATATAAGACAAGCATAGAAATGCATGCAACTGTGCAACCAGGGGGACGTTCTCCAAAGCCAGTGAATGGTCCCACATCAACATCACAGCTAAAACCTGGGTCAGATAATGTACACAATGGTGCCTCATCCTTTCCTTCTCAAGTTAAGGGAAAGAAAAGGGAGCGAGGAGATCAAGGCTCTGAGCCTGTTAAACGAGAGCGTTATTCAAAAATTGATGATGGGGGTTCTGGACACTCTAGGCCTGAAAGCGTTTGGAAGTCTGAGATTGCTAAATTTACAGAAAAGGGAGGGCTTGTAGATTCTGAAGGTGTTGAAAAATTAGTGCAGCTCATGCTGCCTGAGAAAAATGAAAAGAAGATAGACTTGGCTGGTCGGTCTGTACTGGCCGGTGTGGTCGCGGGCACAGATAAGTTTGATTGCCTTAATAGATTTGTGCAGCTTAGGGGCTTGCCTGTATTTGACGAATGGCTGCAGGAGGTGCATAAAGGGAAGATTGGGGATGGCAGTGGTTCCAAGGATAGTGAAAAATCTATAGAGGAATTTCTTTTAGTTTTACTCCGTGCACTTGATAAACTCCCTGTAAATCTTCACGCCTTACAAATGTGTAACATTGGCAAGTCAGTGAACCATCTGCGCACACATAAGAACTTGGAAATTCAGAAGAAAGCTAGAAGTCTGGTCGACACATGGAAGAAGCGTGTTGAGGCTGAAATGGATGCAAAGTCTGGTTCTAACCAGGCTGTTTCCTGGGCAGCAAGACCACGACTTCCAGAAGTTTCACATGGTGGGAACAGAAATTCAGGTGCTGCCTCTGATGTTGCAATGAAGAGTTCAGTTGCACAACTTTCGGCTTCAAAAAATGCTCCAGTCAAGCTTGTCCAGGGTGATACTACAACCAAGTCTGCATCTCCATCTCCATCTCCAGGTTCCATGAAATCAGCACCATCTTCTGCATCAGTGGGTAATAACTTAAAAGAGGGACTGCCCAGAAATACTGGTCTTAATAGTGGCTCTGATCCTCCTCTAACAACAGCAGGAGATGAAAAAAGCAGCAGTTCTAGTCAGTCTCACAACAATAGCCAATCTTGTTCTAGTGATCATACTAAAACTGGCGGTTATTCTGGGAAGGAAGATGCAAGGAGCTCTACTGCCATTTCAATGAATGCAAATAAGATCATTGGCGGTTCTTCTCGGCACCGTAAATCAATGAATGGATTCTCTGGGCCAACTTCATCTGGGGTTCAAAAGGAAACTGGGTCAAGCAGGAATTCTTCCTTGCACAGAAATCCAGGTTCAGAAAAATTAACGCAGTCCTCCTTGACATGTGAGAAGGTGGTTGATGTTCCTTTGGTAGATGGGAACAATCACAAATTGATAGTCAAACTGTCCAATAGAGGTCGTAGTCCTGCAAGAAGTGCTAGTGGGGGATCATTTGAAGACCCTTCTGTAATGAATAGCAGGGCATCTTCTCCTGTGCTGTCAGAGAAGCACGACCAGTTTGATCGTAACTTGAAGGACAAAAATGATGCTTATAGATCTAATGTCATTTCTGATGTCATCACTGAGTCATGGCAAAGCAATGATTTCAAGGAGGTGTTGGCCAGGTCTGATGAGGGAGGTGGGTCTCCTGCCACCGTTGCTGATGAAGATAACTGTAGAAGTGGTGATGATGCTAAGAAATTAGCAGAGGGCTCAAAAGCTGCTTCCTCATCATCTGGAAATGAACGTAAACTGGGTAAATTTAATGATGCATCTTTCAGTTCCATGAATGCTTTGATTGAAAGTGTCAAATACTCTGAAGCAAATGTGTCGATATGTGCCGGTGACGATGTTGGAATGAACCTACTTGCTAGTGTGGCTGCTAGTGAAATGTCCAAATCAGATATGGCTTCGCCGTCTCCTTCTCCGCAAAGAAACACCACTGTTGCTGAGCACTCTTGCACAAGTAATGATTCAAGATCAAAATCATCTCTGAGTGATAGGCCTGCTCCTGAACAAGGTCAGCCTGTTGATAGTGAACATGAGAAGCAGAGTACTATTACAAGTAATTCACTGGCTAAGAACACAGAAGTTAAACCCACTTCATTGTCACATGAAAAACAAACAGGGGAGGTCACTGGACATTTGAAGTGTTCTAGCATGGATATGCAGCATGTTGCAGAAATATCCCTAGGAGCCAATGTAAAATCAGAAGAAACATTAATAGGCACTTCACCAGTCGTGCCCTCTGCTAGCATGTTAGAGAAGAATACAAGTGGTGGACATATAGAAACGTGGGAAGAAAAGTCACATGGTAAGTCAAATGGAGCTGGTCACCCTGATGCTAAACAAGAGGTATGCAACTCCTTCGAAACTGAGGTTAAGGCCAATGTTCCTGGGGTGGTTGGGAATGAAGGTGTTGCAGGATCATGTTCTTACCCGGCTATGGAGATTGACAGCAAGAACAAGAAAAATAATAATAGTGAATTGAATGTTGCCATGCAGACAGAGCAGAAACCACCTACTATGATGCTTCCCGAGTGTCTAAAGGCAAATAGAGAAGTGCTGCATCATTCTGACTCTGTCAAGGAAGTTATTTCTGAAAGTGTTGATGAGTTGAAGGCTAAAAAGGCTGATGAAACAGACACCAGCAGTCAGACCCCAGGAAAACCAAAAACTGAAGAGGAAAATAATATTGCTTCATCTGCTGATCACAAGGGAGGTTCTGTGGAGAGTTTGGAAAATAATCAGGGTAATCAACACAGCAGCAGCCCGATGCCTTCTGGAAAGGTGTTGCCTGCAGTTGTCCAAGAACCTGAAAAACAGACAAGGCCTGGGGGATCAAACTTAAATAGCATTGAAGCTGATGAAGCTGAAGAGTGTACATCTGCAGTTGTGGATGCTGCTCCTTCATTTTCTGCAGTGCAGTCGGACATAGAAGCAAAAGTAGAATTTGATTTGAATGAAGGTTTTGATGCTGATGATGGAAAATTTGGAGAATCAAGTAACATCACAGCCCCTGAATCTTCTACTGCTGTTCAATTAATTAGCCTCTTGCCTTTACCTGTTTCTTCTACTTCCAGTGGTCTTCCTGCTTCAATTACAGTAGCTTCAGCTGCAAAAAGGCCATTTGTTCCCCCAGAGGATTTACTGAGGAATAGGGGAGAACTTGGTTGGAAGGGATCTGCAGCCACAAGTGCATTTCGGCCAGCTGAACCTAGAAAAGCATTGGAGGCACTAGTAAGTTCAATGAGTAACTCTCTTCCTGATGCACCTGCCACCAAGCCTAGTCGTCCTCCATTAGATATTGACCTGAATGTTCCTGATGAAAGAATACTTGAGGATATTGTTTCACGAAGTAGTGCTCAGGGTACAAGTTCTATGTCTGACTTCACAAATAAGCGAGATCTTTTGCATGATAAAACAGTGGGTTCTGCACCTGTACGGAATTTTGGGGGACTTGATCTTGATTTGAATAGAGTGGATGAGCCCACTGATATGTTTAATCACTTGACGAGCAATGGTCATAAGCTGGATGTGCAGCTTCAGCCGATCAAATCATTATCAGGTGGTATTCTTAACGGTGAGGTGAGTGTCCGCAGGGACTTTGATTTGAATGATGGACCTCTTGTTGATGAGATGAGTGCAGAACCATCACCATTTGGTCAGCACACCAGGAGCAATGTACCATCACATCCATCTGTTTCTGGTCTTCGGATTAACAATCCAGAAATAGGGAACTTTTCTTCATGGTTTCCGCACAGCAATCCATATCCGGCTGTCACGATCCAATCTATCTTGCCTGATAGAGGAGAGCAGCCTTTTCCAGTAGTAACACCTGGTGGACCGCAGAGAATGTTGGCTCCCCCAACTGGCAGCACACCATTTAGTCCTGATGTCTACAGGGGTTCGGTCTTGTCATCTTCTCCAGCTGTGCCCTTTCCATCCACACCTTTTCAGTATCCGGTCTTTCCTTTTGGAACCAACTTTCCTCTGCCATCAGCCACATTTTCAGGTGGTTCAACAACCTATGTGGATTCATCATCTGGTGGGAGGCTATGCTTTCCTGCAATGCACTCTCAAGTGTTAGCACCTGCTGGTGCTGTCCCATCCCATTATCCAAGGCCTTTTGTAGTTAGCCTTCCAGATAGTAACAATAATGGAAGTGTTGAGAGCAGCAGGAAATGGGGAAGGCAGGGGCTAGACCTCAATTCGGGGCCTCTAGGTCCAGACATAGACGTGAGAGATGAGACGTCTACTCTTGCATCAAGGCAATTGTCTGTTGCCAGTTCACAGGCTCTTGCAGAGGAGCAATCAAGGATGTATCAAGTTGCAGCAGGCGGTTTGTTGAAGAGGAAGGAGCCAGATGGAGGATGGGAAGGTTATAAGCAATCATCATGGCAATAAAGATGCTTGATTCAGAGTCCAGTGATCCCTGAAGCCTGTAAGTTCCTAGTTTTTTTTTTGGTGGTCTTCTTTTCCTTTACCTTGAAGTTTGAGGTTTGAGTTTTGCTGTGAACTATTTTTAGATTGAATTTCTACTCCCTCTATTTATTTATTCATTAATTGGATACATTCTTCAGAGCTTGAGATATACAACTGCTCTGGTACTCAGTTACATATTTTATTCATTGATAATGCTTTTTAATGTCAGATCTGATGGTGTTGGCAACTCTCAGGGATCTTCATCTAACCTGTACTCTTCAAGGATGGGTGGTAAGTGAATTATTTGATGTTGTTCAGTCTCCGACCCCCACCCTTTCTCATTGCCAGTTGTGTGTTAAAGGAATCTGTTCAGGATCTTCGAGCTGGTATTTCCTTGAATTTGTACTGGGTGACTGCAGTTCACTTTTCCCTTTGTAGATATTTAACTGTTGGAAAGCATGCAGTCTGTGTTACCCAGACATTGAAATTTGGTCCCCATACTGTTGTTCAGTGCATCAGCAATATATACTTTTGGACCCAAAACCATCCTTCCTTTTCCAGCCATTGCTATAATGGTGGTTGGGTTAGTGAACTGCTTTAAACAGAAGCCCTTTTGTATGTGCTTTGTTGTTAATTTATCTCTGTTCTTTTCCTCTTTACTTTAGTCACATATATAAGCAGAGTGATCAGCGAATTTTGGTACTTGAGCTTTTCTTGTTCTGGAATATGCTTTAGTTGCTATGGTTGATGTTGTATTCTAATTTTTAATTTATTTTATTGATTAACCCTCCATGTAGATTATCTGCTGAACAGTGAAGTTGTAGCCTACTTCACTATTGATATTCACATAAAGGCATTCAAATGTTTAAGATTTGTATTGTGGTATCCCTCCCTTCATCCCCACTTCTTTTATTACTCTACTCGAAGCCTGTGGTTTACCAGGTGTGATTGTATGCAGTGGCTGATCCAGGCATTTTTTCTTTCTGCGGTCAATAACAAACCTCTTAATTTTTTTTCATGTGAAGGGGAGTTTAATTGATTATTACACCTGCATATATAAAGGGACATTGCAAAAAAGGGAGGTCAATTGATCCCTTTTTTGTAAATAGACCTGTCACTGATCTAATGTTGTGTTTTGAGAATTAATAGTTATTTGCATCCTTTGGTTAATTCAGTGTGTGAACTCGCCGTGAATGACAATAAATCCTTTTGATCCTGAGAATTTGAATGCTTGGTTTCATAAAATCTTTGTTGACACGCTGCATTACAGTTTATCAGGTGGAATTTGGATGAAACATATTTGCTGCTTTATGTGGTGTTGTACCTTTATTTTATTGTCATGCACGTAATTTTTTATACGAAGATGTCAATAATCATGTTGGCGACTGTGTTTCATGTTTGATAACTTGTCTGAGAGGTGAAATCTGATTCAGAGTTTTCTTGTATTTTGAAAAAAAAAAGCGAAAGGTTAGTGCCTCTGAGACAACAATGTATTATTTATTTATTTTTTGTATTAGTGATTCATTAGCTGGGACTCCTCTGCCTTATGCAAGTTATGGAGTGATGCAGGTTTGTCTAATTATTTATATGGGAGATTTGAAGTCAATGTTCTTTTGGATAAAGTAACAATGATTGCTATGTAGTCAGCTTGACAGAGTTTGTATTAGCTCTCCATCGATTAAGGGATTCAAGTTGTCTTGTTTTATTATGTCCAGTGATTTTTGTACTCTGATCAGAACGGTGCGCTAGATTTTCATCTCACACGGCTCCTCTGTGCATAATGCGAATAATACACAAACGTTATTTGTAACCTTTTGACTATGTTTTTGTTTTAGTTTCTGATATGTAATAATGTGATGCCAATCTCATATGCCCTTTTTTCTCTTTTTCAATAAGCCTTTTTTCTTATGGGAGTCGCTTAAATTTCTACTGACAGGGCGACAATGAAAAAGTACCCTTGTAATTGGCGGAGTGGTTAGACATGCTAGTCAAAAAAGATAATGATTTGTTGTATCATTTAGACTTGTGGTTGAAGTGAACATGGGACGTTTGATTAATGTGTTATTGACTGTGACACATGCTACATTCAGATTGAGGTGAATACTTTAATGTTGCTTTTATGTTTGGAAACAAATATTTGATTTGGAACAAATCAGTTCAGCGCCCATCTTGGCTTAATTTTCAACAGGGCAGCATAATCCATTTATTATACTTGCATATGGATTATGGCTAGAAACATCAATTGCTCTCTTTGTTAATCTTTCATTTGAATATAACGTCCAAGGCTCTTATTAATATTTATTTATAACTACATAAATGAATGGAACAGTTGCATTCCAAATGACACTTTTTTTTTAAAAATATTATCAGGGAAGGGATTGTCATTCGCGAAACTTTAGCGCTAACATGGATTTTACCATTACATTTATTAAGGCGTGAATGACTTTGCTTTCTCCCTAATTTAAAGCAAGAAATTGTAATCATCATAACAGCTAAACAACAAGAATGCATGTAAAAACCCTCCAGTCACTTGTTTCAAAAATTAGAAAACAAGAATTTACAGAGGAAAATTGCGTTTGCCAACTTGCAAGAAGATTAGAGAGTAGAGCACCAAATTCTAGCTACTGTTCAACCAAAATATCAGGACACAATCTGTAGAGCATACAAAAAGGTGAAAGAATGTGTGAAAAACACGGTTGAGATACAAAAACCAATACATACATCTAAACTAGCATACAAAGTAGCCATAATGTATACTTCTCCCATGTTAGTAAAACATAAAATTAGACAATGTGAACTGCCACAAAGTGACATTCAGAGGAAGCTTCACTGCAATCAAAAACCGATTCTTTCTAAATCAAACTCACGGGAACCAGGCAGCTTGAAGAAACCCTTGACCTGTATATTGGCAGAGTCAAACATGCAAATGATAACTTGCTGCTAAGAGTATGTATTTCCTCTGAGACATACAAGCCTCCTCCCACAAAAGATGTCTCTGCAATTTGAAAGCAATTCAAGAGAGGAGAAGATAATGAATTTTTGTGAGATATTACAGAATAAATTTTCAATAGCTAACTGACTAAATTCTTGTGTGTGTGTGAGTGCACATGTATGTGCATAGAAAATGGCCACAATGAAGGGATACAATGAATGTAAAGAGTAGAAGGAGCATATTATTTTTATTGTACTCGTCTCAAAGCACCGCATAAGTGACAGATGAAAGGAACAGATGAGTTCCTTGATATTTGTTATTTCTAGAATTTCAGAATTGTGCTCACAAAACTACACTAGGGCAAAGAAACTATATTTTGACAATTGATTTTGATTATGACTGTAAGGTGGTTCTAATAATTTCCTAGTTCTCAGTCTCTATGAGATTGTACATGGAAGCATCATGACACTAATCTAACCAGAAAAATTGATGTCTTGGAAGCCAGCAAGTAATCTAACTTTTGTCTTTAGAAAGTGCAAGGTTATTCAAATAATCAGGCATCAGAGATGAACTCCACAAAAATTAATTGAGAACAAAATATTACCAACTGAAAACAATTGCTGATAACTGATCCCTTGCAATTAATTTGCTTCTTCATATTTCACATGATGACTCAATCATCAAATTGGCAATTCAATATGAAAAGATGTCATGACAACCATTTATCACTTAGAAACCAGAGATAAAATCCCCCATCATATCCAACATATCTGACACCAGTAACCTCCTGATACTGCGATGTGCAGTGAAACATTTGCAGGTAACATGAAAGATGCAATTTGGCTTCTCTTATCTTCTGAACGGATAATCGGTAATCATATTTTGGGTTTGCAACTGTATTACAATGGGTCATCACTAAACATATTTCTAATGCCGTAGAAGCTATCATCCTCGAGATCACGTACAATTTTTTTTTTTGTCCAGGTACCCATGTTTTTGCATACCATCTCAATGTACCCATTGGTTATCCATTATTTTAAAAATACTCTCCATCTAATTATATCTCTTCAGATCCTGATAACAAAGCTTTTTACTTCAGCCTTCTAAAGGGACTCACTGTCATATACTCACTCCTCTTAACAAAGACCACACTGAGGCCTGTCAAATATGTTCTGGATGTTTACAGATTATTGCTTCTCTATTACAACTGAACGGTAAACTTTTATTTTTAACTGAAAAAATCGATGGGTCTTTACCAGTTTAAAAGAATATTCAGTTCTAGGGAAGCCAAAAAAAGTGAGGGCTTAGCACAAGCCTTATTGAACAGGCCCTTTACTATAAGATGGGATGCTGCAGTAATGTGTTTATCCCACCTTCTTCTTATACCATATCTACTATTTTTTTTACTGCTGCTACTTTAGCCTCTACTTAATTGCACTGTATTATTATCTGCACCACTACCTCTTCCCCTCCCAAACCTGCCATGCAACTCAACTCAAATCAATTCAGCTTCAATCTAGTTTGGGTAAGCTCTGAGGATCTATTTCTTTATATTTTGCTTGGTTTAAGGCCACATTTTCATTTGCATTCCCCGAAACTATACACTAGTAAAAGTTTCTAAACTTCCACTTAGTTTGACCACAGTTCCAGAATCACCTGGAAGACAAGATAATGAAAGAGGCAGAGAAGCAATAGATAGATACTTGATAAAGATGTATAAGGAAAATATTTAATAGAAAATACTTGCAAAGGCAAAAGACTAGACAATATGCACATTTCACAAACAGGAGGATATAATATCAGAAAAACTTCACATATTAAACACTCAAAATACAACAAACAAACTCTTAAGAAGTGCAAGAAACAATGTTACTGACAATAGGCATCCTCGATTTGACCTTTTCTTCTTTTCCTTTTGTTTCTGTGCTGGTTTGATAACTACTTTGATTGCAGCATCAAAAACAGCCTTAACATTCTGCAATAGGATTGGAAACACAACTCTAGTAAACAATCACAAAAGCCATATAGAATTTTTTTTTTCTTTTTTTGACACTGACAGACAAAACTGAAGGGGGTGAGAGCTTGCAATTTATTTATGCTTGGAATCCATGAAGGCACACTGTAGCCAAATGGCACAGAGCCTCTGGATAGAATTTTCACCAAGGAACAAACTTTGAACCAGGCATTTAGGAGGGGAGTTGAGTCCAGGTAACCTAAAATCTAAGGAGACCAGTTTCCAGTTCAGGATAATAGCATCATAACTATGATAAACAAGCACATAATGAAACTCTGGAAGTTCCATCGTCTTGTCTCCAGGAAAGCAATTCAACCTGATAATCATTACTTTGAGGGATTCCAATCATCATGGACAAAAATTACTTCATACTCAATTGACTGCTTGCATATTTTACACACCTGTTGAGTTTTTGAGCTGCATTCAATATAATATGCCGCGCCAATCTGTTTGCGGAGTTCCTCTCCCTGATTATGAAAGAACTACTTCCATTAAAGACATTGATTGCCAGATTACCAAGAGAAAGCATTAAGCAACTATTGAATCAAAGCTGCACCTGTGCAGTGGTTACAGCTACCAGCCCAGGATGATCAGCCAAATAATGTTTATCCTCACGAAGATCTACAAACCATGCATTAGTTTCAAAAGCCTAAAATGCTTCACACAGCCAACCACAACATGTATAAAAAATAAAAACTAATTACAGCATCTGTAACTGAAACCATTTGCCTCATAACACAATAATTCAAACTTTTCTGTGAAACATCTGTGAAAAGTAGTAGGAATTCTTCAGAAATATAAAAAAGTGTGTAGCAACCACTAATCTTGTCCCAAAAATTCAGTTATAATTTGGTTTTACTTAAAAGAAACCAATGATAGAGAAGAAGACAGATAAAGTTTTGAGACTTTAGTTAATTTGTCTATCATCATAGGGGCAAGAGCCACATTTTACAATTTTCTTAAAATTTGATGATCATGCAGAAAAGAATCGAATCTGAATCCATCTCAACATAGTATCTAATTCTGCTTAGCAGATGCAACGAGATGAAGCCTCTTTGTCTTTCAGCAATACCCAGTGTGGCAGTTCCATGGTCAAACATGTAGATTCTTCTTGTCGAAGTGCACCTTCAATACTATATCTTTCCTTATTTTAGGACTATACTAAATATATTCTTGCATTGACATTTTCAATACCATGCCAACCCTACTTGTCTCACACTAGCATACATTACATTCAATTGAACATCCTTACTCCAACTATATTCAGTTTTTATATTTTTGTTCCAAATGGAAAGCATTCTTTGCTGTAAGAATGATCAGCTTTGTCGTAAGAAACCCTACTGTGATGTCTACCCTACGAAAATACTATAATTTCAAAGTAATAATCTATCTTGTTCCATCCAATGTGATTTTATGGGCAATGAGCCTTTTTAATGCTGAAACAAGCATCCAAATATAAAAAAAAATAGCAATAATAGCCTTGATATACCTTGCTAATTGCTATCGAGGGACTAGGAACAACCTAGTAGACTTACCCAATTTGGTGCCAACCAGTACTACTGGAACTCCCGGAGCATAATGCTGAAGCTCAGGAATCCACTGAACAAGCAATCATTTATTAATGAGGCAAGAGAGAGAGAGAGAGAGAGAGGAAAAAACCAACCAGAGCCTAAGAAGAGCAAATCGGGTAAACTGAGTGTACCTTTTTAAGCACATTCTCATAGCTTGCCCGGCTAACTAAGGAGAAAGCCACCACAAAGACATCAGCCCCTCTGTAGCTCAAGGGCCTTAATCTATTATAATCTTCTTGTCCTATGAAAGTTATTGAAAACAAATGTATCAATGGTATATATCCAACTTTTGGCATATAACTTTTTTAGAAACCAAAATTAATCAGAATTTCTCATATGCTCAGTCTAAGAAAAAAATGACTACAAAGAAAAGAAAAGAAAGGAAAAAATGCATAGACATAAACCATACCAGCTGTATCCCAGAGGCCTAAGTTGACAGTGGTTCCTTCAACTACCACATTTGCACTGAAGTTATCAAACACAGTGGGTATGTAATCCTGATGAACACAAAACCCTTAAAATTTAGAAAAAGAGAAAATCAACAGTATTTATTTCTATGTTTATTTGCATGAAAGAGCAAAACAGCTGCAGCGACCCATTAGGTGAGGATAAAAGAAACCAATTCTAAAATTGAAAACAAGAGAAACCCAGATGATTGAAAAATATTGGGAACCCAAAAGAACAACTTTTTCAGAAGATTAAAAAAAATAAAAAGACAAAAAAAAAAAAAAAAAAAAAAAAAAAAAAAAAAAAAAAAAAAAAAAAAAAAAACCACAAAAGCTGCAAAAACTCAGATTCAATAAGCAATAAACTAAATAAAAGAGCACCAAAAAAGAAAAAAAGAACGAAAATATATTAACCAGAGCTGAGACAACCTAAATGGATCACATGATGAAACAGAGAACATACAGTAGGGAACTTGTTATTGGTATAGCAAATAAGCATGCAAGTCTTCCCTACAGCCCCATCTCCTACTGTCACACACTTGATAAACCTTGAAGCACTTGAAGCCATCGAAGAAACAACCAAATACAAAATAGAACTCAAGAGAAAAAAATCTCTCCCAAAAGAGAGACAGAAAAGAGAAATATCAACGCCAGCTAATACCCAAAAATTTATGTTGATTAAAAAATAAACGAGTTAAAGAAAAAAAAGGAAATGGTTGGTTTCTTGGTGGACAAATTTATTGTGGCCCTATAGGTTCAAAGAGAGAGGTGGTGGTGGTGGTGGATCACATGATTCTCACTCATTTACTTATACCGTATCAATTAATTTTTATCTTTTGCTTTTGAGTTTCTCTCTCTCTCTCTTTTTTTTTTTTTTAATTTGCAATTTTTCAAGAAAGATTTGAGAAATTCCTTGAGGTTTATTTTTCACACCCATTTTATATTTTGATTTTATGATTTTTTTTTTTTTACCTTAAAAATAGACAGCTTTGTGCATTTATCGGTATGTAGTCCCAGAATTGAAGGAGCTCTCTGCTCTGCTCTGTTTTGTTTTCTGTCGCCTTTCATCTTGTGGCCCGTCTCTTTCGATCCGATGACATTGACATGTTACTCAAGCGTACATAATTAAACAATTTTGGAATATTCCATGTGGTATTAGATAACCTGCAACTTTTTCTTAATATTATATTATCTGTTAGTAATGACATAATAATTCAATTATAATATAAATTTTTATAATAAAATAATACTTATAAAATGAAAAATTAATAATTTATGAAGTAAATATTTTTAAAAATTATGATAACTTATCACTTTTTTTTTAAGAAAATTGACAAGTCATTAATAAAAAAAATATAATATAATACAACACATCATATTATCCCTTAGAATAAAAAATTTAAATATAAAAATTAAAATAAGATTAAAATATCAGGTTAAAAAGGATTTTTTTTAAGTAGAACAGTAAATAAATTTTACAACTTTATCATTTTGGAAACTCGTTATAGCTGATAGCTAGCATAGAAGTTTAAAATCCCAAATATTAATGGATGAAAGAATCCATGGCTAAATTTCTTGTAGATCTAAAGTTTTAAAAACCTAAAATAGTATTTTAAACAAATACTTAAATTAATATTTTGAAAATTGCTTTATAGCTTTCTGATTATAATTTAATTTTTTAAATCAATTAATATTTATAAACATTTTAATCTAAATATGAGTACATTATTTTTTACCAAATTGGCAAAATGCACTTAATATAATAGGTAAAAGCTAGTTCATATAATTTGCAAAAAGAAAAAAATACAAGTGAAAATTTGAAACTTTGATCATGCAATTTATCATAACACATGAGTGGGGAAAATGAAGTTGTATCCATTGAAATCAAGTGGACCTGAACCCAGAATATTCAATTAAAAGTATACCTACTACATTAAATAATGATGTAGTGAAAAAAAATAAAAGAAAAAAGAAAAAAAAATAATAATACATTAATGTAGATTGGTGGATACCTCGAGACCTCAAAGTCATTGCCAAAAATGTGACTTATGGAAAGAGCTATTTTAACTAACATTGATCCATTTATTCATTAGATGCTGCTATTAATTAAATTAAATAGACCAATTTGCTTAAATTCAACTATATTTGTGGCATTCTAGATTTCGAAGGGTCTATCGTGCATTTACACTTAAAGAGTTTTAGAAATATATAAAAATAATAATAATTTTTTGAATTTTTAATTTTTATATAAAATATTGATTTGACATGTAGTTAGAAGAATTTTTCAAATAACGATTTTCACGTTATTAATTGTGTATAAGCATTTAATGTGTGAGCCGCCTTTGTTGAAAACAAAAGAAAAAAAAAGTTTAGCTTAATCCCACATCGGGGAGATGAGCTTTTGAGGGTGTTTAAATTGGCTATAAAAGGAAGCCAATGTTTAGATTTCAAAACACACCAAAAACACTTGAATGTATTTTATATTAGGGATTTAGAGTAAGTCTCTTGGAGTCTCTTGGAGTATAAAATATTTGGGGTGTTTTGAGGGTGTCAATTAGAAAAATATTTTGTAATTGTGGTTGTAACAATTTGCCGCATAGTGAATATTTTTCTTGATTGTCATTTGGCAACGGCCGTGGTTTTTTTCCACTTAGAATTTTCCACGTTAAATTATCGTGTTATTATTCTCTTTTATATTTCTGCATTATTTATTTTCTCATTTTTCCTGCTTGAAGCTGATCGCAAGGGCCGGAAAAAAATACGATTTTTCCCAACAAGTGTATCAGTAGCCTAGGTTAGCGGAGCTTTAGGTTTTAAAATAAATTATTTAATTTAAATTATTTAAGTATGCATTGTTCGTTGCAAGCTTAATCTGATCTCCACATCAAAATTACTGTGTTAAAATTATTTTATTTTAAAACAGTGGAGTTTTGAAGTCTTGAAGCGTGAGCTTTGCTTTTGTGCTTGAGTATCGTGGTTGAAGTCCTGACGATAATTATGAATTACTCTTCTGGTACAAAAGTTCTATAATATACCATGCACTAACTTTCTGTTAAAAGGATTTTAAGTGGGACCACTTGTAACCCCTCCGTCCAACTGAGATTTTACGTGGAATGGTAATATTGTCTAGGAGATCATTGTGATCTTTCCTGGGTATTGCCAAATCGGTTTACTTCATTAATTATTGGCTTCACTGTTATAAGCACAAGTAAGCAAGTCGGCTATGAGATGTGAGATTGAGAAATTTGACGGGAGAATGAATTTGGCATTGTGGCAAGTGCAAGTCAAATACGTGTTGATTCAGTCTGGACTGCATAAGGTTTTGAAGGGTAAACCAGTCAGCGAAAAGAATTCAGGAAAAGACAGTGGCAGTAGAGACTCAGAAAAATCCAAGAGAGAGAGAGAGGAAGGTATAGGGAATGGTGGAGAGCCCACAGAATGGTGGCATACACGTCACAGTGGTTCATCTTTTTGGTTACTCTGTCTATCTCTAACTCCACTACAAGGACCCTTAAGAAGTGCCATTATCTTGTTTGTTTGCTTTTAAGAAATATGGAAATATATATATATATATATTAAGGATAACTTCACCACCACAAATATAATGTTTGTTAGTATTATTAATACATGCACATGATGCCATTTTCCACTTTAGATATCTTCTTTATCATTTACTATATTTCTGCATAAAGCTCTCCGACTCATCCTGTCACTTCCTTCGACATATAAGCACATGAAACCTGTTCTGAAATATGGTAGTAAGGAAGTGGTGTATGCAGATGTGATTAGTAAGCTCATTACTGAGGAGAGAAGACTGAATGAAATGAAAAATAAATCATATGAGGATTCAGCTTTATCTGTTGGTACCAGGAAAAAGAATAAAAGCTCTAGAAAGAGGAAGGTTGTCTGTTGGGATTGTGGTCAAACTGGACACGTGAGGAAGGATTGCCCGAACGGTGGAGCTGATTCGGCTAGAAGCTCTAACTTTGTTGCTGCCAATGTGATCTCCTGTGGCGAAAACGTTATCTAATTTTAAATAGATTTATATCATGAGATTTCTCAATTGTTTGTTACTACTGTTGGCCTCCTTTGGAAACAATTTTATATATATATTTTTTTGTTTTCGACAAAGGAGACTAACAATCTCCACCTTTAAAATAAAATTTAAAAAAAAAAAACATAAAATTTAGTTTTGCTCAATCCCACGTCAGGAGAAGAGCATTTGAGTGTGGTGGATTGGCTATAAAAAGAAGCCAAGGTTTAGGTTTCTAAACATACCAAAAACACTTGAATGTGTTTTATATTAGGGATTTAAAACAAGTCTTTTGGAGTCCCTTGGAGAATATAAAATATTTGGGGTGTTTTGAAACCTAAACCATTGTTGAAAACAAAAAATAAATATATATAATTTAGTTTTGCTCAATCCCACATCGGAGAGAAGAGCATTTGAGGGTGGTGGATTGGCTATAAAAAGAAGCTAAGGTTTAGGTTTCTAAACACACCAAAAAACACTTGAATGTGTTTTATATTAGAGATTTAAAACAAGCCTTTTGGAGTCCTTTAGAGTATAAAATATTTAGGGTGTTTTGAGGGTGTCGGGTAGAAAAATATTTTATAATTGTGGTTGTAATAATTTACCGCACAGTGAATATTTTTCTTGGTTGTCGTTTGGCAACGGCCGTCTGAGGAGTTTTCCAAGTTTAAATTATCGTTTATTTATCTTTATTCTCTTTAATTTCTCAGTCATTATTTTATTTTCTCATTTGTTCCTGCTTGAAGCCGATCCGAAGGGCGAGAAAAATAGCGATTTTCCCAACATAATGGATTCAATTTACAAGTTGGAGTGCTTAATATGGATTAAATTGGCGAGTTCAATAGGGATAATTTAATTACTTGATGACTAAATTATTTGATGACTAAATTATGGATAATATTTATTTTAAATTCAAAATATAATTATTTACCTTTATAATTATACCAAAAATAGTATATTGTACGAGACAAAAGAACTTGTAGATGGAAAGCAATATTAATTTCTCCATCAAGGGTTGTTGAGTATTAATTTGCCATTGGAATTACGCGAAGGATTGAAAAAGAAAAGAAAAGAAAAGAAAGAAAAGGGTAGAGCTAGCTAGGTGGCTATTCAATTATTTGCAAGAAAGTTGATAGCAAAAGGCAGTTTGTCAAGCAATAAAATTTCAAGGCAATTGGAATTATTGCAAAAATCCAAAATGGTCGGTCGAAGAATAAGTAAAGATTAAGTAACATATACCCCAAAAGTGCAAAAACGACAACTACTAATAGGTGTAAAAAAGCAATTGCAATTCTATTATTGCTTTGCTCTCAAAGGTAATTCCATTGTCTTTTACCTTTCTAAGTTAAAATTTCAACGAGCTATGCAAAGCATCAATGGAATTAGACCATGAATTTTAAAGTTCATTACTCTTCTCTACAATTATGTCAATTGAGTTACAATCCGTATCTGACTTTTTTATTTATTTAACGAAAAAAACTTATATTTTAATATTTGCTTTTAAAGATTGTAATGATGTACGATGTATTATCAATGGCAACACCAATTGTGGTGTGAAGTAACTTTTTAAGTTAGAATTAACTTGAAATGCACGCATTGTGTTAAGAAGAAGGATAGCACAGCATGGAAAAGCCTCTCAAGAGGCTTGGGGAGTGATGACCTCTTACCTGTATTTTGCATTGTTTTAGGATATTAGAGCGTAAGCTTTTGCATTAAATTTTAAATATTTTGTGTTTCTTTCTCGAATAAAGAATGATATTTAAATTAAGTTATTTCTATAGCTAGTTCGCTACTAACTTTAGAGAAACAATTCAGTACTACTGATCCAACCGTTTTTTAGTAATATATTAATATTTAAATTATTTTATTTAATAAAAAAAAATATAATTTACACTTGGAATAGAAACCTGCTAGAAATCAAAAGTAACTGTACACTTTTTTTTTTTGGCTACACTAGAAAATATACAGTAGTTTATTATAAAGAGAGGGTTATTTCTTGAAACATGTACAAAACTTGGTAAAGGTCTTCATGAAAACTAGACAATAATCTAACATGGGCTGGGCTCTGGCTTTGTGTCCTAACATGGTCTAGGCCCATTGTTTTGAGGCCTTTTGTTTTCTTATTTTTTAAATAGCTACAAAACCCTATGAAATTTAGCATCACTGTTTTAAAATTAAGCGGGAACTAACGGAACGATAGCTGTTTGATAATTGAAAGTATTTCCTTTCATGAAAATAAATGTGATTTTTAACTATTTTCAGGTACTTTATGAATATAGAAATTGTATATTAAATATTTTTTCTGGCTTTCTACGAGAATTTGGAGCATAGGAGCTACCGATTCAAATCTCTAGTGATAAATTTACGCTAGCAATAATTACTGTATTTTAATGTTATTTTTTAAAAAAAATTATTTGCAATTTAATATTCAAACCAATAATAAAAATTAAAATTATTTTAGGTAAAATTTTAATTAATAATACTTCACGTCTTTTACATATATAGACTCACTTTGATCATTTCATCTCTAATATTAAATATGAGATTAAAAAATTTATAGAATCACAGATTTGGTATGTTAATTTAATTATAATTTAAAAATCAATTTAAATATTTGTTAATAAATAAAAATAAAATAAATATGTTTTTTATCTAATGAATATTTTCCTTGTAATGCTGTATGCTGATATGGCATGGCCAATTGGCCGCAGTGATGAACCAAATGTAACAGCTTAAAAAAGAAAAATAGTAAAACAAAATAAAACACTTTCTTAACTTAAGCTCCTTCTTCGTCCTCGTCCCCTTACTGTCATTCCTCCAAATGACCAAACCCTAGTTTGCCTCATCTTCTTTAATTATTTGGGGGACAAAAAGCATAAATCTTTATAATCGTTAAAAAAAAAAAAACCGACAGAAATCTAACAAATACATTCCTTCATGGGTGATTCCAAGCACAGAAAACGAGGCCGCAAACCCAAAATCCCTACCGCCCAAACACTAGATCCCACCACCGCCAGCGCCACCGATGACGACGTTTTCTCCGTAAGCAACGTCGAAATCATCAATCCCACTACAACCAACCCCAGCAGCAGCAGCAAGAACAACCACAACAACCACCATAGTAGCCACCGTCGTAGGGGTCGTCCCAAGAAGCGCCCCAAACACTCCCCAGAAAAGCCCGAGAAGCCTCCGCCACTGGTGATTAATGGAGACTTAGGGCCCGCACCGCCCGTGGAGAGTGTGGCCAGGGTGGTGCCGGCAATGGACGCTGTAGTGAAGGTGTTCTGCGTACACACGGAACCGAATTTCTCCCTCCCGTGGCAGAGAAAGAGGCAGTATAGCTCGAGTAGTAGTGGGTTTGTGATTGGGGGCAGGAGAGTTTTGACTAATGCACATTCCGTGGAGCATTATACCCAGGTTAAGCTTAAAAAGCGTGGCTATGATACCAAGTATTTGGCTACCGTGCTTGCTATTGGGACAGAGTGCGACATTGGTAAGTTTCAGGCATTGGTTCGTTTTTAGTGTTGCTAGGATTTTAACGTTTCAAGCCATATTTTATGTTCTCGTGCCTATATTTTATTATTCTTATCATGATATACATTTGAGAAATTTAGCAACTAAATGAGATTGCCTGTGCCACCCATTTTTGAGATTACTTAGGCAGTGTTATGTGCAAGTTTTCAGTCTGCACAGGAGTTTCTCTTCCATATAAAAGATTTGCTAAGCTAAGCAAATGTGGAATGGACGTGATGATTAAGAAACCTGAACACGAGTTTCTAGAAATCAAAAACCTAGGATTTAAATCAAAGGTGGGATGAACCGCAGTAGCAGTAAATGTGCCATGCTATGATAGGTTTGGAGTGGAAAATGCAAAGTACATATGAACTCTGGAAACGGACCATCTCTAGAGTTAGAATTAATAGAGTAAAGTGAATGCTGATGGGATCCTTTCTTCTATATGGCATGTTGAAAGTGTTGGTAGTTTATGTTTACCTACATGGATGCAAATGATGGGAATTTTTATGATGTTTTGGCCTGTGCGATTCTGTAGCTTTGCTAACAGTCAATGATGATGAGTTCTGGGAAGGGGTGTCACCTGTTGAATTTGGGGAATTGCCTGCACTTCAGGATGCCGTAACTGTTGTCGGTTACCCAATTGGAGGGGACACAATCTCTGTGACAAGTGGTGTTGTGTCGCGAATAGAGATCTTATCTTATGTCCATGGGTCGACAGAACTTCTGGGCTTGCAGGTTATATTATTACAACTCCAGCTTTGTTATTGATTTATGTTGGTAACTGACCAAACGGTTCCCCTTGTGTACCTTTCTTGTGGTTGCTTTGCAGATAGATGCTGCTATAAACTCAGGAAATTCTGGTGGGCCTGCCTTTAATGACAAAGGACAATGTGTGGGCATTGCGTTTCAGTCCCTTAAGCATGAAGACGTTGAAAATATAGGGTATGTCATACCAACACCTGTCATCACTCACTTCATCCAAGATTATGAGAAGAACGGTGCATATACAGGTAACTTCATTACAACCATGCACACATTTTTTGAATTGCATGGAGGATAAGAATAGAAGAGCTTTTGAGGGAAAGGGACTGCCTTTCTTCATTCTTATGCAGATGGCTGTTAATTTTGTGTCTTTGTTGTATGAGTTATATGTATATATGAACACATTATTTGGGGTTTGGATAATGGATAGGGCTATCATAGGATTCATCTTTTTGGTTTCAAATATCTCCTTTTTTTTTTTCTTAGGTCGTTTTCTACACCCTTGGTTTTTTTCTGAATTTGATTGCTCATGATTTCCTTAACTGAACTAAGCCCTAATTTAGAAGGATGCTTTATCTCCATTCAGCTTATCTAGGCTAAGCTTTCTATTAGCTTTTGTGATAACTTATCATTTAGCCACTTCAGACTTGAGTCCATACCATTTAATCACCTTACTCGTTTATAAAGAAGAGTTCAAATCCATGATGTATGCATGCGTGGCTTCTGAGTTCTGACTGTGTGTTTATACCATGAAGTTGATTTCAAATCACCTGTTAATTGTATGACAAGCTTCATTGCACTTGATTAAAATATATGGTCATCTGTTACATGCTAGGATTCCCATTTCTTGGGATTGAATGGCAGAAAATGGAAAATCCAGATTTGCGTATGGCTATGAGAATGAAACCTGATCAAAAGGGTGTTCGTATCAGACGAATTGATCCTACCGCCCCAGAATCCAAAGTCTTGAAGCCATCAGATATTATTCTCAGTTTTGATGGGGTAGATATTGCCAATGATGGAACTGGTGGGTGTTCATTTTCTACTGTCACAGCAGGCACCTGAAACCTATTCAGGAACATGTACATATAAATGTTCATATTAACCTTTGTATACAATACTGTATTTTTTAGTAACAACATGCTTTATCCATTTTTCACTTTGCAGTTCCCTTTCGGCATGGAGAGCGCATAGGTTTCAGCTACCTTATCTCCCAAAAGTATACTGGGGATAATGCAGCAATTTCTGTTCTCCGCAATTCGGAAACTCTAAACTTTGACATCAAACTTTCAACTCACCGAAGACTCGTTCCACCACATGTCAAAGGCAGACCTCCATCATATTATATTATTGCAGGATTTGTGTTCTCAACAGTGTCTGTTCCTTATCTCCGTTCTGAGGTGTGTAAGTTCACTTAAATGTTTATTTATGTGTGATCTTGTGTTTGTTGTGGAATTTGATTTTGTTTAGAATCTATTTTAGTTCATAAAATTTAGCTTGAAGGAGGCTGAAACATGGATTTTAGCTAAGGTTCTTTGAATTGGGAAATCAATTGTTTTTGTATGCTGAACTAATATTTTACAATTATCATGTCTAGTTGAGCGCTACATGGCCTTGTTATGTTTTTGCCATTATTGAACCTTGCACTAAAAGTACAAGGTCTGTTAAATTGTGTACTTGTTCTGTTGTGCATGTGCTTGCTCCTATACATGCTCTTGGGGTGAATTGTGATAATGTAATCCTGGATGATCTTATTCCTAATAAGAAGAACAGCATTCAGAATTTTTTATGCACTAATAATAGAAGTACTCAATTCTTTTTTATTTGCTTTCTTCTCATTTAATTTAGTGGTGTCTTAAATTATTTACTTCTTTTTGCATATTTTTCCAGTATGGCAAGGATTACGAATACGAAGCTCCTGTCAAGCTTTTGGACAAACTTTTGCATTCAATGCCACAATCTCCAGATGAGCAGCTGGTTGTCATTTCTCAGGTTTACACTCCCTCCCCCTTCTCTCTCTCTGTCTCTCTATTTATTATGTGAATGGTATTTTATGATCCTCTGCTCACTAATATATGATTCATTGGCAATTTTTTGGTAGGTGCTTGTGGCTGATATTAACATTGGTTATGAGGACATTGTTAACACTCAGGTGAAAAGAGCAGTGTGCAATTACTCATTAGCTTAATGGTTTAACTCCCTGTTGTCGAATATCTTCTATTGCTTGTGTGCCTATGCAGGTTCTTGCCTTCAATGGCAAACCAGTGAAGAATCTGAAGAGCCTGGTCACTATGGTTGAGAGCTGCACTGATGAATTTTTAAAATTTGAATTGGAATATGAGCAGGTTTTTTTTCTTTTGTTCATGTGTGCAGGCAAAAAATATCTGATATTTTGTATACTTTTTCGTTTCATTTCGATATTTTTTTTCTGTTGTGTATCTGCAGATAGTGGTTCTCAGGACAAAGACAGCCAAAGCAGCTACTGTAGATGTTCTTACTACACATTGCATACCTTCTGCAATGTCAGATGATCTTAAGCCATGAATTTGGTTCCTAGTGTAGGTACATTACAATATTCTTGTTTTAGCCTTACACCAACATTATTTTTCTCTTCCAACAGTAGGGGAGAGAAATTTGTAGATTGCTTGAGGCGGACTATATATCATTTTCACCATCCACCTTCTCTAGATTCTGTTAGGTGTTCTACCAATATCTTTGAGAACTGTGGCACAGTTCACTGGAACCTCAACTACTATATTTCCCTTCGCAACAAGTGAAGGAAAGCTCTCCAGGAATATCAGTTATGGTGGTTTTATCTTTTTTCTGACCTCATTTCAATTTTGGGAAACGTGTTGGTCGTTTGATCATTTGTAGCCTTTTCCGTTGAATAGCATATTAATCTGTCTCATTTTTTTAATGAAAGCCTACTTTTAGACCTGTATCCTTTCTCCTTTGATGTGAATCTGTAAAAGAAAGTGCTTAATTATAGATACAGAAACAAAATAAAAATGCCTTACTGCATGGATTTCATGAGCTCTTTTCCAACAAACCATACAGATGAGAGCTATTATTATAGCATACCTACAAATTGTGATTTGCATTAATTTACACATTGGTAATGGCATGGCTCTCCAAGAGAGGAGCCCTCTGCTCGGTAACTTTGTGCACTTTATATTGTTCCTCTTCTTTAGACTCTGCCCATATTACTCCATAGAACCCAACTACAATTATGACTGCTCCAATAATACTGCAACGCAAAGGGACTTCAATTCAATGCTTCAGTGCATAAATATATGTGCCGTGTTGAGTGGTAATCAACAAAATAATTGAAAACTGTATATTACTAAAAAATATATTCAATAATTTTCAGTTAATGCAGAAATGAAACTAAAAAAAAAAAAAAAACCAAAAAGAATATAGGTTCAATAAATTTTCAGTTAATGCAGAAATAAAACTAAAAAAAAAACAAAAAAAACCAAAACGGTTCTCTCAAAAACAAAAAAAAAAAAACAAGGGACAAAAACAACCAAAGTAATTCCGTTTCCTATTGTAACCTAATAGTGCCCATATTGTAGTGTTGAACTTGGAAAAAAAAAAAAAAAAAAAAAAGGGACAAAACAACCAAAGTAATTCGTTTTTCCTATTGTAACCGAATAGTGCATACTTGTAGTGTTGAACTTGAGGTGATAACTTAATGATCGAGTCATGGCATGTGAGATTATTACCTTCCAACATGAAGTGTGTCTCCTAGGAATATGACGCCCAAAAAGGCAGCAATGGCTATGCCCAAGGGCTTGAACATGGCAACAAAAACAGGCCCTTTCTTCTGGATGCACCACGTTACTATACAAGATGTCACCACACTTCCAAATACAGCCTTAAAAAGGGAATATGTGATTAAAGATTTGCTACCAAGGCAAAAAACAAGAACTGTCAATAGAACTTGCGGTAAAAAGGTCCTTAGATGCCTTAATTACGAACTTACCGAGTAGAGTATAGAGAGGAGCTCAATATCATGCCCAAGTTTCCAGGCATTTGGGTTCTTCTCAGCAACCAAAGAAACCATTGCACATTGGATAGTGCCAAATAGGCAATAGAAAAAGACCAGGGTCATCCTTGATGAGTAATCTTTAAGAATTGCTGCCTTCAAATTTAGTATAATCAAATTATTTACTTATAAAGAATATTGTATGTCATAAGAAAAGGCTTATCAAAATCTTATATTACCTGAAAAGTATTACATATTGCAATACATAAACCAGCAGTTGCAATGAAGAGTCCTCCGATGATCCAGGAGTTTGTTGCTGCCGAGAAAGTGGAAGGGTGTAGTTCTGGATGTGGTGGTAAGGTTTTGGCACCTATTGGAGATCCTTTATAAAGGATTATAGTTAATGCTCCGGAAATTGACACCAATGTGCTCATAATTTTTATCTGGCTTTTTGAGCTTCTCAAATCTAACTTCTCCATCCTAAAAAATTGAGAGCGAAAAAGAAGAGTAAATGAAACATTCACTTTTACCTAATTTATAGAACTTATGTTTAGACTTGAATACTGTTATTTGTTTCAGTATCAATAATTTTTCAATAATTAAAGGATTAAAGGAAAACCTGAATATGACTGCAAGAACAAAAGTAAAGGCAGGGATTAATTGGCCTAAAGCAGAAGCAAGAGTAGGAGAACTGTAGCTTATACCAGTGAACACACAGTTCTGCATCATAGTTATCCTGTACAATTCTACACAATTATTAACTTTCTTCATAAAAAGGGAATTAACAAAAAACCCACTTCCAAACTCAAGTTGTTTGATGAAATTACATACCCAACAAGGCTGAGGAGGAAGAATTTGCAGAGGAGAGCGAAGGTGATTGGTGGCCTCTTTGTTCTACTCAAAAAAAAAAAAAAAAAAAAAAAAAAAATGATTCGGTGGCCTCTTTTGCTTGTCTACCAAAAAAAAAAAAAAAAAAAAAAAAAAAACGTAAAATGAGTCAGACAAAATTAGAAAAAGAAAGATAGGTTTTCGTTTGATGAAACCCAAGGATTACCTGTTGGAAGAAGCAAAGCCACAGGGGAACATTATTAGAGTGGCACAGACCATTAGAGTACGACAACAAAAACCAAAAGTGGCTCATTTCTAAGACATGGCTGCTTTGCGTTATTGTGGTCGAAAACCTGTTAATCACAAGACATTCCTATCATCAACCATAGCTGCAAAATCCGGTAGCTAATTTTTAGAAAAAAAAAAAAAAAAAAAAAAAAAAAAAGGTAAATGAGTAGACAAATTAGAAAAAGAAAGATAGGTTTCGTTGATGACAAGGATTACCTGTTGAAGAAGAAAGCCACAGGGAACATAATTAGAGTGGCAAGACCATTAGAGTAGACAACAAAAACAAAGTGGCTCATTTCTTTAGACATGGCTGCTTTGCTTATTGTGGTCAAACCTGTATCAAGACATTCTATCATCACCATAGCTGCAAATGGTAGTAATTTTAGCAGCCAAGATTTCATCCCCATCTCCATCTCTCTCTCCTTCTTGCCTCCTGCAAGCTAGGAAATGGGAGGATTAAAACAAATACAATTGTTTGATAAAGAAAGAAAGATCCATTTGTTTCCTTATGTCGTACGGCGAAGTAGACTGTCAGATATGACAATAATAATTAATGTGGAGATGCCTTGGCATGGTAGAGTTTTCTTTACCTTTTTTTCGTAATGTTTTTTGCCTAACACATGCGCCTAACAAGTACTGCTATTTTTTATTTTTATTTTTTGAAAGGAATATATTAATTTATAGCTAACTATCTTTTTTTTTTTTTCAATTATTTGGCAAATTCTGTTCAATGATAAATATCTTTTTTACACTTATAGTTATATTTTAATTTTAAGTTAATTATTTACTTTAAATAATTACAATTTAATATCGAATAAAAAGCCCGGCCCAAAGTAAGATCCAACCCTGCCTCTAAAATAGAAACATTCAGCGCTCCCAAAATTCCTCTTTTCTGTGTATGCGACTCTGCTTCTGTCGTACAAATACGCAGTACAATTTCATATCTCTCAGATAAAAGGGGAAAAAGAAACAAATCCGTCGAAGTCTCCAAACATGGCTGAACCAAACTTGGAACAAGTGTTTGAAGAGAAAAAGCGTGTCAAGAACCCTTTAGTACCCGTTGGTAACCAAATTCCCTTTTCACTCTTGCAATTTTTCTTTTTTGGTTTAATTTATGTTTGTTTGTTTGCTTGTATTTTGATCATCTATGATTCAGTATCTATGGAATTTTATTCAGTTTTAGCAGGGTTTTGTGTTAGGTAGTATTTCCTTAGGACAATTTCTCGCAAATAGAAAGCTTGATTGGCGTTTAAAGCGGTGAATTGGAGATTTTTGGGGAGAATTTGGTGTCTTTTGAGCTTCTTGTGCATTTTATGACTTTAGTGATAGATATACAATTGCCTTTGCATAAGCAACTGGAAATGGTTCTTTTACCTTTTTTTTAGGAAGCCTTCTGCTTATTAGACATTATTCTAACGAGATTTGATGATAGACTGATTTCAATGGCAAGTTTCTGCATTTAAAATGATTAAATGGATCAGTTTTTATTATCAATTGCCAGAGATGTTCAGTTTAATAGCTTCCTTTGGAGTTCAGTTCAACCACATTGTGAGTTGTTTGTTCTTCCTGAAGTAAACACTTCGTTTGCTATATTTTGGGAAGTGATAACAATTTTTTTTTCCTGAAATAGCGTGAATAACACTATCAGTTACATTCTTGTGAATAACTTAGTTATAAAAGATGCCTAGGACGGGTGTAATGGAAGTTCCAAAGTGATGTTGCCAGCAGTGGGATTGATGCTTTAAAGGTTTCAAGGGAAGTAAGGGTGAATATGGAGGATTGAATGTGATAGTTTATTGCTATTATGGCTGTTCAAAATCCAACCTGCACAAAGTGGTTTTGATTTTGAATTCCTATTTACAATGAAATATAGTTGTTTCAGATTAAGAAAAGGACAAGATAACTACTAAATAGCTAAAATGTAGGAAAAGTCTGGTTGTTCGGGTTTGTTTTAAACAGTCTTTATAGCTATTATAAAGGTGTGATTTGGAGCCAAAATATGATGCAGAAAGTTAGATTGACAGTTATCCTGTAGTTGCATATCTGCACCACAGACAGTATCCCTGGACTGTATTTTGGGAAATGTGTATATGTTTGTGGATTGGAGGTTGATTTATTCAGTCCATTCTCCATATTTATTCAGAACAAGGGAAGAGAAAAGAAGAGAGAATAGCCTCTTTTGGTGGATCCCATTAATGGCGATGGAACATACGTGGGGGCTAAAATTGTAACTCGAATAAAAAGGTCCATTTACCTAATTTTTAAATTTTAAAGAATTAGTCATACAAAGCCCCTCCTTGGGCCTTATAGAGAGGACCATGTTCATATCTAGGATTTTTGAAATGCAGTGAGCCATTGATGTGTGCGAGAGAGACTTAGGTGGGATAGATGGGTGATGAGAGAATGCATGTTGCTTGTGTGATTATTTTGGTAAGCTGGTTGCAAATACCACATCCACTTTGATAAGTGTGAAAATGACATTAGAGGATACAAATACATTTCCAGGACATTAGGACATAGTGGGTGCTGATGGTTACATGTTTGCATGGTGCACCTATACATGTGCTCATAATTAGACCTTCCTTATCTATTATATTTTAAAATCACAGCAGGAGAATGAAGATCTAATGGAAAACTGAAGCTTTTTCTGATTTGGTGTATTATTAAATGAATAATAAATTTTTGTTTCTTCTTTTTTAGTTATTTTTGGGTTGAAAATTTATCATAGCTCGTTGGTTTCCAGTTTGAGTATTTGAGCTTCATTTCAGTTGATCACTTTATCTAGAAACTTGATGGCTTAAGCTGTAGGATGGTTTGGAATTCTCTTTTTCTTTTTCTTGGTTTTCATTTTTGTAAATTCCTTAGGGTGTAAGTTGCATTTACATTGGGCATAAATTCTGGGATTGTGTTAGTTTTAGTCTAAGGAGATACTGAAAGTATTTGCGTGAACTCTTATAAAATCTTATTCACTTCTTTCAAATATATATAGATACAAATCACAACCACTTTTCATGTGATACACCGATTTTCTCCTTAATTTTACGCTAATTTTTGAGCTCTATCATAACTTGGTAAGAGCCTCTAGCATGGATTGCAATCATCCCTGATTTTTTGCTAACATATGTTGTACATCTACATTAATCTTAAGCAAAATATCAAAAGGACATTTTCTTAGATGACATCAATAAGTGTTTGATGGTTAAGCTTGCTGTCCTACGGTACCGAATTTAACTTTATCAAGCAGACAGTAGCATGTAAAACTACTCATGCACTTGGTATGTATTTGGCTGATATATGTGAGTATTGCAGGTGCACTTATGACAGCAGGAGTGCTCACAGCTGGCTTAATCAGTTTCAGGCGAGGCAATTCTCAATTGGGCCAGATTTTAATGAGAGCCAGAGTGGCTGTCCAAGGTGCTACTGTGGCGCTTATGGTCGGCACTGCTTTCTACTACGGAGAGAACCCCTGGAAAAAGTCCAGTTAGAGTCTAGATATTGCATTTTGACTGTTGTAACTTGATATAGTTTCACACAATTTGCGTTCTATTTGGTGGAGCCCATCTTCATTGGTAGCAAAAACTATTGTCCTAGCAAATATGCATAGATGCAGCTATGGCTGTCTCCACTATCTATGTTGATTTTATGTTCATTCTGAATAAATGATATAACAATTCTTATGTATTTTGTAAGTGCCATTAGAATGTGTTGGTGGCATTCTTCATGAGTGAATTAGTCTTTTAGACTCGAACAGGATACTGCATACCGACACTCAACCTGTTCATTCAGGAATTAGTCTTCTAGACTTGAACATTGTTATCTGTTCAAGTGTCAATGCTGAAAAGATTACTTACTGAAGAAGAAAGTAACAGGGAACATAATTAGAGTGGCAAGAGCATTTGAGTAGACAACATAAACAAAATGGCCTTAGACATGGCTGCTTTGCTCAAGATATTTATAGTGTAATAGCAAATTTTATATAAGAGTTTATACGTATACAACAAAAGTCTATCAATCGAAATTCCAATTCAAATATGCAATTCAGGATTCAATTTAAGTGCTTTTATTTTATGGAATTTTGTTAATCCTCCTAAAAATCATATATGGAATCCATATATTAATATATTAATATAATTTTTAATAAAGTAATATAATAATTTATTTCCAAACTCATTGAGATAAGATTATAAAATTTTTTTATTTTTAATATCCGCTTTGATCGATATCAATACAAATCAAAATTTAGTTGGAGAAAAATTTAAAATACTTTTTGTCAAAAAAAAAAAAAGAAAAATTTTAAAATCATTTGATATATTAATAAATAAGATAAAATATAAAATATGATGTAATGGTGTTCTTTTTTGGTTGAAAATGAAAATGAAAGATGTTAATCCAAAATAAAATAGAGCTAAAATTAAACATGCGTGCTTCGACGACGTCGACGTCTGTTTGCCACGTGAAATCCCGCTATTCCAACACGTGTATGTCTCCTCTACCTCGGTGCCTCCATGTATGCTTCTCCATGTTCTTTGATCTTCCCAATCACTGTTTGGTTATCGTGATTCCCTGATCAGAAATCGCACGCCGTCCCTCTAAGCGTTGCTGGAATTTTCTTGGAAAATTGAGCAGTAAATGTAAGGCACTAAAAGCTTTCTTCTTTATTTGCGTATGTAATTACCCTTCTTGGTAATTTATGCTTGTTAATATCAAACTGATGCTATTGTGGAAAATATGAATTTTTACTGTTTTTGCTTTCAAAATTGTCTATTTTTTATATTTTTTGTGGTTTCAATGGTTGATTGAGTGGTTATATTCTGGATCAGGGACCTGCTTTTTCCTATTCTGGATACAATTTATTCTTCTCTCTCTCTCTCTCTCTCTCTACTTGAGCACAGAATGTAAGGCACTAGAAAAGTTTCTTCTTTTATTTGCGTATGTTAATTACCCTTCTTTTTGGTTGAATTTTATGCGTTAGCGTTAAGTCATCAAAACTGATGCCCTTAATTGTGCTGAAAATATGATATTCTTTACACAATGTTTGCTTTCAAATAATGCTATTTTTTACTAATTTTTTTGGGTTTCAATGGTTGATAGAGTGCGGTTACTACTCTCTGGATCAGGGACCTGCTTTTTCCTCATTCTGGATACAAATTGTATTCTTCCGTCTCTCTCTCCCTCTTTCTCTTCTGCTCTCTTCCTCTCTCCTCTCTACTATCTATATATATATATATATATATAATTTTGGAAGTCTCATATTACTCAGTTTTTGCAAATATTATAACTTTTGTTCAGTATTGTTGGTTCTGAATTATGGAGGTTTATGTTCTTGAGCCACCAAATAGGTGTTCTTATTTAATGTCGGTAGCATGAATCTAACCCATACCTATATATATATATATATATATATAATTTGGGAAGTCTCATTACCAGTTTTGCAAATATTATAACTTTTGTAGTATTGTTGGTTTCTGAATATGGAGGTTATGTTCTTAGCACCAATAGTGTGTTTATTTATGTCGTAGATGAATTAACATACTGTAACTTTTTCTTTTCATCGACAGATTTGCTTATCCCCTATGTCTTATGTAGACATTGAACAATAAGTTTCTGATGCTTTGGTTTTCTTAATAACCATTTCACTTTGCAAGATTACGTGACAGACGGTATGATTTTCTTGTATTTCGAACTTCCAGCTACTGTGTATTTATGGAATTTTAGAAAGTAGTTAAAAGGTTAGCAAACTGGATTTGTTGTTAATATTTCTATAGCAGGTTTAAGAATTCGAGTTCTGGAAGATAAAAATGTCTTCTCCTAGCAAGAGAAGGGAGATGGATGTCATGAAATTGTAAGTTTCTCACTGTTTTATACACTAGATGATATATGCTTTAATTTTGAAATTTAAGTTGCTTCTTATACCATTGGGACTTTGGTTCTGACTTCATTGAAATCACAGGCAATGCTTCATTTTGAATTCATGAATTGTGCGGTAACATTCATATGAGAGGCGCAAAATTAATCTTAGGCAAAATATTATAGGTGATTCAAAGGAACCAGTATCATTATAAAGTTTTATAAGTGGAGCAAAACTTTTCAAATCTGGCAGGTTATAAGGGGAGCATCATAATTAAAATCTAGTTTTCTTTGGTTGGTTGATCGTGCTAAGACTAACAGAAAAACCATAGACATACTTCTATGAAGGGCTGCGAAGTAGCAATATGAAGCATCGTGGTTATGGCTATGGAGCGAGTACTATTAAATAGTTTTCATTGGATGGATAGAGCTTTAACTCAGGCTTTGGGGAGGTTTGACTTGGGTGCCATATATGATTTAAGATGGGATTTTTAGAGTGTACAACCAGGATCTTGTTTGGTCGGTGTCTTGCATCTTTAGATGATCTTTTGTGTGTGTGTGTGTGGGTGTGTTTGATTGGCATGGAGTTGTTCAGTGTATTTTTGCTTGATTAGGTACTTTGCAGAATAAGATGCTTTCCCTAGATTTTGTCATTGCATATTATGTGTTTTAGTTGTTTGTGGTGATATTATCTACAGTAATTCTTACCTATTCTGTTCATGCTATCCAGGATGATGAGCGATTACAATGTGGAGACAATAAATGATGGGCTGAATGAATTTAATGTGGAATTTCATGGCCCTAAAGAAAGTACTGTCTCTCTTCTTATGGTGTCTCCCCTTCCTCACCTTCCGCATTTGATTTTTATATGTTGGCTCTTCTTCCGTGCCTCTTAAATTTTTATTTTCCACTATTCTACAAATACTTCTGTCAAATCTGTGAACCTCAAAATATTACTTACAAACTATATGTAGACACTTAATTGCCTATAAGCTTAATTTTTCCAGGGATTCCTATAATCAAATGGAGAACAATCTTTTTCCTATTGGTTATACAATGTTGGTTGTTTCTCGGAGAAGTAGAGTTTAGTATGTCTGAAATCGTTACTTTTGTAGAAGGTGTTGATTGCATTTTTCTGTAATTGATCTTTTGACATATTGATTGAATTTTCAAATTTTAGTATTTCTCTCTTTGTTCATCTTTTACCATGTCATTTCTGTGCTAGCACTTTTCTCTTTAATGATTATATTTTTGATTGTTTGGAGTTTTATTTTTCTTTGTACCTCACTGTGATGCTTACAGGCCTTTATGAAGGTGGTGTCTGGAAAATCCGGGTTGAGCTTCCTGATGCTTATCCATACAAGTCTCCTTCTATTGGGTTTGTGAACAAGATATTCCATCCAAATGTCGATGAACTGTAAGCAATTTTTACTTTCAAAATTCTTTAAGTTATGCCTGGTCAAAAATCTTATGCTAGGAAGTTCTAATCACCATGAAAAAAGCTGCAATTATTTATTGCTCATATAAAAACAGGTATCTAGTCTTGGAAGCTGAAATTTTTATGTCTTTCTATGTAATTTTTAGTTAGCAATGACAATACAACCAGTTTGTTTGAAATAGTTCGCACTCTACAATCTTTTCAATTTTGCTATGATTCAATGGACCTTTATACTTTGTCCTTTGTTTACAGATCTGGTTCTGTATGCTTGGATGTTATCAATCAGTCATGGAGTCCAATGTTTGGTAATTGCAAATTGTAACGTGCTTACTTTTATGGTGGATTTTAACTAGAATGTCTCAGATATATGGTTATTTTTTATGATTGCAGACCTTTTGAATGTTTTTGAAGTTTTCCTGCCACAACTGTTGCTTTATCCTAATCCTTCAGATCCACTCAATGGTGATGCAGCTTCCTTGATGATTAGGGACCGAGAAAAGTATGATCAAAAAGTCAAAGGTGAAAATTTATGCAGAACCATTTTGTCCTCATTTTATTTCTATCATTTGACTTGTAGGAACTGAGCAATTAAATCTTCTGTTCTTCCATGACTCTTTAAGTACAAAATTTCAGTAATGAGAACTTGTAGAATGTGGATGTTTGAGCCTGGGTGTGAACATGCGGAAGTCCTAAAACAAATTGACAGTTTTTTAAGCTTGCAATAAACTCTTTTCTATTTAGGAAGAAATGTCAATACCAAGAATAATGAAGTGCATGGTGATTGTGTGTCTTAGAAACGATAGATATAATTTTTTTTCTTTTTTCTTTTTTTGTGCAAACAGAGTATTGCGAACGATATGCCAGAAAGGAAAACATTATGAACTCTGCAGCTGAAGAGCAGAGTGGTGAAGAGGATGTCAGTGATGATGAAAGTGGATCAAGCGACAATGATATTGCTGGACATGTAGACCCATAGAGGATCATGACGTGGGGGCTTTAGAATGTTTCAATTTTAGTTAAAACGCCTTACACGGGACTATGAACCCTACATTAGATTTTCACATTTTCAAATCATATTCTAGTTTTGCTGTTACCTTTCATTTGTTTGTAAAATTATAGACGTCGTAGTCAATTTTTTTTTCCCATCAATAGGAAAACAGTGGGAAATATTAAAAGTGAATTATTGATTTGATTGTATGAAAACTCTTTTGAAAATGACAGAAAGAATTGGGTAAGTTAATCATGCATTTCTGCTATATTATCCCCCCCAGTTTGTCTTATTATCTATTAAGATTCAATGACCAGCTTATGCATATGCCTTATCCCCTTTTTGCATGTCTAAATCTGCAATTTGATGCAGGATTACATATATATATGCTATGGATTTTTTGTGTTGTTATGAGGTTGTTGAATGGTTCTACTTCTACTAAAACATCTTCTATGGAAACGGTCAAGATGTTAATTTTATTGGTAAAAGAATGTAAAATATGATACTTCCAATACAAAGAATTGAAAAGATTCTATGTTTAAGTTAGCTGTCAATGAAGAAGGCCACTGTATCATACAGAATAATGCAATGGATTGGTTTATCATTAGTAAAATCATCAAATTTTGTTGTTTAGTAAGAAGCTAAATTGAAAATGAGATACCAGTTCCATATCATGACTTATTCAAAGCTGCCGGCCTCTAATTTGAACATGTTTTGAGCCTTTTGGCAGATTTCTACCAGCCCTTATTGCTGTAACAGGTATGATATAGTTATTGCTCTTTGTAAATTCAGCCAATTGGCATTCAAAAAATGGTTTAAGCAAATAACATTGTCTTTGTTATTTTCTCCTTGTTTTACAACTCCAAACCAGCCCATACAGAAGGAAATCAACCGTATATAACTTTATGTTCACACAAAATTAAATAGTTTGCCAAAAAAATGAGTCGAATTTCCATCTGGGTTCTTCCCATTTTGATCTTTCTTATCTTTCCAGTGTCAAATTCAGAAGATGAAAATGTGAGGAATTCATTAGTACAGTTTATGCAGAAAATTTCAGGAGGAGAAATGCAGAATGACCTCGGTTGGAACAACATAACAGATCCTTGCATTGACACATGGGTGGGTATCGGCTGTGATTCAAAGAATCAAACTGTTAGAAAAATAGTTCTTGATGAGTTAAATTTCACTGGAAGTTTTGATGCCAGTTCTGTATGCACAGCCCAGGCTCTAATTGTATTGAGCCTGAATAGGAACAGCATCACAGGCTTGATAACTGAAGAGATAGGAAACTGCAAATCTCTAACTCACTTGTATCTAAGTGGGAACAAATTATCTGGTGATATTCCTAATCCTCTTTCCGAGCTGAGTAACCTGAAAAGGCTTGACATTTCGAACAATAGCTTCTCTGGTCAGGTTTCTAGTCTGTCTAGGATTTCAGGTCTGAAGTCCTTTCTTGTTCAGAACAATCAGCTTAGTGGGGCTATACCAAATTTTGATTTCTCCAATCTTGAGTTTTTCAATGTTTCCAACAACAATTTCCGTGGCCCGATTCCTGATGTCAAAGGCAAGTTCAAAAATGACAGCTTTTTAGGTAATCCTGAATTATGTGGAAAGCCACTATCTAATGCTTGTCCACCACCAGTTCCTCCTCCATCAGAAATGGAACCAAAACGTTCATCAAAAAATGGAGTTCTTATCTATTCGGGATATATAATTCTTGCCTTGGTTTTGTTTTTATTATATGCTCTTAAACTACTTAGTAAACACAAGCCTAAAGCAGAAAAGATTGATTCGAAGGAGGTAGGAGTGGATACTAGCAGCAAACCGAGTGGTGCTTCAGGTGAATCCAAACCCGCTGGGAATCAATCATCACAGAACAGATCAGAATACTCAATTACATCAGCTGAAAGTGGAGGAACTTCATCTTCACTTGTACTTCTTACAAGTCCTTTCATGAAGGAGTTGAGATTTGAAGATTTGCTTCGAGCTCCAGCTGAATTGCTTGGCAAAGGAAAGCATGGAAGCCTATATAAGGTCTTACTCAATGATGGGATGATGTTGACTGTGAAAAGGATTAAAGACTGGGGCGTTTCTAGTGAAGACTTCAAGAAGAGAATGGAGAGGATACACCAAGTGAAGCATCCAACAGTATTGCCTCCAGTCGCATTTTACTGCTCCAAGCAAGAGAAGCTTTTGGTGTATGAATATCAGCCTAATGGCAGTCTCTTTAAGCTTCTCCATGGTATGTGTCTGAGAATAAACACCATTTCTTAGAATAAACATTTTGGGATTCCCGTGTAACTGATTTGAGATTTTGATGATCACCTTAAAAACAAACTTTAATGACTTTTAATTAATATTCTCAACAAAATGATTTTTCCTTAATAAAAATAGAGGTTTAAACAACAGTGTCCAACAGGCCCTTAAAACGTAAGTATATCATGATTTGGTTAAGAAAAGTTGACCTCTTATAATTTCAGGATCCCAAAATGGACAAGTATTTGACTGGGGAAGCAGACTGAGTGTTGCAGCTATTATTGCTGAGACATTAGCAATTCTGCATCAGGAACTCCGCGAAGATGGAATTGCACATGGGAACTTAAAGTCCACAAACATTCTGTTTAACAATAACATGGAGCCTTGCATTAGTGAATATGGTCTAATGGAAGTTGAAAACCAAGATCAACCATTCATTTCTCAAACTACCAAACACAATACTTTAAGCAGAGACCAGATATATAGTACTTTCAAGGTTGATGTCTATGCCTTTGGTGTCATTCTTCTTGAGCTTTTGACAGGAAAGCTAGTCCAAAATAATGGGTTTGACTTGGCTAGATGGGTGCACTCAGTGGTTAGAGAGGAATGGACAGCAGAAGTTTTTGACAAGGCCTTGATATCAGAAGGTGCAAGCGAAGAAAGGATGGTAAACCTGTTACAGGTTGCATTGAAGTGCATAAATCCTTCTCCGAATGAAAGACCAGTTGCTGCTCAAATTGCTGTTATGATAAATGCAATAAAGAATGAAGAAGAGAGATCTATAATCTCAGAACCATGATTGAACATGCCTTAAAGAATACATTTGTTATCAGGGAAAATGTTTATATATCTGCACCAAAAATTTTAGTTTAAAATGCATTGGATGATATATTCTTTCTTTCAAGTGATTTTATTATTGTATTTTTTTCAAGATACCCCACAATTTTATCTGAATTGCAATGCCTTTCTTTTCCTAATCACTCCATTAATCTTTTATATTCTTTGTACACATACTTCTACCGGATTTGAACTATACTATGCTTTTACACTAGATGTCCTAAACCCTAACGAAAACATTAACGGTAAAAGAAATAAAAAGTCAAGCTTCATTATTGTCTGAAATAACAACTGGCTGCATGTTACCTAAGTGAACATAGATGCAGCTAAATGCAATAGGGGACAAAATCTTTGCATCTCTCCACTTGACATGTAAGACCAAGGTACTATTGCGCTGTTCTGAAATGGGTCTGCCCATTTGCTCGTGAATGACCAGAATAAAGAGAAACCCTAAAGACAAAAAATTAAACTATAAAACTCCAACCTTGCAACCCGCATAGAAGCCAAGATTGATTTATTTATTTTTTACCGTGTCAAGTAGTTATAAGAACCTTCAAAATGTGTATAATCAAACAAAACTTCCAGATTGCTTGGTTGGTTGGATATCAAACAATCATCACATAAAATTGGCAAGCCATAGCAAAATATGGTTGGTCATTATCACCTGCTCGAGTGGGCACAATCACTAGGGTTATTACGTACTGCCATGCGTCCAAGGGAAAAGTGCATGTGACCTACCATTAAGTTTTGTCCACATTTTTAGACTTCTTTCTAGTACCATCATATCTAGTTAATTACACAATTGATTAGAAACCCTAATTATAATTGCCCAACTTGGGTTAGTCGCATTAATAGAAAATTCTCTAGTGGAAGTAGGCATAATTAGATGACTTCCTTGTTTATGTGGGATTTGTGATGAACAAGATTTTAAAAAAAAAAAAAAAAAAAAAAAAAAAAAAAAAAAAAGGCATAAATTAGATGACTTCCTTGTTTATGGGATTTGTTGGATGAACAAGATTTTAAAAAAAAAAAAAAAAAAAAAAAAAAAAGAAACAACAAATAAGATACCTAAAAAAAAAAAAAAAAAAAAAAAAGAAACAAATAAAGATACCTTTTTTATTCTCGCCCATCAAGATTTTCTTTTTTGTCACAGCTCAGAAATAGTAGTCAATGTTATGTTACCAAGATTGATGGAAAATTTTCCGGTGATTAGCAGGCAATGATAACCCAAAACCATCATTGAAGGGTAATTATTTGGGCTAATCTTGATGAGAAAAGAAGCCACAAATTTTACTGTGGATAATCAAATTGTGATGGTGGTGGACCTATCAATCATTTTCCATTCCCTTCTCGTGGCACCCTCTTCTTTGTTCAACTCTTTAATTATATGCATTTGAACCATTAATGAGGGGGGACAAGAGTAGATCTCAAGAAGAGTCTCGCTGTTCTTAAAAGGATGACAAATGTCTTACGCCACTCTCTGAAAGTACTAGTTTCAACTATAACGTTTTAAGTAGGTTTAATATTTAATATTTATTAATATAATATTTAAATTAACTTTTAGATATTAATATAATATTTTAAAAAAATTTAATTCATAATTTTTAAATATTTTATAAAAAGTTATTAAAATAGTTAATTTTATTGAACATACCTTTAATTTTCTTTTTATCCATGTAACAGTTAAAAAAAAAATACCTCGAGACCTCTTTTTTATTATTATTAAATTGATATTGCCTACCATTTTTTATATATTGCACCAAGTTCGCTAATTTAACTAAAAATATATTTGGTAAATTATACCGTGTTTACCTCCTTAATTTGATTGAAAGTGAAGTATCAAGTATCAACGTTGCATGACTCCCTGAAGGACTTCTGTGGCAGAGGAAAGTTTAGAAACAAGGACCCATCATCACAAATACAGATTTTTTTTTTTTGGATTCTTTAGTAGTGTCATGTGTGCACTCTCCAGTCTCCATATAAGGAAAAGAAGTAGGTTCTCTGACTTTTAACCTCCTTAAAAATCTCCTAAAACTCATTTTCCTCTTCAATCTTACCACACAAAAAAAGCTTTCAGCTTTCAAGTAAAAACTGAAAACAACAAGACTCAAAAAGAGTGTTTTCTTTACCTCCCAACCCTCATCCTAGAACCAAGAATTTCCTCACTGCACACTCAATTCTTTAGTGAGAATATATTCTTAGCTTGCTAATCCCTTTTCTCTCTTCTATATCCTCAATTCAAGCAAGAATGTCTTTTTGAGTGCATGCACTTTTTACTTATTATAAGAGTCTGAACTTGCGAAACATATGTAGAAGATTGGATTTTTAACGTATACCCATCTGCTATAATGGGTAGAAATCTATATGAAATCAAACAAAAAGATGGTTTTTCTGTAAACTCATCTCCTCTATCACCTCCTTCTTCAGCATTATCATCATCTGTTAACAAAATTAGCCCTGTAATTCTTTTAGTTATAATAGCTCTTGCTGTTATTTTCTTTATTTCTGGTATTCTCCATTTACTTTTTAGATTTTTCATGAAAAGATCTCATTTTTCACCAATTTATCATTCCAATAGATACCCAGAAACCTCAACTTCTCATTCTCTACAAAGACAGCTTCAACAGCTTTTTCGCCAACATGATTCAGGTCTAGACCAAGCTTTTATCGATGCATTACCTTTATTTTACTACAGAGATATTTCGGGCTTAAAGGAACCATTTGATTGTGCAGTTTGTTTATGTGAATTTTCAGACAAAGACAAGCTTAGGTTACTTCCTAAGTGTAGTCATGCTTTTCACATTGACTGTATAGACACTTGGTTACTTTCAAACTCCACTTGCCCCATTTGTAGAGGTACCCTTTCGAGCTCTACTCTTATTCAAATGGAAAATCCATTCAATTTTGAATCTTTAAGAGAAGTGCCGAATGGCTTTTCTGGTGATAGAGAAAATGTGTCTTCAAAATTTCCAAAGCCAGGTAATTTAGAGGAAACTACAGGTGAAAAGAGAGTATTTTCAGTCAGACTAGGAAAATTTAGAAGCTTTAATGAAGGAGAAACTAGTGGAGAGAAAGGGCAAGGAGAGACTAGCAGAAGCAATTTAGATGCTAGAAGATGTTACTCCATGGGCACTGTTCAATATGTGGAGGGTGACGCAAATTTGCAAGTGGCTTTATCTCATGATACCGTTATTAATGGCAGAAGAGAAAATGGGGATTCTTTAGTTGATGGAGAAATTGAAGGCAAGAAAATAAGAACCAGAACAAGAGGAGATAGTTTTTCTGTTTCAAAGATCTGGCTTTGGTCTAACAATAACAGATTTGCAACTTCTTCTTGTTCTTCAAGTACACATACGGATATGTCTTCTCTTAATATAAGCTGATTAGTCTGGCAACTTTATGATATAATATTTTGGGGACTCTTGATTGATTTATTAACCATCTACTGGTAGAGACCGAGTACAAACCTTATTATGTTCTTCATTTTTGGGTTATAATTCATAACAGTCCACATTTTCATAATCTCAAACTAAGCTTGGAATTTTACGATTCCTAAAATAAATGTTTTGTTGCTTGTTACTTGTCAATGTTGATTCTACTAATTTGAGTTATGCTTTACAATCTTGTGTTTAGGTCCCATTATGCAACTAATTTTACAAAACAATTGTTGAGTTGAATCAACATCATCGTTAATATTATCTTGTCAAGATGGCCGAGTTGGTCTAAGGCGCTAGTTTCAGGTACTGGTCCGAAAGGGCATGGGTTCGAATCCCATTCTTGACACGAAATTAAAATTTTTTTTTATAAATATGTTTAAATAAAATTCTTGAATGAAAATTGTCTTTATTTTCTAAAATACCATTAAAGAACAAATAACGAACACCGATTATATTTATTATATATAATATAATAATTTATTTTTTTACTAAAATATAAATAATAAATTTTCAGTTACTGGTCCGAAAAAGGGCATGGGTTCGAATCCCATTCTTGAACACGAAAATTAAAAATTTTTTATAAATATGTTTTTTAAATAAAATTCTTGAATGAAATGTTCTTTATTTTCTAAAATACCATTAAAGAACAAATAACGAACACCGATTAGTATTTATTATATATAATATAATAATTATTTTTTTACTAAATATAAAGGTAATAAATTTCATATAAATAAAATTACCACTCACAGTCCACCTACCTTAATTAATTTAATTAATTATGATAAATATATAAAATAATTATTTATTATATATAATATAATAATTTATTTTTTTACTAAAATATAAATAATAAATTTCATATAAATAAATACACTCACAGTCCACCTACCTTAATTAATTAATTAATTATATAAATATATAAAATAATTAATAACATTCATAGTGATAATTATCTTTAATTAGTGTAAAATGCCTTCAAAAAAAAAGTGTAAAATGTCTACTTTCAAAATAAAGAAGGAAATAATTGAGTCTACAGTGGTGGTAGTTTTGTCAAATAAATTTCAATAATTTATTTTTGTGGAATTTATTTATAAATTCCTTTAATTTTAGTAGAATTTGAATTACGCATACTCAATTCTATAGAATTTAATTTATAAAATTTAAATCTGTATTTTTTTTTATTCCAAACAAAAACTTTGGATTTCCAAATGAATTATTAACGTTGTAATTGACTTCTTTAATATAAATTTAAAATTTATAACAAAAGAATTTAGAAAAATTTACCTATTTAAAAATATAATTATTTTTTTATTCACAGATGGAATGGAAAAACATTATGGTTTATGTTGAATAATATTTACTAAATTGATAATAATTATTATAGCAGAAAATGTCGAATTTTAACATAATTAATTAAATTCTGTCATTTATAATTTTTCTTTAGAAAAAATAAAGGCTAATTGCAAACGTGGATCATGGACTCATGGTATCTGTTGAGCCTGATCACGGCCCAGATATTGTGGTTCGGTTAACTAATCAAACCCGACCCATTTAAAAGGGCAAATTCAATTTCTCTTTAACTACCTAAGCTAACGCTTTCATGTCTCAACCAACTACTTAGCTGAACTGCCCTTCTCACTTTCCCTCCGCCATTCTTTCTGTCTCCCCTTGCTACAATGGGGACGAGATTATGGGATTACTGGGTAGAAGAAGCACTTGTTAAGCTTGAATCTTTAAAAGTCCTGCGATCTTTAAGGCCTATTTACCTCTCCAAAGAACCTCAACCCCGAAATGAAAACTCACTTGAACTAGAAGGCGATGATTACGAGGCGTTCGACGAAATGCAGCCATGGGATCGCTTCTCAGTCGAAGTCTCCATTTCAGACTCTACATTTCAAGAATGGCTCCTTGAAATTCCCAGTTCCGGTACGCTTATCAAGAGTTTCACTTGTTTGATTTCCCTTTTTGTTTCTATTTTTTCTGGGGAATGCTTTGATTACAGCCTTTTGAAAAAAAAAAATTTTATTTTTAATTTAATTTCCTCATGAGTTTTATAGGAGACGAGATTGCATGTACAGACAGAATAACTAACCATAATGTTGAGGGGAGGTACAAGAAATTACTTTTATTCTCTGGCAATGATTACTTGGGCTTGAGTTCACATCCCACAATTGGAAAGGCTGCTGCAAAGGTTTGTTCATATTACCTCTGTTTATCATTCATATTTTCTGCTTGCCTCATACAATAATTTTTTTTTTTTTTAAACTTTATGTTGTGCTAAATCAGGCAGCCCTGGAACATGGAATGGGACCAAGAGGTTCTGCTTTAATCTGTGGATACACCAATTACCATAGGTTATTAGAGTCTTGCTTGGCAAACTTGAAAAAGAAAGAGGTATATGCTTTGGTGGTTTGGAATGCCTTCAATTTTTGTAGTTGGTTCAGCATTTACCATTTTCTTATATAACATTTTTTATTGGAGCAATAGAGCATGCACATGAATACCTGCAAAATTCTTGTGAGATTAACTTATTGGAACTATATTTTTAGGTGACAAGGGTCCTGTTTTTTCTGTATGTTATGCACGTGTCTCGAACTTACCATGTTTATCTAATTTAAGTAGAGAAGAAAACAAGGATTTATTATCCAACTAATTTATTTGGGCAATGCTCGTATCCAATCTGATACAAGTAATTTTGATTGTCCAGATCATGGATACCAAAATGTAAATTGGTTAGTTAGAATCCATGCAGGTTAGTTATGTGACTCCTAGGAGGCTTAGTTCTGTATCATACTTTTTTGACCATTCAGTATATTTCAACTGCAAACTAATGCGCTTGTTCTTAATTTATGCGCTAGGATTGTCTTCTTTGTCCTACAGGGTTTGCTGCTAATATGGCAGTGATGGTAGCTCTTGGAAACATCAGCTCTCTTTTGGCTTCAGCTGAAGAACCTCTGAAGAAGGAAAAGATTGCCATATTTTCTGATGCACTGAACCATGCTTCAATAATTGATGGTATTCGTCTTGCTGAACGGCAACAGAATGTAGAGGTGCATGTGTATAGACATTGTGACATGTCCCACCTTAGTTCATTATTGTACGTCCTCACCTTTTCTCTTAAGCACTTTTAAACACCTTTTTATGTGGCATTTTCAATTTATCATTGTTCATTCAAGGTATGTTATATTTTGACAGATCAAATTGTGCATTGAAGAAGAAAGTTGTTGTGACTGACAGGTTGGTCAATTATCCTAATTGGTTCAATTGTATATCTTCTTTTTATCTTTTTCCTGCTGGTCACTGATCAGAGAAAATACTGTTATTATAACATTTTTCCACATAGGGATTTCACCTATTTAGTTTTAGTCTACTGTGCATAGCTTACAAAATTGTGGATAAACCCTAAAACTTGTTTAGCATATATGTCTATGTAATGGATTCACTGAAAGGGTTCCATTTTGCAGCTTGTTTAGCATGGACGGAGACTTTGCGCCCATGGTTGAGCTTGCAAATCTTCGCAAGAGGCATGGCTTTTTGTTAGTCATTGATGATGTAAGTTATCGTGAAGCTTGAGGTATTTCTAAAAAGCTTTTTAAGCTTCTTGGACAAATGAAGTTTACTTGAGGACTAACGTTAATTCTGAGATTTAACTTTAATTGAACAATTTTAGATATTAAAAATGAAAAAATTGTGGCAGAGGAAAAAGGTGTTGTTATAGTCCAACTCACTATATATTGGCATTTCTTTGTTCACATATTTTGATGAAACTGTGTGCAACCAATAATAACAGAAAACTTGCTGAGAGGTCTTTTCAGGCCCATGGAACATTTATTTGTGGAAAAAATGGTGGTGGAGTGGCTGAGGAGTTCAATTGTGAAAGAGATGTTGACATATGTGTTGGAACTCTGAGTAAGGCTGCTGGTTGCCATGGTGGATTTATAGCATGCAGGTATACTGTTTATGTGCTTTGCCCTAAGAAAAGAAACTTTTCATAGCATCTGGCCCATTGTTGTTAATTTCCTGTTTGAAACTTTCAAATGAGTTTATTTTGTCCCACTAATTCTCGTTCAGATATTTTAATTACCTTTGTTAATCAATCTTTTTGTGCCAATTCAATATGATTAGCAAGAAGTTGAAGAAACTCATACAATCAAGGGGTCGCTCTTTTATATTTTCAACTGCTTCCCCAGTCCCTGTTGCTGCTGCTGCCCATGGTAAATTGTACTGCTTTTGCTTATCTTTTTACCCCCTCAAGTATTGTTAAAAAGTTATTATCTGAATCCTCTATAGTGCTATACTTTTATTTAATCTGTGATCTTTTAGCTGTTTTCTTTTATTTTAATCTGATACTTTCACTGATTGGTTGTGGTACTTACCATTTAGTAACATTAACATGTTCATTGCCCACAATAACATCAACATGTTCAAATCATCAAATGCAAATGCGTGGGAACGTGCAATCTTCTTTTTCTATATTCAGAAGCCAACATATAATAAAATTAGGCTATTTTGTTATATTGCAGTACAAGGAGATGGTTACATTATTATTTTATTGCTGTATTTACCTTCTCAGTGAAATATTTTATATGTTTGTTAACTACTTGAATATAAACTGGCAGCTGCTGTTATTGTGGCCAAAAAGGAAGTGTGGCGTAGAAAGGCAATTTGGAAAAGGGTGCGAGAGTTTCAGGCATTAACTGGAATCCCCATCACGAGTCCCATAATTTCTCTAGTTGTAGGGAGTGAAGAAAAAGCCCTGCGAGCCAGCCGGTATTCTCTCTCTCTCTCTCTCTCTCTCTCTCTCTGTGGGGGTGTGTGTGTGTGTTTTTACACGTCTGTGCTGGTAAATGGTATCATTGTTGCAACTCCTCTTGACTCTGGTAATCATCGTGAATCAGGCATTTGTTGAAATCTGGTTTCCATGTGACTGCAATCAGGCCCCCAACAGTGCCTCCCAATTCTTGCAGGTTTTGTTGCATATTCTTTATTATCCTCTAATATGTTCCAATCTTTTCATTTCATGCTGATATGCTCTCAGTTTTCAGCGGCAGGGAATTGCAATTTTATGTGACTTTGATCATTAGGAACTATATGCCTTACCAAGTAAAAATGTTTAATTGCAATGACTTGAATAATTGCAGATGTCTAAAAAATGTGTCAAAGATGTGTTTCTACATCTGGGAGTTTTTTATATCCACTCTTTGATCTAATTTGATTGAGTGATTAAGGTCTGTTGAAGTTCAAATATAGTTGGATTTAGGTTAAAAATATTGGCAATCTTTTGTTCAACTTTTCCAATTTGATGCTAGCTTTTGGTCAAACATTGTATTACTGTCCTAGATCCGTGTGATCATAATATTACTTTCATCTGCATAACTCTTTTTCTATCATTTTCTTGTCTTTTATAAATATCAGGCTACGAGTAACTTTGAGCGCAACTCACACGACTGACGATGTGAAGGAACTAATAGCTGCATTATCCTGTTGCATCAACTTTCAAGATGTTGGCAGCCATTGCTCAAATGGATATGCTAGACTTTAGAAATTATCTTGGTTTGTGATATTTTTTATTACCATTTATCAAGAATTGTAGAATAAGGAGTGTTATAGCAAGGCAAAAATGCGGTAGTAGGCTAGCTAGCACATACATTTTGTGTGCTGCAGAAATTAGGTCTTGGTAAGATGATTTAGTTTCTTTCTATTTCAGCTGCTTATTATTTTCTATGTATTTATTTCGCAAGTTTAGTATCAGTATTGAGTTGATATGGCAGAGCATGTGAATATAAAATTATTCCTACACAGTAATTGAAACATTGAAGATGTAGAGGCCTAAAATTATTCCTGTACAGTGGGGTTGTTTTCGGAAATTATTTACCTATTCCCGGCGTATGAGATTATTCATGTTATAGGTAATTACCATTATTTTTATTTTATTTTTTATTTTTTCTCTGTTAATCGTCAAAAATACCATTGTTTCTTTTGTTTATTACTATATGGTTACCATTGAGTTAATTGTGGTTAACTTGGTGTATGAGCAGTTCAATACATTCATGCCATAAGTCTAATGTTTGATTTACTATTCAATTTTATAAAGTTGAACTCAGAATTAAAATTTTCAATTACTTTCTCATTTCAAACATAAAAATTTAAATTTCTAAACGAATTTTATAAAATTTTGTTAGATTCATTTATTTAAAGGAGGAGATAAGTTTTATAATATTACACAGAGGAGAAAATAAGTGGAACAAACGCCGACGAAGAATGCTGTAATGTTAATGTAGATTGGTTTGGTATGCGGTCGTTCCCCAACCACCAACCGGGCGATACGTAGAAGCGATCGTTTCAAGTAAAGACTAACGACGCCAAAAAAAAAAAAAAAAAAAAAAAAAAAAAATTCCCCAACCACCCAAAACCGGGGCGATTACGTAGAAGCGATCGTTTCAAGTAAGACTAAACGACGCCAAAAAAAAAAAAAAAAAAAAAAAAAAAAAAAAAAAAAAAAAAAAAAAAAAAAAAAAAATAATAATAATAATAAAAGGTGGGTCCACCGTCAACATATTCTCTCCGGAGTGTATACGTTTTCAATCACCCTCGTTCCTCACTGTTGCAAAACACTCTCTTCTCTCCGTTGGTCTGCAGAAATAGAATGGGGGCGGAGGTGGTGGTGGTGGAGAGACCCACTGCACGTCTCACAAGCATCCCACAAACAGTAATAGCCGAAGACCTGTTACAGTACCTCGAGTCTCAACTCGGTCAAGACTCGGTCTTTGCAATTGAAATTTGTACAGAGCGCAAAAACTGGAAATCCCGGGGTTTTGGCCGTGTCCAATTCTCTACTCTCGAATTTAGACATAAAGCCCAATCATTGTGTCTACAAAACAAGCTTGTCTTTAAATCTCACTACCTCTTGGTCTCTGATACTTATGATGACATCATTCCTAGGCCTATCAAGCCCCAACATAGACAAGAGAATGGGGTTTTGTATGCGGGTTTTATGAAACAAGAGCGTTGCTTGTGTGTGCTGGAGAGCTGGGAAGATGTTAGAGGGTGGTTAATGCCTGAGAGAAGGAGAGTGGAGTTTTGGCTTTGGGTTGATAAGGATTGTTATAAGGTGGAGATTAGGTTTGAGGATGTTAAGGATGCTGTTGGGTTCTGTTTGGGAGGTGACAAAGTTAATGCAGTTCTTCTTAAGGTATCGGTTCTTTTGTTTCGTATTATTTTGATTTGTTGATTTCACTTTTCTATGATCAGACGACTTTTTTCCCTGATGATGTAGATGAATCTAGTTATTTATGGGATGATGATTTCTTTTTGTGTGATTGATGCTAGAGTCATTTCATTTTGTATGTTAGGTTATATTTATTGAAACGAATTGTTGAAATTTTCATCTGCATGGAGTGCGTATGAAAATTGTTGAATGATAGTTATCTGAGTGCTGGATTTGTTGCTATGTAATAAGGGACTCGATAATGCATTTTGCCAGCACTAATTTAGGGTTGCGAAAGAGAGGGGAAGCTGAAGATTGGAGTTCCTCAAAAAATTGTTACTCCATGACCTTCTCTTCACATTTGGTGTTACTGGGATTAAACTTATTAGTTATGTAGAACTTTCTGTTTCTTTTGATTTTTCTTTCTTTTTTTTTTTTTTTTTTTGCGGGTGGTTCTGCTTTCAGGTTGAGTCTTTATACAGCTATTATGGCTACTTAATTTATAGTTCTCTTGATAATTTTTTTACCTTTAGCTTTTGCATTCTTTCAGCTTAGGTATGGACCAAGAATTTATAACAAGAATTTCTGACCTGATGTAGCTTTTTCTTTGGGTGGGGGGCGGGTTGGTTTCTGCTTTCAGGTTGAGTCTTTATACAGCTATTTTGGCTACTTAATTTATGAGTTCTCTTGATAATTTTTTTACCTTAGCTTTTCATTCTTTCAGCTTAGGTATGGACCAAGAATTTATAAAAGAATTTCTGGACCTGATGTAGCTTCAAAATTTAGTGCTGATAGGTACCATATATGCAAAGAAGATTTTGACTTTATATGGGTTCGTACTGCAGACTTTTCATCTGTGAAATCAATTGGAAAATCAACTTCATTTTGTTGGGAAGTTGAAGAAGGACTAGATGCGTCAGACATTTTTACAAGTTTCCCCTATTATGTTGAGGATAGAAGGGATATAGTTTTAGAAGATGGGGAGAAATTCCACCCTATAACATCAGAAATGGTTCCACTTGCTGGATATGAATCTGATTCTAAGTTAGCTTATGAGATCTTTTTCCAGTTGAATTCTCTCGTCCATACACACAAAATTAGTCTTGCTGCAGTGGATACTGATCTGTTCAAAATTCTTGGAAGTTTGACTATAGATACTGCCATGGCAATCCTTCAGAAGTTGCATAAGTTGACATTCACTTGCTATGATCCTGTGTCTTTTGTTAAGAAACAATTACATGCTCCAAGAAGAAACCTCAAAAAGCCTTCATCATCACAAAAAAGCTCAACAGATCATAACATAATGATCTGTCACAGGGCCTTAATTACACCATCAAAGATTTACTGCTTGGGTCCTGAGCTTGAATCCTCTAACTATGTTGTTAAAAACTTTGCATCATATGCTTCGGACTTTATGAGAGTCACTTTTGTTGAAGAAGATTGGAGTAAGCTTCCTGTAAATGCCATTTCCACAAGTATCCAGCACGGCATTTTTGCTAAACCTTTCAGAACTAAAATATATGAAAGAATATTGTCTGTTCTTCGAGATGGGATTGTGATTGGAGCTAAAAGGTTTGAATTTCTGGCTTTCTCAGCTAGTCAGCTGCGATCAAATTCTGTTTGGATGTTTGCTTCTAATGACAATGTGAAGGCAGAAGATATTAGACAATGGATGGGTTGCTTTAATAAGATTCGCAGTATTTCCAAATGTGCAGCAAGGATGGGTCAATTGTTCAGTGCTTCTAAGCAAACTTTTGTTGTTCCGGCAGAAGATGTGGAGATTATTCCTGACATTGAAGTTACATCTGATGGCATTGGCTACTGCTTCTCTGATGGTATTGGCAAAATTTCCCTTTCTTTTGCTCAGCAGGTTGCTCAAAAATGTGGATTGAATCATACTCCATCAGCATTTCAAATTCGATATGGTGGCTTTAAAGGCGTAATAGCTGTTGATCGTAATTCCTTGAGGAAATTATCTTTGCGTAGCAGTATGCTTAAATTTGAATCAGAAAACAGGATGCTTAATGTCACTAAATGGAGTGACTCCATGCCTTGCTACTTGAACCGAGAGATAGTTACACTATTGTCTACATTGGGTGTGAAGGATGAGATATTTCAGGGTTTGCAACAGCAACAGTTGCATCTTCTGGGCAGAATGCTGAATGATAGAGAGGCAGCTTTGGATGTCTTAGAGAATTTGGCTTGGGTTGATTCCAGGAACATTATGGTAAAGATGTTGCTTCAAGGTTACAAGCCCAATGTGGAGCCTTACCTGTCAATGATGCTTCAAGCTTATCATGAAAACTTGTTAGTGGAATTAAGAAGTAGGTGTCGAGTATTTGTTCCAAAAGGTCGTATTCTTATTGGTTGCTTGGATGAAGAAGGGATTCTAGATTATGGCCAGATTTACGTCCGCGTAACCTTGAGCAAATCAGAGCTACAGAATGCAGATCAGAGCTTTTTCCGGAAGGTAGATGAAACTACATCTATTGTAACAGGGAAGGTAGTTGTTACCAAAAATCCTTGTCTTCACCCTGGAGATGTCAGAGTGCTTGAGGCTGTCTATGAAGTGGGCCTGGAAGAGAAGGGTTTGGTTGATTGCATTCTTTTTCCTCAGAAAGGTGAAAGGTATAATTATCTAACCTTTTTTTGGACTTGGTTAATTTCTTCTTCCAGCTCGTTATGTTTAAAGGTAAAGTATGCTACCTCTTTTTTTTTTTTTTTAGGTGATCATGAAAGCTAGCTTTATGCTACCTCTTGATGATGTAAATTATGCTACCTTTGTTAATATATCAAATGATTCTAAAATTCCCCTTCAGAACATTTTTACAGAATTATTTCAAAATTTTTTCCTACTTATACTTGCTTTGCATTAATATTAATTTGATCAAAGAGGAAATTTGAAATAAATGATTCATATAGCTGATCACAATTAGTTTGGGAATAAAGCTTGATTGTTGTTGTTCATAAAAGCTAGCTTATCTAGATGGAGAACAAGGATTCACGTAGCCAATATCTTATCTAGATTTTTAGTGAGGCTGATTGAATTTCCTTTTTTGGGAACATCTTGGGTATACTACTACAAAATTAAGCCCAAATCACTGAACTTTTGGATGTTACTTCATGGTTCTTTTTCTGTGTTGTTGATATATCCTGATGTGATGTCATTGGCTAATGGCCTTTTTAAAATAACAAATCTCAATTCTGCTTTTGTCATTAGAAAGGCAAAAGGTAAATTCTCATTTTACCATGTTTTATCACATCTCTATATTGAATATTTCATTTCTGTGCAATGATATACTTCACCGTTGCTGCATGGGATGAAAACAATAAATAGTAGGGAGAAATATTGGTATATGGATTGTCAAAGTGGCTAAGAAGAAATATTATTCACAGGCCTCATCCAAATGAATGCTCTGGTGGTGATCTTGATGGGGACTTATTTTTCATAAGCTGGGATGAAGATCTTATACCGAGTCAAACTGAGAGCCCAATGGATTATCTAGGGCGGAGACCTCGTATAATGGATCACGATGTCAAATTAGAGGTAATTTAAGCTGACAACTTTGAATTGAAATTGAGTTTCGCTTCGTTATATGTAATTCTTGTTTCTATCTTTTATCCTCTCTTCACTGAATTGGCAGGAAATTCACAAATTTTTTGTTGATTACATGATCAATGATACTTTGGGTGCCATCTCCACTGCACATTTAGTCCATGCCGATCGCGAACCAGATAAAGCCCGAAGTAGAAAATGTCTAAAGTTGGCTGAACTCCACTCGATGGCAGTTGACTTTGCAAAGACAGGTGCGCCAGCTGAGATGCCTAGGGCTTTGAAACCAAAAGAATTTCCAGATTTCATGGAGAGATTTGACAAATCAACGTACATCTCTGATGCGGTATTGGGAAAACTCTACCGCGGAACCCTTGATTCAACTTTACAGGGAAGGACAAAGTTTATTTGGTCGGAGAAGATTGCTGAAGCAACCTATGACTGCAATCTTGAAGTGGAGGGCTTCATGGAGTTCATTGACATCGCCGCGAATCACAAATACATGTATATGGAGAAACTGAGTGGCTTGATGAATTATTACGAGGCAAAGAATGAAGATGAGATGCTGACAGGTAATCTACGAAACAAGGCAATGTATTTGCAGCGTGACAACAGAAGGTATGGAGATACGAAGGATCGAATTCTGCTCTCCATGAAGAGCCTGCAGAAAGAGGCTAAAGAATGGTTTGAGAGCAGCTGCCGGCCAAGTACACAGCAGTGCCTAGCATCAGCATGGTATCATGTTACTTGCCATCCAAATTATTTTCAAGAAGGCATAACTTGCTTGGGCTTTCCATGGATTGTAGGTGACATCCTCTTGAACATAAAGACTGCAAGTAACAAAAAGGGCCACACATGAAGAAGAAGAAGAAGAAGAAGAAGAAGAAGAAGAATACATTTTTGTATTCTTTGGCGTCACAACAAAGGGAGACTCAATTGGTGCTGTATAAATTAAATGTATTTGGCAATTTCTCTTTCAGTCCAGATTTTCGTCAAACTTCAACTAGATATTAACAAAGAAAGCAACACTTAAAGAAGAAACAAATTTCACTGTTTTACATAAATTACAACCATCATCTATACATATGAGCTCTACCCTTTTAAAAAAAAAATAATAAAAGAACATCCAATTACCAACCAACAACAACTCCGTTTTAATCCTACACGCAAATCCTCACCGTCATCTCTATCTAACAGTAACATGAACACGCTAACACCAAATACTCACACAAATAAGCTCTACAACAATATATAATTATATATATGTATTATTGGGAATTTCTTAAAAAAAAATTCATCAAAAATTTGACTGATAAGTAAAATTAACGCCGCCACATTGCGTCACCAAGTCAATACTCCAGCTGTTATCAAACGCATACCGGCGCAAAGTAGCAGACAAGGCGCAACTTTGTTATTTCCCCTTTACGCTATCACCGCCACGTCCTTATCACGAGAAGCGTCCATAGCCAATGGCTTACCGGAGCCGGAAATAGAAGCATACCGGGAAGAGAAGTCGCGAAAGCCGCCGTAGTCGTCATCTTCGTCCAAATTACCGTTCTGTCCAGGGCCTTCGTCGAAATTCAAAGCATAACTCAAAGGATCATATTGAAACTTTCCGTGCCTACTATTTCCACTACCTCTTCTATTAAATCGCCGGATAAAAGTCTTCCACCTAGGGCCAGCGACAATCTCCGACCACTCTCGAATCTTCTTCAGGGCTCTGACGCCCATGGACCACCATGGCTTATCATCAATATGTGTTCTTGAAGATCGGATTCGCTCCCACCAGACCAAGCCGACGCCGGAAGATCGGCGGGAACCGAAACAGAAGCAACAGCGGGTGTTTTGAAGGAGAGAATTGGAGGATTGCTGGGGTATCGAGCCAGGGTCTCCATGAGACATTTCTCCGTCCTCCAAACCCATATATGTTAAATCAACTGAACCGACACTAATTAGCGAGGGAGAGAAGCCTGCATCTGCAGAGCGTTTATAACTGGAGGAGAAAGAGATGTAATTTGTAACGGAAAGTTACCGGAAACACAGAAGTGCCGGTAACAGAGGGGAGAGATATTTTTCGTTTTTAGTAGAAAGAAAGTGAAAACAGAGTTAAGGCTTTCTGTGGGCTAGTGGGTTTTTGTTTAATTATTAGACGTTGCAGAGTGAGGGTAGGTGATGATCGTGTGCTTCGCGAGGTAATTTAGGTAGAAGTTAAATGGGCCCAACATGAAGTGTAATGACGAGGCGAAAGGAAGATGGTGGGGCCTAAGTTTGTAACGAGTGGTGATTGATTGGAAAGAAGGAAATATGTTAATAGAAGAGTCCAACTGATCTCATGGCTGTGGATCCCACTGAAGGATCCGCCAGCTGTGTCTCAGCCGCAACGAATCAAACGAGCATTGACATATTCTTCTTCCTCGTATAAAAGGTGTAAACAAACTATTTATGGATTTCCATATTAGATTTAAAATGCATTTATTTCAGTATAAATTGTAATCCATTGAAATATGGTGATATTTCTCAGGAAATTATATGAAAATACTTATTGTGTTTAGTTGGAACAAAGGTAAAGTTTTTTTTTTTTTTTTTTTTAAATAATTCTCCTTAATCTTCTCAAAGTGACAGATAATTTTTGTACCTATACAATTTTTTTGAAAATACAGATAAAAATGAACTGATAGAGTATGATATTCAACATTTAGTGAAGGTGTATAAGAAAAAATATAGATAAATAAAAAAGAAACCATTCCCAATATTTAAACCCAATTAGCTTTTTCATTAAAAACATAAAATAACAATAACCCTGTTTTTGAAGATAACATAAAAATAAAGCCATAAGTAATTTCCTAATTGAATTAAAAATAAGATTAGTGGAATTGTGGATGTGCTAAATTGGTAATCCTGCTGTCAAACAAAGAGATCACCATCAAGCATCAATTGGATTTAGGTGTCTTTTCTACTTTTACATATGACATATCCTCACTAGGCAAACCCATATGCCCAAAATGGTTCAAAGGATAATCCTAGGTAGAAACCCTTGGTGTTGATTTATGGACAACTATCTCCTCTTTTTTATTTTTCATTTTCCATGAATATAGAAAATTTAAAAATAAAAAGAGAATTTATGTTCACTTGTAGTAATTAGAAAAAATTATTCCTGGCAATCTAATTATTTTCTAGAGAAACCTCTGTTTATTGCTCCGGGCCAGGGTATCTACAGCAGGCTACTTTCTGCTCAAAGATATTATATAACTGTTGACTTCGTCCTAAGACTTTGAATTGCTGGTTTCAACATGTATCCCTAGACAAATTGGATAATTTCAAAAGCGAAATCTAGCTACTTAATAACATTTTTAACACCCTAAACGCCACTGCAAAAGCATATGATCAAACACCAACACGGAAAGAGAGGCATCATAGTCTACCAATCCCAGTGTATATTGAAATCTGAAGTTAAGCAGGGATAATTTGTAAGTTCAGTAGTAAGAAGAACAAATATAGTCTCAACACCCATGCATTTAACCAGAACATATGTTCTTGTAAGAATGCATTAACAACAGAACCAGTAAAATTACACTCACTCTGACCTTCACCCACAGAAACTAAACCTGTGCTAAATGCATGTTTCAAAAACTTATTGTGCTTGTGCAGAATAATAACATCTCCTTCAACCTTGTTTCCCCAGGATAGTTAATGTTGAACTAAATCCAGTATATGCTTAAAAAACACGAACCACGATTAGTTCAGCAACTCTAGATGACAACCTTCAAATGTTAGTTCAGTGATAAGAATCGAAAAGGCGGAAACCATATAATGATGTGTCATTCCAACACATACAAATAGGATGAGATTAGCAATTTCTACTCTATAATTTAACACAAGACAATTTATTCTGCTTCTTTCCTAAAATTGCATCAATGAAACAGATCCCAACCATCTTAACAGAAACACACAACATAAGTGAGAAAGTGAGAACACAAACAACATGAAAGGGCAGTAAACTTACTTCTGATACAACCAAACACACAACTGCTCCATAGAGTCACACAATTCAGTAAAACGAAGTTTCAAAATAGTTAAGTCGCTCTAGAAGGATATAAAATAATATTGTGCATTTCTCTCTAGACAGGAGACAAGAGGAAGGTCAGCTTACAAGGCAAGAGCTTTTCCGGCCTCACCAGCACGAATACCCCAGAAAACACTTCCAGCATCATCGGACTTGCCAGTATCAATAGCAATAGCACCAAATATTGCCCTGAAAGCACCGCAAACCACTAAAGGGGCAGTTGAATTAGTCTTGGAAGAAACTCTAACTACCTCATGCAACCCCAACCGCATTCCATCAACAGCACAAGAAGTTTCCACTTTGGATATCTCCGATAGACGGCGGTTCAATACTTTGGAGGAGATATCAATGTCCTCACCGATAAAAAGCAGAGAGACAAAGGTCTCAATGACATTGAAACCCAAAATGCTCAATACCTTATTGTTCTCCTGGGAGAACGAGGGATGCGTCATTGCACGGCGAAGAAGGCCAACGTCCAAGAAAGTATAGCTGCAGAATGAGAAAGCATAAAAAGGCATTCAAATATGTCACGTGCACAAAATTAGATTCAAGTTTTTCCCAGATTTTCTCGGTAACCAAACGGAGCGATGTTATAGAAAATCAGAAAGCGAAAAAAGAAATGGACGGAAGAGAGAACTTGCTTGATTTGCTTCTGTAGCGATTCGAGAGCTGAATCGAAAGGCGATGACGAGGGTTTGATCCTCTGGTAATCATTCTCGTTTGTAGAACGAACCTGCACGAACTCTCTAATTATATTGTACGTACATACCATGAGTGTGTATATATATATACGTAACCCTAAAAACTTGCCCTTTTTCAGTTTTCCTTGTGCATATCAGTAACCAAACAGATTATCGGAACTGTAATTAGAAATCAGATATACCTGGGAAAGAAATAAAACCGGTAAGACAAGTAGCATAAAGAAGAGGTTGAAGTGACGAGAAGCCATGTTTCTTTTCTACTGCTACCACTGGTTGCGAAGTTAAAAGAATACCTTATACTCCATTAATTAAAGTTTCTGTTTTTTTTTTTTTTTTTTTTTTAAAAAAACCGGGTTTTAAGACAAGTAGCATAAAAGAAGAGGTTGAAGTGACGAGAAGCCCATGTTTCCTTTTCTACTTGCTACCATCTGGTTGCGAAGTTAAAAAGAATACCTTATACTCCATTAATAAAGTTTCTGTTTTTTTTTTTTTTTTTTTTTTTTTTTAAAAAAAACACAAATGGGCTCAATTTAGGTTTTCAATTTTAATCAATGTGCGTTGAATAGTTGTTCTTGAATTTTTTTTTTTTTTTTTTTTTTTAAAAAAACACAAATGCTCAATTTAGGTTTTCAATTTTAATCAATGTGCGTTGAATAGTGTCTTGAAGCAATTGACTCTTTAATTGACCAATCCGTACAAGCAATTTAGTTCAAATTCAGTAAACTAAAAAAATATCTGTTAATAAAGTCCAATGGACTGGAATTATCTGTTAAAAAAAAAAAACGTTTTTATTGTACAAATTGATGTTTAGCTTGTTGTATGTTAAAAATTGAAATTTAGGTATGTTAATATATACTGATGATAAATTTAGAGATCGATGTGTAAATTTAAGCCTCACAACATGTAAAGAATGAATGAATCTTAGATGTCTGCTAACATACAGATGGAAAAAAAATTGAGCCTCTCTTGTCAAAAACAACACTGCATTAACCCATTAAAGAATGCCTTTCTGTATAAGCGAAACCATTTTTCTTCATGTATACAAGAAAATTGTCTCCTCATCAGTATGACATCTAAATCTGTGAACTGCACAAGCATCTTCTTCCACACCGCAACATACATACACCAGCCCTCATCCTCCTGCAATCTAGTGATAAAAAAGAGGGAAAAAAACAAAAGGTATGCCAGTCGAACCTCCTGCACAGTGAAATAACTGGAAGGCGGTGCCAGTGGTGGTGCCAGACTCCAGTATGCAACGAATAAGTTAATATCAACTAGTATTGTGAGGAACCATTTGAATCGCATCAAAGATGAAATGCATTCTTTCCCATCCAAGCCATTGATTCCACTTCTTTGAACAGTATAACCATTGCACCAAAAGGGCCAATACTGTTTCGCCTTTCAAACAAAATTATCAAAAGAAACTTGTACTTCTGAGAAACCTCTCGACTTTACACAAGCAGTGGTCAAACCTTGAAGCAATGCCAGTACATCAACAGTATCATCTAGGTAATACCTAGCTTTGCTTGGCTTTTGGCCAACAGTGCAAGCGAAAATCTCTGGAGCTGAGGGAAATGACAAACTAGAAGCTGTACTTGATATTCTTTCAAACATGTCTTCATCTGATCTATCATCCCCAATGCACATTACAAAGTCTGGGGCTTTCCCATTACTGATCATTGCAGAAAGAACTTTCTCTGCAACAAACCCTTTAGTAACTCCCTGCACATTAGTTGACAAAAATTACACATTTAGATACATGACTACCCAGAAAAAAAAAAAAATGAAAAGAGAGATAATCGGTAACCATACCTGTGGCTTTACTTCAACAATGTGCTGACCCCTCTTGACAACTACCGGCTCATTTGCAAGGACATTTTCAAGATGATCCAACAGTTCCTTTGCCTGGCAAGATCCAAAATCTGGATCAGCATCTTGATGATGCCATACCAAGGCACTCTCCTTGGTCTCTATATAGGAACCATCAGTTGCTTCTGTATATAATTTTATCACAGGTTCTGCAATCTTTTTCCAATCAAAATCCATTGCCAAAGAAACAGTTTCCCAATTGAACATCCTACTCCACCTGCAACAGTAAAATTAGAGTTAATAACAAAAGCAATTGATACTTCTTGCGGATTATATAAAACAAGTTTCGTTTACTAACATGTTATTACTAACAACATACCTCATGAAGTATCCATGCTCAGCTGCTATTCCCAGATTCTCACATTGTAAAAACCACTCACTCAGAGAATCTTTTCCCCTTCCACTGACTATGAACACGGTGTTCTTGGGGTCACTACAGAGGTTGTTCAGAACAGAGATAACTTCGGGACTCGGGGTTTTAACAATGGATGTTTGAGGCACCATTGTTCCATCATAATCCAGAAATATCGCCCTCCTACATGTCCTCTTGTATGCAGAGACGATATGGTCATTGGAAAGCTTCCTAAAGCTTGGTGAAAGTGACAAAATTCTAAAATTCAGACCAAAACCAATTGCCCAGCAACGTTTACTGTAGTGATCTTTGCATGCTCGCTCCAAGTCCTGTACAAAACTGCGAGCCCAATAAGCCACATCATGAGAGCTAATATAGCGATAGTGCTTCTCATGCCTCAACTGCTTCTCTAAATCAGGCATGGTGAGGGCTAAATCTAGTGCATCAGCTACAGCTTCAACATCCCATGGATTTACCCTTATTGCACCACTGAGAGATGGCGAGCAACCAATAAACTCTGAAACAACAAGAGTACTCGCATGAGGTGATCCAAAAGCAACTCCCAGAGCTTCATCCATTTTAGGAGTCCCTTGCCTGCAAACAATGTATTTGTACGGGATCAGGTTCATTCCATCCCTCACTGCATTTACAATGCAACATTCAGCCAATGCATAGTAGGCTGTTTTCTCATAGAAAGGTACATGACGGTCAATCAGGACCACTGGTTCATAGCCTGGAAAACCAAAGATCCTGTTTATCCTTTTGGTAGTCAAATATGTCTCCCTTTTTGCCTCTTGTACATCTTTCCCACAGCTCCTTGCAGGATTTATAATCTGAACCATGACAACTGTTCCCCGAAACTCAGGATGCTGATGCAAAAGTTGTTCCATGGCTAATAATTTCAGACTAATGCCCTTGAAAATGTCCATGTCATCAACTCCAACAACAATCTTTTTCCCCTTAAACTGTTCTTGGATTTCTTTGACCTTGATGGAAGAAGAGGGGTGATTTAGAGCAGATTCAACTCGGCCCATATGAATTCCCACAGGCAAAATTTTGATATATACTGTACGGCCAAAATACTCAAGTCCAATATGACCACGTTTTGATTCATAGTCTAAGCCTAGCATTCGGCTACAACACGACAAAAAATGTCGAGCATAATCAAATGTATGAAAACCAATTAAATCTGCATTCAGCAGTGCTTTCAGAATTTCATCTCTAACTGGCAGAGTTCGGTAAATTTCTGATGAGGGGAAGGGACTGTGAAGAAAGAAGCCAAGCTTGACTCTGTAGAAATGCTTCCTCAAAAAAGTAGGAAGAACCATTAGGTGATAGTCATGAACCCAAACGTAATCATCTTCAGGGTTAATAACCTCCATGACCTTATCTGCAAAAATTTTATTAGCAGAGACATAGGCCTGCCACAGCAACTTGTCAAAACGATTGCCATGATCAGGCGACATAGGCAGCATGTAATGGAAAAGAGGCCATAAATGGTGCTTACAGAAACCATGGTAAAACTTTTTGTGAAGGTCAGGAGGGAGAAATGTGGGTACACAGTTAAATTGCTCTAGCAATAATTGGGAAACTTCTTCTTGTTCACTTATATCTACATCAGCCTTGAGTGATCCCACGTAAACAACTTCTGTATTGATTGAAAATCCGTCCTTCATTTGTAACAGAAGTGAATCCTCATCAAAACTGAATAGCCATTTATTCAATTTTAAATCCTTGTGTGCATTTAGAGGAAGAAAATTTGCCACTATAATTTTCTTCTTGCGGCTTCCAGTTGATAGAGCATCTGAATCTCCATCATTGCTTCCGTCAGCATCTGTGTCAGAAAAAATTCCTGGAACAGTCATCACCCTTGGAAGAGATCTAGGAGTTTGAGGGAAATTCAACATGTCCCCAGATGCTAAGTCCAATAAATTTATGCAAGACCTTGACATCATTGTTGCCAGATTTGATTTTCAATGTTTCTGGGTATTTATTTAGACAGATGGAGATAATGCAGGATCAATTTCTTGGCTTCCTTCCAAACAAGAGTTGAAGGACCAAAGTATAGAGATCTAAATACCTGCAGAATGGAGAGAATACACTTTTAACTACCACAAGATATGAAGTGTCAACGAAGTGAATGAGAATTATGAAGACATTCTTTCTGGTCAGATTTATCTTATGCTTTTCATTCCTGTGGGTAAGAGATTCTAATCACCCCTTTTATCAATTATTGTCAACATAAACAAAAAATTTCACATGTTTCAAGGGTTAACTAATAGCAAAGATTTTAAACACTTGTGTTACCAAATCATCATAAGCGCAGTTCTACACAACATGATCGAGCCTCCCACATCTCAAATTAAGGAGTACCAGAGGTTCACAACTAAAACTAAAGTGAGAAGCAGAGGCCAAATTTTACTAACATTTTATACATATAGATTTTGGTTTTTCTGCTAAGTACAGGCACAATGAATGCACAGTCAGGCTTTTAGAATCTCAGGACCATGATATTCCTAATCTTAATGAAACAACTAGATGAGTTATGAAATCCTAGTAGAGCTGACTGGTTAAAGAAAAGCCACGAGCAATTTGCTATGTATTCCAATCCAGTCTCATAAATTTTTAAAATCAATCTCAATCTCATATATATTTGACTTTGCCGAAAAAAAAATCTAGAAAAAGTTGATCTATCGATAAAAGAAAGGAATTAAAGAAACTGATATGGCATTGCATAAAAAACAAAGGAAAATGGGAGTACAAACAAATGATTCATATACATACCAAGTTTCGCTAGCGTAAAAGCAGGCAATAAATTTTCTCAATTGAATTTTCTCATCAATAGGCTCAAGCAAACACAAAAAGAATTCATTTAAGAAAATTCCACAGTTAAGTCGACCATATAAAGACGTGAAGGCAATACAGGACAAAGTTTTCTGCTAATTGATAAGGAAGCCACAACGAACTTTCGGAATAGAACAATAACCTTGTTACACATGCCTTATTATCATTAGGTTCCAGCGAAACCATTAAACCGTATTATCTGTCTTCCAATTATAATTATGGCCACAAGATTACGCTTTGATAAGTTAGACTGGTCAATAATGGAGGTCATGCTTATCTCGTTTGCCATTGAAATCCTCACAACTCAACCGGAAAAAGGGGGGGAAAGGCAAGAAAAATCAATTAAAGTATGGAAAATACTTGATGTATAAAGATACGGATTTAAACTAAGAATTTTCACTCATTTGTCCTGACATCAAATAGCTACTCAAACCATCACAATGCAAAACGAAACCTTAATACCAAACTAGTTTCTAACTGGTTTAGGGCTACAACTCAAAAACATCAAAATCCCATATTATTAATTAGATTGAACTACAAGATAATCAAAGGTTGATACAAGGGAATTTTTTTCTTTAATGCAAAAGATAAGATTTCCAACACCTACTGATGAGGTATATCCTTAATGATGATAACTGTTAAATTCTTAAATTAATCAAAAATTCAAAATGATGAAAGAAATAATAAGATAATTTTTATCACATTTATTAGCAAATGTTACTTTAATTTCCAGATTCTACAGCTGGGCTTATCTGTAGCAGCTAAGATTGATTTGTCAGTAAGGGCCACAACCAAACTTGGAAAATTATGAAATACCACAAAATTCAAACATAAATGCCTCTCATCCAGGAATTTACTGTCCTTTCCTTACAAAATATTTAAAATCCAAAAAAGGCATTAAAAGAAATTCCATGATAACATGATCTATCAGAAATAATGGGCCAAATAGAAATTTCAATTATACTTCATGACTTATCAACTGTTTAAACTGTTAAGAGCAATGTCAAGGCAATCCTGAAAGTGTGATGTGTACAGTAGAGGAGAAAAGAGAGAGAGAATTGAAAGAACAGAATTGGAGTTTCTTAGACGACAAGTGAGCTCCTTGAACATAAAAGCAATAGCATATTAGACAGACAAATAGAAATAGACGATGATCACTGTACATAGAAAAGAATATTAGGATTAAAAAAAAATAATAAGCCAGCCATATATCCATTATATTAGATCTCAGAATTCCATTCACACACAAAATCCAAGAACGAAAAAAGCCAAAAAAATTACCTGAAAGAATTGAAACTGATTTCGTCTAAATGGCCATTGAGTAAAACTGGAAACCAGTATTTCCTGCCAAAACCATCAAAGAATGAATGAAAACAAAAAAACAAAACTGTATTTGGTTGGTGAGAAACGACAGTAAATGCCAAGAGAAACCCAGAAACCTTCCAATCCCAAGACCCCATTTCCTTCTTCCCACAACCAAACAAACCTCAAGAAAGTATTAAAGAAAACGAATTAACCAATAGAAAAACAAAAACGAAATGGATAATGTGAAAAGACTTACAATAAAAAGAAGCAAGTATCTGTATCATCCAAGAAAGAATGTTGTTGTTAACAGTGGATTTAGAAATACCAAGAGATGGATAGAAGATGAGAAGGAAGGTGTTAGGTTCGAAACCGGTGAGATTTTGAGAGTTAATTTATGATTTTGAAACCGACTAAAACCAACATAAAAGAAAAAAAAATATTTATGTTATTTTTTTCGGATTAGAATTGGAAATACGAAAAGAAAAAATATATAATAAGTTTCCGTTTGGTGTTTCTTGATTCAACAAAGGAAGCTGAAATGGATTAAAACGTATAATATAAAAAGTCAAAAAAGAAACTTTGATAATTGATAATTATATATATACATATTCTGATTTTAGAGAGAGAAATGGACAGTGTGAGTGCAGTTAGATTGTAACTGTGGTTGGTCTTACGTTATCGTCTTCTGGAATTCTCTTCCCTCAATGCCCTCCCTTCTTACTGTCTTATTACGGAACTGCCCTTTTGTTTTTCATATTAATTTCTGTATTTGTTTCTACTAACTTTTGAAATAATAAATTAATTAATAAAAATACTCCATTTACCATCAAATGTTATTTGGATGGTAAGTCATCTCAATTCCCTTTACGAAACTGCATTTTCTTAGAAGCATTGAATAAACAGTCCGATCCTTGATTATGTTAAAAAAAAATAATTCTATTCAAAAATATTTGTTAAAATTAAATTGAACCATTCGCTTGGGTTCAAAATGAATATCAGTTTTTTAGCTCCGCAAGAATTAAAATATATAATTAAATTTAAATTTTTATAAAAATTAATTTATAAAATGTCTATTTACCCTCCAATTAAATTAAGGGAGTAATTGAAAGACAATTATATTACGAATAAAATACTAAATAAATAAGAATAAATTTTAAAAAGAAAAATTAATGAAATATTGAAATTAAAAAAACAAAGCTTATTCTCAAAAAATAAAAGGGGAAAGAAAATAACATTTATTCTAAAATGGAAAGAACACGAGAAAAAAAAAAAAAGAAAATAATAATATTTATGGTTTGTCAAAGTCTTATATATGACTATTTTCTTTTTCTTCCATATAAGACAACGTCCATGTGTTTTTCTTCTTTTATCTTTTCTTTTTAGGTACATTTGATTGTTTTTTTTTTTGTTTTTATTTATATTTTTTCAAAGTGGCTAAACAACCATGTCAAATTTCAAAAACTATCATGTGACTGATTTTCTAATTATGATTTTATGATTATATTTATATTTTGATTTTAGGGACAAAAATAGAAATAAAAATAAGAAATATAATAGGAAATGTTATGTGGATAAGGTAAGGAACCTAAGACCTAACAGTTTAGGTACAAAAAGTAAGTCTTAATTGCTCAATAAAAAACATTATCTTTAAATATATATATATATAATAAATAATAAAAAATACTATAGTGTTATCTGCTGTGCAAGATTTATTGTTTTGTAATGGGAATTAATGTACCATATATTGACTATCCTCTATTTAAATAACTCCCCCTTCGTGCATGTGGATAAACATAGACTTGGCCAGTTGGCCCACTCCCCTCCTCCCAAAAAGAAATATCTACTCATGACCTTCTTCTTATTATTTTCTTTTTTTTATTCCTTGGATATCATAAACTAAAAATAATATTTTTAAACTCATCCCATCGTGACTTTAATTGCAGAGAGACGACCTTTTCAATTCAATTTCTTCATTCACAATACTAAAATCTAAACTTTATTTAAGGAATTTGGTGTTGAACCGGCTGTTAGTTGGTAATTCAATTATCCACAATCATTAATTTAGATTTAATGACACTGTTAAGAAATTTAAAACCATTAAAACAATTATTTTGAATGTTGAAATTATTTTAGGAGGATGCACACTTAATTTCACCATATGTAAGTCGATAACAAAATATGAAATTGCAAATATAAGATAATAATAAGTATAATAACATATTAGAATTTTTCTTACAATATTTATTATAAATTTGTAAATTTTTTATATTCATTTCAAAAATATTTAAAACGTACAAAATCAAAAACAATTTTCTATATAATTTTTCTTTTCTATCAAAATGGGATCAATCCTTTTCTTCAAAAGAGAGGAAAAGGCAAAGATTGCTCCACGTATTTTCTTTCAAAGCAAGACAGGCTTATAAGCATGTAAGCGTATTAATAATCATTTAATGATTTAAATTTATTTATATATTGCTTTAATTTCACATTTTCGGATTTTGTATCTTGCAAGATATTGGAGGTTGGAGGACCCATTGGGTATAAAAACGCATTTATTTTATAGGAAAAAAAAATTAAGTATTTAATATATTATATTTAATTTAATCATATTTTCATCTATCTTATTTAACTAGATTTAAGAATGTGCTTTGAATATTATCTCTATTTATGTTGATATTCGTGATTTGATATTTTTTAATAGTAAATTTAATTTTAAATATTTGAGTTTAAATACTAATCTTTAATGACATTTATTTTTTCTTTTAAATTTTGATATTGAAATGTGATTTTTATTTTTAATATTAGGTAGAGATTTAGTCATTGTTATATTGATTATTATCATAAATTGATAATATTAAAATTATAATCAAGTTGAAGTATTGGTTGTTTCACTAATTAGGTATGATTTAATTGGTTTTCTCACGTTTTTTAGATGTTGGGAGAAGTAGAAGATTTGAGGAAATGTTATTTAAAAAAACAGAATCACTTATTCTTATTAGATAACTCATAATGTTATTATGGTCCATTGAATTAAAAATATTAATTTTTTAATGTCAATTATAAAATATTAATCTTTAAATTTTTTTAATCAATGAATGGTTAATTTCAAATATTAATTTTTTAAATAATGTCATTAGTTATATAATAGTTCTTTCCTTATTCAAAAGAATATTTAAATGGAAATGATCCCAAATCTTATCTCAACCCTTCAATTTGGAATCTCTCAAAAAAATATTAAATTTGTTATAGAAATAACATAAAAACGTCGTAACTAAATATAGAAAATCATCGGCTACTTAGTAACTTTAAATTAAAGAATTAAATATATTTATTCAGTGTCCAAGAATCAACCAGCTAATTGGAGAGTACTAAATTTTATTAGGAAAATGATAGATAAATATCACAATCAATATAGAAAAAACAACCTATATTTTACAATTTTATTTTTTTTAAGAAAATAACTTTCAAATAATTAATTGTTCAAAAATTTTATCAATTAATTGTCACAAATTGTACCGTAACCAACGTGTGTCTCTAATCGCTATGCAATAAAATAATAACACTCATATTTTTGCAAAGTGAAAAGTGATGACAAATTTAAAGTTTTGTTTATTTCTCAACAATGACTTGTTTTTAAAAAATATTTTCATAATTTATTTTCTATTGTTTGCTAATGATATTGAAAATTAGTTAAAAATATTAAAAATTATTATTTAAATAATAATAAAAAATTAATTACAAAAAAACTAAGGCAAGACGTCTTTAAACATGTTGTTTAAATGGAACCGAAAAATTATTTATAGTGAGTTTCAAATAAATTCTCGATAGTCAAAGAAAATAAAATTTATTGGACAAAATAAATATTTTTTTAGTGATTTTTCTTCATAGAGAATAAATGTATATATATATATATATAGTAGTATGATAGAAAAAACTTTTTACAGTATGATTCTAATTCTTGACAAAATATTTTAATTATGATGTACAATATATTTGATTAGATATTAATAAAATATAATTTAAGTTTATATCGTTTATAACAGTATATATAATATCCAATTGATTTATTATAATTTTAAATTTATCAAATTCTAATATAAAATTTTTTATACTTATCCAAACTTTTATATTAATATTAATATATTGTATACATAATATTTTAATAAATAAATTTAGAATTAAAGTAATTTTTTTTACTCAAACAATCAAATTCCTAAATTAAAATTTATAATTACAACTTTTGCAATGATTTTTTTCTATTTTATTTATTAACAAATAAAATATATATTTAAATAAAAAGTAAATGAAATCAATTAAATTAAATTATTTTTATTATTAACCAATAAAATTAAAAGGCATATGTTTTTGTTGATTCATAAATTTAAAAAGTTATTTTTGTAGTTCAATGTTTCTCTTCTCCTTCCTACTTTTATATATACGAGTTTTTTATGACGTGGATAGCATGCTATTTGGACTCGTTATTTGTTTAAAAGATATAGAAACGTGTCTCTATATATGAATCTAAAATATGCAAATAATATATATTTGGAATATTTATTTTCTTACAATTTTAATATTGGGATTCATAATTGAATTTAAATATTTATCATTTACCCTCGTAATAATAAATTACTAAAAAATAGGATAACATCTTTTTTTTCAATTTTAGTATTAAGATTTCTAATTGACTTTAAATATTATATATATATTGGAATGACAGAAACATAAATTCTGTAATAAAACTATAATTTCTAATTTTCCTTTTTAAAATTGCAAATATATTTAATTTATTCTCAATTGGAAATTCATAATATATTTGGTAGTATTTAATTTGTTAATTTAATACTATTTATTTACAAATTGTTAATTGTAATCTCAATTTATAAAATTAACAGCTGGCGAAACGACACGAATATACAGAGACAGCCGCTTCAAGGCATAGACATTTATTAATTATTTCCTAATTTCCAAAAAAGAGATGCCGACAAGTCACGCGGCCGCTCGACAGCGCCATTTAGTTATTGGCTTTGCATTTCTGTTTTTTGGATAAAGACTCCGTATTTATTATCTGAACGTTTCCACTCGCATTTACCAAAGTAACCTTTTCTTTTAAAAAAAAATTAAATTAACCTTTTCTTCTAATCCAACATCTGTCCAACTGCTTCTCCCATGCTAATTTTTTCTTTTTTTTTTTTTTTTTTTTTTTTTATAGTAGAAAAAGCGACACCTATATTTATATCTAAATTTTATTTTTTTATTTTTAAGGTAAAAAACTTTGCAAGCCAATAAGTTAAGTGTTGTTCAAGAAAATTTTTATCAATTAATTGTCTCACAAATTGTACGGTAACCCAATCTGTCGTGTCCCATCAATCGCTTATAGTGCATGCCGAATAATACAATAATTTTAACACTCAATATTGTTTGCAAAAAAGTGTTGAAAAGTGATGACAAATTTCTAAAGTTTTTGTTTATTTTCTCAAACAATGGACTTGTTTTTAAAAAATATTTTTCATAATTATATTTGCGTTATGTTGCTAGA